CTCAGATTTTCAATAGTCGCTCGAGATCGATCGAGGAATTGTAGTTTCTTAATTATCCGCTTAGCTATCGAGCTGGAATTTTTGCAGACAGATATATTTCTACGTTTTTCATATCGTATCGTCAACAAAACCGAAACGCTCGCGCTTGTACGTAGAAATCGATGCGCAACACTGAGCCCAAAATATAAAAGATATTCACTCGGCGGGTACTAATAACATTTGCCCCGAGAAAAATTGTATGCCGAGAAAAAAAATTTTCTTTCGCATGAGAAAATATTTTCTCAAAACTGCGAAGCTTCCACTCCCCCCGCGAAAACAGCCGTTCCCTTCTATTTAAACAGAAGAATTTAAATTTAAGCAAATACGTCGTCGATGAACCAACTGGATAAATATTTTTTTATCCCTCGGATACTTTCTTTCTCCTCGGTGTAATATAACCCGTCGCCGATACCCATCGCCGTGGAGTCGCCGAGCGGCGTGCATCGCTCGCTCTCGGGGACGCGCGCGCATCGACACGCAGGTGGTACGGTCGCGTCGCCTCCGCCTTTCGTCTGGCGAAATTAAATTAGGCTCCCGATATAAATCGCCGGGCGCGTTATTTTCGCGTCGGAAATTCGCGTAGGCAATTATAAAAGGCCGATAAATAATATGCTAATTAGCCGGCGCGAGGCCGCCGGCGATAAACACCAGCTCGCTCGCTCGCTCACGCGCGCGAATCTTAGCCGGGCTCGTGAATACGACGCGATCGTGAATCACGATCGTTCGCCGCGAGCGTGTACTACAAGGAGGAACTAACGTCCGATCGAAGATTACGGGACTAACTAACGATTCCATTTGCTGATTGCCCGGGCACCGGGCTACTCCGGGCCGTTTTTATCGGCTCGCCTTCCACGAGAGGTCTTAACGCGAGAGCGTGCAACGATAAGCGCCGCAAGGTTGCGCGTGCTGACCGAAGCACGGCCGCGATCAATTAAGATCGATCGATACTTTAATAAGCCGTATTCCGGCGCATTAGTGCGTGAGATGAGTATCCCTCTCGCCCCGCTGCGCCTCGCGCTTGATTGTCGACGATCAACCGCGTAAAAGCGGAATAAAATGTATACTTGTCGTTATACTTCGATGAGGGGGGAGGGACGTGCGTGTGTTATCCTACGCGTAATATTTATTATCGCACGTATCATTCGTCACCGTTGCGAGATACCGAGACGGTGATCGATGAAATTTGTGATCCGGTGTATAATTACTCCGCCGCGGAACTGATAACCGCGACGGGGATTCGTGAAATTTTCATGCTGCAGATAAGCAAAAGTGGATCACACACACACACACACACACACAGAGCAGATCGTGACGTGAGATTGCTGCGGCGGGGGAGGCGCAGGTAAGATTAATTTTCTCATATCTCCGACATCGTGGGCTCGCTTTACAGAAATCCCAACATGCACAGAAGCGCTCTTTCTTTCAGTCCCATTATCGCGACGCTTCGATTATTTTCGCGCGACCCCCAACACATCCGCACCGAATCGTTTTGCAAAAAACTATGTTTCCGCAACGCTTCGAATGAATGTATCCATTCTCTGAATCCTTCAGGGAATCCTCATCTTCGAAAAGGAAAAAGAAAGAAAGGATCAAATCGCAGGCAATTTATTAATTGAGCAATTCAGATCAGCGGTGGGAAGATAACAACATTCCACAATGCAACGCATGGGGAGGGAGGGGGGTCTTTTTTAAATCAACTTTTCACGTCAAACGCAAATCGCACTCGAATTTCTATAACATCTATATCAATATTTATTTACCCCACCTTATATACCGAAATCGGCAAATTTATCGCATCTTACTCGAGTCTCTTGAAGTGCAGCGTAAAATAACACCTCAGCCGGGAATCGACAGGAGAATTGTCTTATCGCCGTCTCATCGGATCGAACCGATTGGCCCCGAACGCGTCGGGAAAATCAACAACCCCACAACGACCCACGATTCAAGCCTCTGCTCGGTCCTAACTTAGTCTCTAAATTCGAGCGGCCAAGCGCGTCCGTAGCGCGTCTAGCCCGTTGATGCCGGCGGATGCGAGTTTATGCGCCATCGGCGACCGGGCTCTATTTCGGTGAACGCACGCGGAAACATAATCTCGGGCGTAAACATCGCGCGCGCTATCGCGTCGCTCGCGTGTGACGCGAAGTGCGAGTAATCGAAAGGGCCTGTGTGTACGTGCCCGGCCGAACGAACGCGTCTCGGAAATCATTATCCGCGACTTTATCGGGCACGGACCATCTGCGGGGTCCGAGCGAGCGCGCGTTATCCCGCCTAGCCCGCGCGAGGTAACGTATGCGCGGCTTTTATCGGCGCGGATATACCTACGCGTCTGCTACGGCGAACGCCTGGACGTTTCTATTATCGCGAGCGCGAATCGTCCTGCCTTCGCGCTCTACCTTCTTTCCTCCTCCTCCTCCTCCTCCTCCTCCCGCGTTCGTCCTACCTTCGCATACTACACCATCTCTCTCGATCGTTGCCTCGCGCGGAGACCGATTTTCCCGCTCGAACTCGAGGACTCTCGATATCGCATTTCGAGCGTGCGCTCCGGACGCGCTCCGGCTCGAGTTCGAAATAATTCGCGCGCTCGCGTCTCGGCGGTTTGCCCCGCTATCTGTCTCCTCCTGTTTGTTTCTTTTCGTCGCGGGGAGATCGAACGTTTACTCGGCCTCGCGCGACACCCCGACACGCATTTTTCAAGGATATCGCGCGGTATATCTCGCCCGAATCTAATATATCTTATTTATTGCGCGACCGATCGATGCTGTTTCGAGACGGCCGCGAAACTGATTGAGGTGTCGCCCCTTTTCCTGCGCGATAGGACAATATGATATCCTAAGAGACAAAGTGTCCGCCATAGGGTTTACGGCGATTCGATCCTTTTTCCCCTGTCTCTCTTTTTCCGTCCCTCTCTCGCCCTCTCTCTCTCTCTCTCTCTCTCTCTCTCTCTCTCTTTTTGCATCGCGCATTGCGCTACATTTATCTCCTCGCGCTCAGGCCTCGATAGAAATATTGGTACCGCGAGTGATTTACGGCGAGCCATTATTATTTCACGTTTACCGCGTGCTCACGCGAGCGGATACACACGCGTGTTATCCACGGCCGAAAAAAAGTGGAGGATTTATACGGCGTTTTATTAAGGCTAATACGAAGGGCGGCTCCGCTTCGACAATAAAGGGATATTACTAGATACTACGCGGCCGTAATGCGTCGATCCGGCATAATGTACGGAACGTTTCAACGGCCTTCTGCCAGCCATCCGTTATGTGCATGCCCACGCACGCACGCACGCACGCACGCACGCACGCACGCACGCACGCACGCGCGCACGCACGCACGTACGCACGCGAACGCTCGCGAAAATAATAATAACGCGCGCACAGGTCGTCGTGAAAACGGGTTCGAAGGCTGTAACGAGAGAATCTCCTCCGCGTGAGAGAATCGCGGCGAAACCGCCGTCGCACGCGATCTTACGCGAACGCATTACCGCCGGATTTCGCATCCTCCGGCGGATTATGCCGATCGCGTTCAGCGACCTTCCCGATGGCCACGCGCTCGTCTCTCCGACCTGCGAGTGTCCTTCGCGGCGAGCGTCGAGCGCGCATGGACTCTCATGCGTTCATGAGACTTCGACTTACACCTTGAGGAGAAAAACAGACTTCTTCTCGCTTGGATATTCGTGTCCAGAGATCAGCTGGACCAGCGATCCTCGAGCGCTCTTGCGCGCTCTCGCGCGAGAGAGTCCGCTTGTTAATAACAGAACGATCGACGATTAACGCGACCTGTTCCTAGCGAGATCAGTTTGTTAAAAAAGTCATAACTATGCATATCATTATGCATATCATTATGCAAAAATGCATATTTATTTCTTTGAGTTTTATTCAATGTCCATTGTATGAAATGCATCGTTATATAACTTTGAATAATTTTTGTGGGGAATTATAAACCGGTTGTTTTTTCGATCATTTGGTGGTTCTAACGTTAACACGTTCGCTACCCTTGTTTATCTGAGGAAATTCCCCCGGCAGACCGCGTGGTATCTGTTCATATAATTATACAAATTATACAAAACAGACTCGGGGGTTGTTTACGTGGATACAAAAAGAAAAAAGTATCGCTGCTACACGCTGCAAACACAGACAAGCCAGGTAGTGAACGTGTTGAGTCGCTAAGAAAATGTCGTTCTCCCGATAATATAAGGAAACTTTCTCCGTGACAATAGAGAAATAATAATGAAAAATCTCCTTCGATCGAGTATTCTTCTTCGGCCTCCGGCGACACGCGCGTCTCCGCAAAATCTCCCTTCGCGAAGAAGACGCGCGTAATGGGACATGGGTGGGACAGGACGCGGTTGGACGCGAGATCCTCGTTAATCTCCTCGTTACTCGCGGACACGCGATACCCGAGCGAGCGCGAGGGAAGGAATTTAACGTCGTAATATATTCGCGACGGATAAGAATCCGAAGTGTCAAGGTCGCGCGATTTCTGCCCCATCTTCGGCGGCCGAGACACGACGGCGACAAATCGAGCGACCGGCTAATAAGAGAGAATACCAGCCGGGATTGTGATGCAAATTCCCGCGTGCGCGTTCGAAAGGAGCCACGAGAATTGAAAGAGGCGACGCGGCTAATTAAAGCCGCGGGCTCGGATTCGCGGGCGACAATTCGCGGGTTTTCTTTCTCTCCTTCTCTTTCTTCTTTCAGTGATGTGCGCGAGGATTTGAATAAACGCGAGGGACGATCGCGGCCTTCGAGGGGACCGGATCCGATCGCTATTCTTCGAGAAACCGGACAGCCGGACGGCTCAATTTAAATCCCCGCGCGGATTGACATTATCGGACATTGCTTGGCGTGTCCGCGAGCGAGGAAGCAGGCATTCTCCGTCGGAGTCGACGTCAATGTCCACGGGCATGAAAGATAGTGGTCGTTTGTACATGCGTGCGCAATTGAGACATGCGTGCTGTTTCTTTTCTTTTTAATAAAATCGTACAATAATTTAAACACAGGAATGTGCGTGTGTTAGGACGTGTTCGTTGCAGAAACGAGGCGCGTTACAAAGAGCTGCTGAATAAACTGGCGTGAGAGGACGAGTAATAACGATGCCCGTACCATATCGTATAGAGCGAGCTACCACGTGAGCGACGCGAACTAGTCGAGCTCGTGGAATTCCCGCTGGAGAGACGCTTCAAGATGTCTTAATCCTAGTTCTTTGAGCACGACGCAAGTGACTGATCCGCGTAAAACCGTTTCGCCTCGGTCCTTCGACCGTCACAAAGAGGGTGACCTCGAGGGTGCGTTTCATCGGGGTAGGCTTGTGCTCGACAATGACGATTTCGAGCGAGGCTTCTCTCTCAAGAATTACATCGACATACAGTATTTCGCGCTCGCGCGACATTGATTTCCGCTTCTCGCGATGGGACGAGTAGAATCTACAAATGCAATTACGCTCTCACATTTTTCAAGATGTATAAAATGTATTAATTTTGAGCTTAAACGATAAAGTAGGACTCAAGTCGCCGAGAAGATTCGTCGCCGAAAAAAATATCGTGAGAATAAATATACGAAAACGAAGAAGCGACGAGACCGGGGTCCTCATTTGGTCACCTCGGTCTTCTCGCTCGAGTGAATCTGGCTGCGATATTGAGCCGACTGAGCGATGGGCGTCTCTAGGATCGGTCGTACGTAGGAAGCCGCCACGAACGCGATGGGATCGTTCACGAGCGGCAGGTTCACCTCGAGTGTAGGGTCGCTCTGGCTGGAAATCGCGGAGACGACCGGCAGAGACTTCTTGGTGACGATCGTCAACGGCGCAGGGTCGATCTTCACGGCATCCTTGCGATTCGGCCCCTCCAGTCCGAGGTTCTTGTGAAGCTGGATGCGGTTCTCGTTGTAGTCGTGCAAAACGGACACCAACGGCAACGCCTCCAGCTGGTACTTGACGGCGGCGGGGCTCGCCTGCGACGCTGTCTTCGGCTGCGCCGTTTCCGGATTCTCCGTCGGTTTTTCCGCTGGCAGGTCGGCGTGAAGAGAGTTGTGCACCTGGACCCGACTCTGATGCGAACTCGCCAACGGCACTTGACCAGGAAGGATCACCGTCTCGTACACGGGCTCGGCAAGGAGCCCGATCGCTGGGACGGGTTGAACGGCCTTCAGACGAATGTTGCTGTGAACGTCGACGCGACTCTGGTGAGACGTTGCGGCGCCGCTGAATCTCGGGATCAGCAGCGGGTTCAGGAGTCCGTAAACGGGCGCGACGACGGTCTCTGTTTTCTTCTCCGGCGTCGACGGTTCATGAGAACTCTTCGGCGAGCCGGCCTTCGCCGGCTCCAGCTGATCGGCTGGATCTTCCTGGGAACGCGGCTTTTCTGCTGCGAGATTATCTCGATCGGCCTCCGCCGCTGCCTCGATGCTGCGCTTCCTGCGCAGGCCAGTGCGCTCTTCCTTCGCCTCCTGCGCGGCCCTCGCGTGCTCCTCCAGGTGGGCGTTCTTGGCTAACAGGACCTCGCCGGTCTCGCGCGGCAGATCGCCGTCGGTCGGCAGATTCGTCGCGGCGACGCGGAAGCCGCCCTCGTCCGCGACGTAGAAGACGGATTGCAGGATTCCGTGAGCGTCCACGTAGCTGTAAGAACCGCGCGTGACCCCGTCGAGACCCCGCACTTCCTCCTTGGCGGACGGCCCGCCGGCGTAACTGTACGCGTGCACCCCGTTTCGCGTGTCCTGCAACTGCTGGTACACCGGAAGTGGATCCGCGAGATAGGCGTAGGGCAGCAGGGTCAACTGCGCGGCCGCCGTCACGCTGAGGATCGCGAAAACTGGAATCTGCGAAGTATGAGATTCTTATCCTCTCTTTCTCCTTCTCCTTCCCCGTCTTTCTCCTGCTCCCTCGGGAACACGGAAACGCCGCCGTTAACACCGGCGGAGTGACGTGCACACAGGAAGGCGGTAGTTTCACCACGTGCTTTCCAATCTAATCTTGATTGAGGATTATCTCGCGCGCGTGAGGTCACCGAATTCTTCCGATATCGCGGACGTCATCGGCCACTCGGCCGACGCTAATTTGCCGGATATCGATGGTGGATTTATCCGCGTGCTTATCCAGCGCCTCTTCGCGCCTTCTCTTCGAGAAGCGAGAACTACCGCGGCGGGAATTTTCGCGAGTCCTTTTCAGGACGAGGGGCGGTTAGCCGCGCGACGAGACACTCGAATTTTACGCCCGGCATCGGCAGTGGGAGGAGGAGGGGCACAACCACGGCACTTGTGCAGTGCCGATCTGCACGTGGGACGGGGAAGTTTATACTTGCATGAGCCACTCGGGAGATTCAGCCTCTCTTTACGATCCAATAAGGCCTGAAGAAGCGGCGACAGGCCGCTCGCCGCACAGGGGAGAAAGTGATGGAACGCGATCGCCGAGCCGCGCGACAAAAAGGAACAGGCAGACCGGTCTGATCGGAATTTTCGTTTGAAACCGTCCCGCAAGCGGACAGTTTTATCGTTGGAGAGGGAGAGAGAAGGTGGAGATAGACATGTGTGCAAATTTTCTTGAGAGAAAAAAAGAGGACAGGAAGCTTTGAGTGCCTCTGCGACCGTGAGATTTCTCTCCACGACTTTGGACATTCATTCGCAAATGTAAAATCACGAGAGGGTGATCGTTCTTTCCAGATACAACAACGAATTCTCGCGTCGCGAGAAAAAATATGTGACGTTAAATAAATATCTCATGTATGAAATATTTATCTCTTTCATCATTGTCGCGACATACATGTCCTAGATAAATGCAGAATCTACCGTTAGTTTTATATTAATTAATGTTGATCGTTATTAATGTCGTTGCCCGTAACAATAGTAAGTATTACAATTTGTATCAATAAATCGGTGAAACATTTGTCAAAAAGTCAATAAATTACTTCTCGGAACTGATATATAATCTCGATTAAAAATATATTGCCAGAGATAAAAGGGTTAAATGACGGAATGACACGATGGTCGAACTAAATGTCGAAGAAAGTGAGACCAAACGAAAATTTTGTTCAGACCGTCGGTGACAAAATCGCGGAAAGCACGACGCGCATCGCATGAATAGTAACTTGCACTTCTCCTCCGTGACGCTCGAATGAATAATTTTACTTGGGGAACGGCGGACGAGGCACGTTGTCTACAATATCTAACGATTTAAGCCACTATAAACGTTAAGCAAGCAGCTGTAAAATCGCCATATTCCGTAAGACTGGCGGGGGGAAGAAGTTACACCGCGCTGAGAAACAACGGAGGGGCTCTACTCCGGGGAGAGCTGGTGGTGCGTCGGATAAGCGGAGTGCCATTCAGCGGAGGCTTCGTCGCCGTAAAACGCACGGCGGCCGCACACTCGCGGATTTTACACGCGTTCATTTTTCAGCGCTTTTATATCTCGACGAAACGCAAGTAGCCCGAGAGAGAGCGAGAGAGAGAGAGAGAGAGAGAGAGAGAGAGAGAGAGAGAGAGAGGAGCAAGGGAGAGAAAGAGGCTACTCGCGCGCGCACAACCCCGGCGAATAAATTATGCCGCCCACTCATACATCACTCCCGTGGATGTTCGCCCACCCCGTCACCGAGCCGTCGCGCTATTCACCACTTGCAATAAAGACCCCGGCGCTTCGTTTACGACGTCGCGCACATAGTAAGCTGAAATAATGACTTTTCCATGCTCCTCGCATGCGACGCAATCGGCGTCTCGTGTATCGAAAACCCCGATTAATTGTCGACAAGCCGACCGAAGATCGACTCAGTCTACTCGACTAGTGGCTATTCTTCTTAGAAATTGAATCATGTTTCTTTCTTTCTCCCCTACATCGATATTGATGACCGACGTCGCGATTGAAACACTGAGCGACATTTGAGCCGCGGCGGATGTCGCGTTCACGTTCGATAAGCCGCCCCTGTGGCGGAGAAAATTTTATGAAAAGCGCTGGGCGACTTTTTACCGAGCCAAGGGAGAAAGGACCAAGAAAGAGAGCGAGAGCAGGTTGCACTTACCAGGGCCTGCATCGTGCTCGTTGTGTCTCTGCCGACCTCCTTACCGGCTGAAGGACTGTCCGGGCTGTGCACCTTGCTCCCGATCTGGTTTTGACTTATATACGCGGCGCGGACCGAGCGAGATGTCTTCGAACCAGGAACCTGAGGAATCATCGAAGGACAAGGCGGATCCGCTCGCCGAGACGGGATACGTCGATCCCGGATCGTCGGCCGATCCTGGATCCCCGCGAGCGTGTTTCCTCGCCCACCGCCGCTGCCCTCGGCCTGGCAATTTCGTAAAGGCGAGTCGTAAAGGTGAGGAAAGTCGCCGTACCGGATCCGACGTGTTGCTTTTCTTCGTAAAACCAACAAACACCATACCGTATGAACAGCATAGGAATTCGCTCGTCCTGGTGATTTATGGCTTGATTTATGGAAGCCTCGTCATGATAAACAAATTAGGCGGGATTCACACTATTCGTCTAAACGACGGCAGGCGGAAATGCACCGATCCTCCCTCCGTTAAATCTTGTTGGAATAGAAACGGTCAAGGTGTGACGATGATGGATATCGCGGTTACTTCCATGCGAAAGCATTGAAAGCGTGTTTTAACACGCGCTGACAGGAACCTGTCAATCCTCTGTCAAATTTTCTTTTCAACCCAGTATCATTGAAGCTGAGTCATAATGACCCAGGACGTTTTCAAACCCATTAAACGTTTTATCAAATTACCTATGCTAAGAGACTACTATTTTATAAAAGCTTCTAGCTACTTTTTCTAAAACCATAGCTGACACTGCGATGGTGGACCAAAGAATACTCGAGTCATCATGATCCACCTCAACGTGCATGTAATATTTTATCACAATAACGCCGGGTTAATAGAAATCATTATATATATAAAATCATCCCCATTAAAAAAATATACACGTAAGACGCGAAGATGACGGATACTGCAAAAAATGCATTGAAGAATGTTTCGACGGAGGGTTGGCGGAATCCTGCCTACTTTCCAGACGAACAGTGTGAATTCAGGCTTAACAGGTTGCAGAGTAAGGTCATACGTATATTCTTCGCAATACGAATGTAGAGGGAGAATTGGGGCTAGTTTAATTTTCATTCTTTATCGCAGATTTCTCTTGCTGCTTGGGTTCGTTTGCTTTTGTTGCGAAGTACCGGCGGTCGTTAGACTCGGTCTACCCGCAATCGACGGGCATCGTCGACGAGCGGACGCTTAATCCTCCGCAACGAGGCCTCGATAGACCGTAATGATTATTCTTATGACGTACGAAGCGGGCATTTTTGCGCGATAGCGCGCAATTATGGGGCGTCGTTAGAGCGCGGGAGGTTGAATGGGAGAGCGCGCCACAGAGAGAGAGAGAGAGAGAAGGAAAAGAGCTTCAGGTGCATGAAACTGGTTCGACTTACCGGAGGTCGTTCGACGATCCCAATCGCGTAGATGTAAAATTTCGTCGTATCGTAACGCCGGAGAGAAAGAGAGGAAGAGAGAGCTCGGGTTTTCTGGTTTCGCGCACCGCAGGCTACGCTCGACCTCGGGCCGCGCTTCATTTGCGACTCGGTGACGCGCGCTTAATGAGATATCCTACGCGCGATCCTACTCAAGAGTTCCGGTTAAGGTACATTACTGAATTCGCGATCGTTCAATCTCGGCGTGATGGAGTTCGACGGACGCGCGAAGGTGATCCGCGAAGGGTCGTCTCGCGATTCTTCCGAGACGTTCGCGTCGCGCCCCCGACGACGCGCTTTTATTTCAGCGAACCAAATCCAGAAGCGCGTTTTCGCGAAGGAGGGAAGAGAGACGGGGGGAAAAACGAAAATAAGAGTTCGCGTTTGTTATTAGCATTAATAGCGATGCCATGATAATTGCCACACCGCGCCGGCCGAATGACACCAAGGCCAGCCGGGCTGCGCCCGTCGTCGTAATCTCGTCGTCTTGTTTTTACACGCGTATTTGTTTTATATGAGACGAAACGTGTTCCCCCTCCCCTCCCTCCTTCCGCCCTTTCAAGACGCACGTTTAATAAAGCGCATACCGCACTGAAAGCCGCGCATGTCATAAGTTCGCAAACAGGATCAAGTAACAAGCTTTTAATTTTCCCGACGGTGCGCTAAGGGGAGGAGACTGGAGTCCGATCTGTTACTCTCCTTATTGCCTCCTCCTCCACAGCCGAGCAACACTGTGTATCTAATAAGCCGCGCACTTGTGCCACGGCGAAAAATCTCCTACGCGCTCTCGCGCCCACGGTGACTATCAATTACCGCGGCCGACGATGCGATATAAAACTGCACACGGCTATATTTGTACACGACACGATGTTGCACTGGAATCGATCAGTGGCGCGCAGAAATACTCGCAGTCCCCAATTGAAACGCGTGAACACTCGAGGGGAGAGAGAGAGAGAGAGAGAGAGAGAGAAAGAGAGAGAGAGAGAGAGAGAGAGAGAGAAAGAGAGAGAGAGAGAAAGAGAGAGTGAGAGTATGTGAATTTCCAAATATTTGTTTCGTTGTGTATAAAAAACACAAAACGGTGAAGGCGTGACAAAAAACCTGTCCAAAGCCTTTATTTAAACACCACTTTGTTCACCAGGTCTGTAAATATGAAACCGGTATTTGCCCATAGATGGCCCTAGCTGTCAATGTAGTTACCGTCAAACAGCGTCATTGGCGCCATTTCCATTTGTTGACGTCTGACAAAGATTTTCAACTCACAACAATACAAGTTTCATACAACAGCATAGTTTGCAATAGCGTTGAACATGTCGAATTTTGTGCCTGGAAGCTACGATTTGCGGACAGCATTGATTTTCTGTTACCATTTGAAGAAAACTGCTGCAGAATCGCATCGAATGCTTGTCGAAGCTTACAGTGAGCATGCTCTTGGTAAATCACAGTGCTTTGAGTGGTTTAAAAAATTCGAACGTAGCGATTTTGACGTGAGAAACGAAGAACGTGGAAGACCACCGAAAAAGTTTGAAGACAGCGAATTGCAAGCATTGTTGGATGAGGATGACGCTCAAACGCAACAACTCGCGGATCAATTAAATGTGACACGAGAAGCCATCTCCATACGTTTGAAAGCCATGGGAAAGATCCAGAAGATGGGAAAATGGGTTCCACATGAACTGAATGAAAAACAGCAGGAAAACCGAAAAACCACTTGCGAAATGCTGTTCGCCAGGTACAAAAGAAAGCCATTTCTCCATCGAATTGTGACTGGCGATGAAAAGTGGATATATTTTGAGAATCCTAAGCGTAAAAGATCATGGGTAACTCCAGGCGAACCATCGACATCGACTGCAAGGCCAAATCGCTATGGACGGAAGACAATGCTCTGTGTTTGGTGGGATCAGAAGGATGTGATCTATTATGAGCTGCTAAAACCTGACGAAACCGTTAATACTGAACGCTACCGACAACAAATGGTCGATTTGAATCAAGCTTTGCGTGAAAAATGACCAGAATATAAAAAAGGCAACACAAAGTGATTTTGCTTCATGATAATGCATCATCACACACAGCAAAACTGGTGAAGGAAACGATTGAGGCGTTTAGTTGGGAAATACTTTCGCATGCGGCTTACTCACCAGACTTGGCTCCGTCCGATTACTACTTATTTGCATCGATGGGACACGCACTTGCTGAGCAGCGCTTCACTTCTTACGAAAGTGTACGAAAATGGCTCGATGACTGGTTTGCCACGGCACGCAAAGCAGTTTTTTGCCGTGGCATCCACAGTTTTTTTGCCGTGGCATCCACAAATTGTCAGACAGGTGGGAAAAATGTATAGCTGGCGATGGGCAATACTTGGAATAAAATATTTTTTATCATTTTCATACAATAAACGTGTATTTTCTATACAAAAATTCCGGTTTCATATTTACATATGAAACCGCTGGTAAATTGTGATTTGCGATAGATCGTGACAAGAGTGGAAAAGGTTCATTCATAATAATTAAGTATCGTTTCATTTTGTAAGTCTCAATTTGAATGCATCGCACCGTTATTATCTTCAAATGACAATCCTACAATTGTCGGATCTCCACAAACCGGCCTCGTAAAACGTCACTTATCTCTCGCTTGTACGCTAGACCGATAGCACGGGGAGATGTCGATCGATTAATATCCAGGCAGGCGCAAATACACGCGCATCCTGGACATCTAGCAATCCTGGATGACAGGATATTCTCTGGAAACACGCCGTGTCGCCTCTTTCTCTGGATTCTCACGATTCACGTGCGATTTGATCATTTCCTCCCGCCGCGACTCGCGTCCAAACCAGATCGTCCCTCCCTGCCGCGAATCCTCTCGCGCAATTAGGACAGGGGATCCTGGCGGACGATACGTTCTTCAATTGCGGCTTACTCGGGCGGCCTTGATCACGGCCGCGACACGGTCGTGTTCAGCGAAATTGTTCGCCTGCCGCGGCTTTTTTACCCCTTTTTCCCGCGCCGACCGCAGACGTCCAGGAATCCTTCTCCTGGCACAATAAAATCACATGACCCTCGTCCTTGGCGGTGCTGGTTGCGATGACCCGGACCCGCGCGGCACAGCGCGGCGCGTATGGCATCCGCGCGGCCGGAGGCGCGCTTCGAATGAATATTATAATGACATAAAGGGTTGGCGCGGGGGATCAACCTGCCCGCCGGGTCGCGTAAACCCGAGACCGCGGCTATTTGCATATCCTGTTTCTCTGAAAGCAGCACGGGGTTTCGAGTGCACGCGATCGATAAATCGCGCGTGAATGTCGCCGAACGCGAGTCGCGCGACGCCGGTCGGGCCGATAATTACACCTCCGACGTCGAAGTTTCCGTCAGTCGCGTGTCAGGTATCGTCATCTCATCCCGCATCGGTGGTCTCCATCGTGACGCGCGAGTATATCGCTTGTAAAGGGCGCCATTTGATCCTTAGATTAGCAGACGCTCCCACTCAGATAGATTTTCACAGGATTATCACGATGAGAGGCACCGATGATGAAAACTTTGTGGTCCTGTAATTGCATGTTTGGGAGGAACGAATATACCATATCGACTTCGTCGTTAAATTCACGTCCTGCGATGATATAGATCCTTCGTTACACCGAAGCGACAAGTTTACTAAAACCTGCGAATTATCATGTGTGCGTTACGTCTTACGTTTAATTTACACTCAACATATTATAATAACGTGTAAATATTATATTAATATATAAGATACATGTGGGTTTTTAGTCACGCGGGAAATTTTTCGTCACGCAGATTTATCAAAAGTTACACTCGGATCCTCGCTTTGCATTTTGTGCGATATGTTGTTCTGAGTAAATCTCGATTATCCTTTTCGTGTTTCTTTTATGTTTCTATTTCGTTATCTCATGAATATGGATGCCATACGAGCCGCCCATAAGAGTTACTTTACCAATCCACCACGACCAGCAAAGTCGCTGTCGAATTTACGTACACCCGTCTACCTTACTCGTGCAAACTTATTTACGAATGCTCCTTACGCGCGAATCTTTTTGACGCTATTCTCGACCTGAAAAATCGCGCGCGATAATCTCGGGGAAAGAACGAGCTCCAGCGCGATTCACGTTTCGTTAACCTTGCCCCTTTGGATTTTCTTCTTTCTTTCTTGCGATACGCGCGAATAGCTTCTTCGTGGGACTGGTACCGCGCGCGATCGGCCGTTCGATTCCGAGCTTCGCCGGGAGATCTCTCATTCTTCCGGTTATCGGTCGTGCGATATCAGGATGAAAAGTCGGGAATATAAAAGAGCCTGGGCGGACGTGTAGTATCCTCGGGATATCGCGCTCGATCTCAACGGTATGGACTGCTGGTGCTCCGAGATTTTTCGTTATGCCGCGCTCTAGCGCGCGATAAACGCGATAGAAATAGAATCGTTACGATAAGCAAACGCGTAACTTCCACAACGGCTCTGCCGCTGTCTTCCTCGGCTTCCCTCCTATATGTTCGTCGATCTCTGCCTTCAGCCTCGATACCCTCGTATTTTTCTCCCTGTCTCTCCTTCTCTCTTTCTACCACCGCCGCTCTGTTTTTATTATCTGACGAAGACAGGCCTAACAACGGGTACCAGTCAGTCCGCTCCGTCTGAAACGTTCAGTAACACGGAGAAACGGTCCTTAAAATTCACACCCATGCGAGATTCCGCGTGGCGTTGCGCGCCGACGTGCATAATGACATTCCACGAGCGCAAGGCATTCCCCGATTTAGAGTCCACTTTTCATCCGGACCGAGCGTCACGTGGCGGCGACGCCGTCTCCGAGAGGCGATCGACGTGGACAATAAGTCAGAGCCGAGGAATCCCGGCGGGGCCCAAACCCGGATACGAGTTTCAGCATGCAGGCTTCTCTCACGTGGACATGACGCGTGTTCCGAGTCGTCAGCTCCCGGCTGCCGTGCGTACCATCCTCTCGTCGACTTCCTCGTTCTTGCCGTACTTCAGCTAGCCGTTTCGCGGCTTAATCTGACACGAGACACGCCTATCCGTGAGAGAGCCCAAGAGGCGCAAAAGGTAACGGCGGTGCCGTGACCTTTCTCAGGTGGCTCTGCTCGCTGCTTCCGGTCATCGGCCGCGATCGCCGGCGATCGGAGGCGACTTGCGAAGGCTTACGTCGGCCAGTACGTGGGCGCGACGATCGTCCAGATATCCTGCGACGCGACGGTGACCCCCGCACTGATCCGTCCGTGCGGGATCTGCCCTACCAGCTACCAGCGGCGGCAGCGATATCGCCAACAGCATATGTGGGAGAGGTGCTAAGGCGTTGCTCTCTCGTGTTCGTAGGAGGATAGCAGCGTGGACCGAAAGCGTGGATAATCAGCTAAAAAGCAAGGAATAGGCTCCCGCGTGTCGGCGCGAACTCCGCGCCGAAGGCCAAGTGGGGAAGGGAGGCGAAGGAAGAGCGAGAGGAGAGAGAGAGAGAGAGAAGAAGCGACAAGAGGATAAAAGGTGATGATCGCGTGGCGAGGACGGTACGGAGAACCACGAGAAAGAGAGAGGGAGGGGGAGAGAGAGAGAGAGAGAGAGAGAGAGAGAGAGAGAGAGAGAGAGAGAGAGAGAGAGAGAGAGAGCCAAGGGAAACAGAGAGGGGAGAGGAAGAGACGATAATGGTCGGACCGTGAACACGGCAGAAACACTCGATTACTCGCGCGCGCACTCGCTCGCTGCTCTCCTCTCCTCTCCTCTCCTGCGCGCCGCGCCACGCCGTAGGTCAAGGCACCTCTTATTTCCTTAACCCAGCGCGACTCACGGTGTGACTTCAAAGTAACGCACCGCGGCTAGGCCGCTGCTCATCCTTTTTCTCACCACCGCTTCTGCTCGCCGCAACAATATGCAGGAACTTATGGTCTCGCGGTCTTGAAGCCTGTGGTAATGACCATCGCGCTTACATGATTGCGTGTATTTGCGATTTTCGACGGCCCCGGCTGCGTGCGGTGGCTATCGAGTTGGTAGCGCGAGAGATAAATCACTGGCGCGCGATTATTTTCCCTCATCCGACGTGGTCCGTGGGACTCGCGCGCTGCCTGATGGACGCGTCCGGTAGAGGAGGAGGACAATGTCCCTCATCACGACTGACCGCCCTTCTCGCGGATTTGTTCCTCTCGTTCTGACGCTCCTGAGTTCTTGCGGTAGCGCACGTCTTGGCAGTGTCTTGACAATGAAACTTGAAAAGCTGAGAATCCTCTTGAACACTCGCTCGTGGTGGTCGGTCGAAGGAAATCTCCTCTGGATACCTCGTCGTCTTACTTCTTCACGCTATCCTGGTAAACAGGTACTAGTTCGACAGCAAGGTAGTACACATCGATATTACCGTTTCTCGCTCTATAATGGAACTGTTACGTGCAACATGTGTTATTGCATTATATTACTTACATTGTATTACACTTACATTGCCAAATGGAAAACGATATAATATTGACTCAATCGTGCTGTTAGCCGGTGTTTGCTGCGACCTTATATTATCTTCCTTTTTTAACAACTTTTGAGTACTCCAGGTAGTGACGCTGTCGGGCAATGTATAATCATAACGGTAACCCACATAATTCCAAGAGACAAAGTTAACGGCGATTTATCGGTATGTGACATGCGAGATCGCGGTTGTCCGTGGTGTCCCGAGAGAGCTCGAAAAGAGGCATCGTCAAGCAGCCATCGTTATCGCCTCCTTCTCTTCCTCCTTTCGCCAGTCCTTTCGGTGTTATGTCCCGGCAAGACGACCTCTTAGAATTCCAACAAGATGCACGCGTCCGTGGACAGTAAAATCCGTCCCCGGAAAAATCGCCGCGCCGGTGGAAGCCGCGCGCGCGGACCACACCCACGCACACCGCAAGTCGCCCGCACCGAGATCCGGCCACATATTTGCGGAGGTCGTCTTATGTCGTAAACAACATAAACATAATGCAGCCGAGCCGGTGGACCACACCCGGCGCGCGTATGCGCTAGCCGCGTGCACATGTATGCGTGCATACGTACACGCATACGAGGGGGAAAGGGGGACATACACGCTGGCGTATCGCAACGAGGACTAGCACACACGACATGACATCGCTCTTCGTAGCGACCGAAAAATGCCGGCGAATAAGGCAAGCGATAAATGAACGCTTTCTCGCTTGATAAATCGCCGAAGCTGGCATAAGTCAGTAAGTGGCCTTTTATCGTGTATATTTAAATTAAAACGGGTGTACAACCAAAAGGCGTGCTGGCGCTGCTCGATGGTGTGACTGATGAGCCGGCGCACCGGAATGCCAGTTTTAAACTACGCCAAACGATGAACGTAGTGCTCGCACTTGTAAGTTGCAGTCCTTTCTCGAAAGAACGCGATACGCAATATTGAAGGCACTCTGATTCAACGTGTCATCGGAGGCGAAAAATGCGGAACAAGTAAATATACGTACATATAAAGCATTAATCATTAATAAATATATATATATAGATAATATATATATATATATTATCTATATATATATATATTATATATATATATATCGTCCTATCGTCCTACACACACACACACACACACACACACACACACACACACACACACACACACACACACACACACACACGCACGCACGCACGCGCACACACACACACACACACACACACACACACACACACACACACACACGCACGCACACACACACACACACACACACACACCACACACACACACCACACACACACACACACACACCACACACACACACACACATATATATATATAGTGCGTGTGTAACAAGAAATATATATAAATATTGCAATATATAAGAAATACTTTCAATTATTTATATTAACAAATAATTTGATTATTATGTCTTTGATTATTATAAATCATACATATGTTTTACAATTTTACCTTGCTTTCCACTTCGCCAGAGTTTTATCCAATCATCACAAAACACTTCGATAAATTCTACTATACTTCTTCAGGAATAGCATCTATATGTAAAATTGATTCTCCTCTTAAAACTTTTAAACGTAATATTCCTGATTGTTCTAGAAGCTTGTATATATCGGCCGAAGACACAACTGGCTCACCGTTAGCATGCGTGATTATATCTCTGGGTTGTAATCCAGCGCTGCAACAGTCGCGCGAATTATTAAATCTGTAGCAGGACGATAGCTCCGATCACTACTTATTAATATTTAATTTTAACTTACTTGTCGGCTGGAGATCCAATTATTACGTTCCACACAAGAACTCCGTGCTTCAAAAACGTATATTTATTATTTTGTTGTATCTCGTTCAAGATGTCGGGCATCAAGGATTGCATGGTGAGGCCTAGATACCTCCTCCTATGTCTATCCTGTTGATCCATTAGGCCTACGAGAAAGGAAATAACGTGCGATCGATATCGTCGTATCACATTGATGAAATAAAGTAACTGTTCACTTTATTACCTTTATTCTTTCTACGCGCTTCCGTTTTCTTTAAAAATTCTTTCGCATAGTCTATAGGTATAGCGAATGATATACCGACCGTCACTTTCATTGCATTGATACCTATTGCTTCTCCATCCAGATTCACTAATGGGCCACCTGAATTTCCAAACTAGAGAAAAGTGTCACTTTGTAATGGTATAACGATACAGTATGATACTTATAATATATGATACGATATTTAATTAATGTTTGTTACTCAATAAAAACTAACAGTAATTGCTGCATCCGTTTGTATGTATCCCATTCGTTTATTGTACAGACCAATTTCACTACTGTTCCTATTTACACTGCTCACTACTCCACTTGTTATACTGTTACTGAGAGCCAGCGGAGAACCAATAGCCACTACAAACTCTCCTGGTCTGATATTGGCTGAGCTGCCTAGTTTCATTACAGGTAATTTGGTCTGTAAAATTAAGTAAACTAATAATGCAATAGATATTTTAAACAACAAATCTCACACATATAAGATAGTAGAATAAAATTACCTTATTTATCCGTACAGTAGCAAGATCACTTTCTATATCAACATCTTCTATCACTCCAATATGTACACTACCATCGTGAAGCCTCACCTATATAATAAAAATAAAAACAAATAAAAATGGTTCCAAACAAGAATAACAAAGCAACAGTTCAATAAATTTCATCGGATAAGAATGAGAAGGACAAGTTTATTTTTTGTTAGTGAACATTTTGAGTATTAAAAAGAATCAGATATATAATTAAAACTTGTTGGAAGAAAATGGAGAAAGGAAACTAGTGCAAAGTGGTATAAGGAATATAAGACAGGATTTTCAGAAGACTCACATTTACCTGCACTGTTGCATTAGGTCTGCTTATTACAACATGAGCATTTGTTAGTATCAAACCATCTTCACTAACAATAAATCCTGATCCGTTACCAGTAGTGGCTGGTTTTCCTGTAAATATATCTATCCTATTTAAGAAATTAGTGATAATTAGTATCTTATAATATTGCAAAATGTTTCGTATATATGTATATATGCATATATATACACACTTTTAATTTGCAATTAAGAACAGCCTGTATATCTTACCTCTTGGTATCTTTAACTTCAATGTATACTACAGACGGTGCACATATCTTCACTACATCTGCTATAAAATTGTATTTGTCTCTATTTTGACTATTACTGGGTGGTTGCGATGAGGTAGCGTGAACAACAGAATATTTGTAGACGTCAAAACTCTTGATTCCCTGCCATATATCATCTTTCCACTTGTATATAGCGTAGCAGAGACCAGAGACAAATACAGTATAGGTTAATAGATTATTCCCTTTCTTTTCGTGTACCTTTCGCTGCTGCTGTTGCTGCGAATGAAGTGGTCGAATTTGTGTGCATGGCTCCGTGAAGACAGTCAGCGTGCATCGTGACAGATTCGTGTGTCTCTTCACCAGGAACGACCACGATAACCGTGACAAGAAAGAGACCATCTTTCATTCACATCGTAACGTATAAATTGTCAGATTCTGTATAAATTGTCAGAATGCTCAGCTCTCTTGGGAGTCAAACGTTTCGTTACGAAATGAATATGCGCAGTCGCATTGAAAACTCATACTTATATGATTTTACTTGAATAACTTTTGTTGACACACCAAATATCATACATTAATTTTGTGATGACTTTGTATGATTTCGAATCCACGCGCCAAATTATTCGAGCATTATCGACAGTTTCCGCTAAACTTCGTACAATCTCGTGTGAAATCGGCTGCTTAAAAATTTGAACGTCGATCGGATGGACCAATAAAAGCGCGTTAAGAGAACTGGATAAAATAAATATATTGTAATTTTCTATGATTATTTATCAAAGATGTATTAAATATTGACAAATATGTCCAAAAATAATACGCTAAAACAAATTATTAAAATGCCAATTAATGATCCATTCAAGGAATGTTCTTGGATAAATTTGCTGTATATTGGCGCGAATGAATTGGTAACTCTGTGATCACGTGATACAATTCAAACAGGATTCCTTTTTCAATGGACGATCGGTTTGGGTCGATCACGACAGGTACGTGTTAAGCGATAATTAGCATCCTACTTATTACGTCTCAATTATGTCTTATAACAACTAAGTTTATTGATTTCATTGAAACAATTAATTATAAACACTGTTGACGATATTGAGGATTCAATGACACGTTTATTTGTTCAAAATTTGTCGACAAAGTACAAGATTCAATATGTCGGCATCGTTTATTCATCGGGTCAAATTGAAGAAAGCTTTATATTGTACTTATGTGATAAATATACATGTTTTTATTATTCGCCTCATCGTTAGCACAATGTTGTATATTTTATGTAAGTTGAGGCAATGAGATGGTTGAATATAAGTGGGAACTAATAAAATTAATTATATTATTGAATTATCTCATGGGAGGCTTCGTTACTCGACAATATCGCACTCAGATCAGCATCCATTTTGCGATCATTGCTAACGACATCAGAAATTCTGCACGATGTATCCATGTGGCAAGAGTCTAGGACAAAATAATACATCTTTATTGTAACATAACTTCCTCATATTTCATGATGGCATCAACAATGTAATCTCCAAAACGGTTTACTTCTAATTGCAAATTATTTTTACCATTATGCAATTGATTACCATTACATTCGAGGGCGTTTCTATTATATAATAAATTTTACTATACTGTTTTAACATTCTGTTGTTATATCATATATATTTAGCTAATAGGATTTCCCTCATTAGTCATAAAATTAGTCATAAAAATTTGATTAGATTAAATCTCTGGAGAGAGATTGTTCCAAAGTTTATTTTTAAATGTTCAATGTTATATAGTGTTTATATTTACCTTGTGAGCAACAAATTCCATTTGTAGCACATCTAGCTGTGTTTCCACGGCACATTGCATAGCCTGCGATGCAAGGTCTAGCATATGGACTTTCCTTTCTGCATCTGTATGTTTCTGGTGTTCCAATGAAGCATCCAATGGTAGGGCCGCAGCAAATGTGAGGCCCAAAGCATTGACCCAGATGATTGGGACCACATGGAGGGCACTGAGTTCAGAGAATATTATAAGGATTAGATTATATCAGAAAGTCATATCGCACATTACAATATATATCAATACAAATTCACGAAGATATTGGTTAGATGAACAATGATTGATTTAACAAAATGATCAGAAATTTTGCTCTGATAATACTTTCTTCTAATAATACGAATTTTGTCAATATTCTACACTCTTTTCAATGCGGGAAAAAATAGATAAATGCAACAATTTTTTAATTATAGAAAAGATATGTTATATGATTTGGAACATTACTCACTTCTCGAGTGACAGTTCCCAAAGAAGGTATAATGTCACCTCTTTTTCCACCGCGAGGACAATTCGTAATTAAACAAGCATAACTTAAGAAAATGAGACTTGCAAAAACGACGAGTTCCCTTAGCATTTTGAGCACAATTCGTCGATTTTGCACAGGCTGATATGTCGACGATCGGAAAGGTACTGTGTACCTCGTGAAACTGCGTCGGTTATTTATATCGTCGAATACTCAGTATTTAAGATTCCAGTGGAGTGTTCGAGTGGACTCCCACTCACAATACAGCACTCTAAAGATTATGGAAATCTGATCTCCATACGAGAATAATAAAAACGTTATAAGAATTGCTCTCTTCCTTATTGCGGATGCTACAGCTTCCTTTTCGTCCTTTTAATCGAATGAGATTTAAAAATGAAATAAAAGATACGAAAAAAAATAATTTGTAGATATATTCATTATTCGTAATACAGATTTGATACATATTTACACAAATTTCGTTATTTTATCGACCGCTTTTGATTTCTATGATCTTTATTTTTTTTCAATTTTGACGTTTTCCTTTTATTAATTACGAGATTCTTCCGTCTAGTAATCATCTTTGAATCTCGAATTTTGGGTTTCTTAACTGCAGATGTTTTTAATTCACTCTCTGCTTTGCGTTTTTTAATTATTTTGCCCTTTTTCACGTCTGTCTTAGCTGTAGTTTCCGTAGAAAGTAAATTGGGACATTCTTTCTCAGTATGACCTGCAATAAAATAAATAATTAGAACTATACAAACTATGTAGGAAGACATCAAAATTTACCCAATTCGTTGCACTTGAAACATTTCCCAACAATATTCGGAACTTGTCCGCATACATGTTCCTGCAACGTACATCTTTTGCACGTTTTGCAATGCATCCAAGTAGGCTTCACGCATCGTTTGCATATTTTACAATGTTTGTATGTTTTACCATTTTTGGAAGTACATTCCTTACACTTCTTACAATGTTTGTTCTCACTGGAGACCCATTTTTCACAATCTTCACAAAATTTGTATCCATCGGACGCAGGAAGCTCCAATAACTTTAACGGTATATTCGTAAAGATCCTCACGGGAGAACTTTGTTTTTTGCCATGTTCTCCTGACACAAATAACGGATGATTTTCATAATCCACTTTGTAATCAGACATCTTCAAATCTTTTAAACCACCAGCCACTGATGGTGGATTACTTTTTTCTTTTATGATATGTTCCATGAAGTATGGGAACATAAACATAATTTTCAAAGAAAAATCGTTATTGTTATTGTTATTTAATTTTTTGTGTAAGTCAAATATTGTTTTTATTGTGTACGACATAGGTTCTACACGTCCTCCAAATGGTGGATCACATATTAAGTATGTGTCTTTCCCTTTATTTTGAGTAATAAAATCTTTGAACACATGAATTGCATCTTTGTTGAAAAAATGGTGATTGAAAAGGTTGTACCAACAATAATCCAGTGGTCCAAAAAAATTATGCTAAAATAATTGAGGAATATATTTATTATAACTATTATAAGTTACTAAAATATATTTTACAATTTGGTATATAACATAATTGGCAACTTTGGTCTCTTTCTAGAAATACTTACAAATCTTCCATCAAGATCTAAAAGGAGAGAGGATATCTTATCTATATGATGCTCAGATATATATTCATATATTCTTGGTGTTCCTACACAAAGGACCTGCTTAGCTCCAAGTTTTAAAAGCATGTTTATTATATCCTTAGTAGATTTCTTGGAGAATAAATATTGAGCTTCCTTCTTCACACTATTTAAAGGTTTTAAAAGCTCTGTTGGATGATGCATCTGATAATCTGTTAAATTCTCTGTCACTTTGTGATTATTGTGCTTATCTTTTTCAGAAATAAGAATTAATTTTTCACAATTATGACAATAACATCTTTTCATCGTAGATTCTGCTTTGATCTCATTGAAACGTATGAACAATTTCTGATGAGGATAACATTGCACAAGCTTCTTCCCTTTTTGCTCCCATTTGCTCTTTTCAGACTTTGACAATTCCTGGCCATATGTTAAATAGAAATTGCATAATTTTCTGTCGCGACAAGCAGAACATGCATAAAATTTTTCTGATTCACCATCAATATATCTATTAAATAGCAATGTTGGTCCTGTGGAGAAGAGGTTAATTGTCTTGGAAGAACAATTTTTAACATAAAACTAATGAACTTGAATGTTTACAGGTATGAAAATTACCGTGTGGGCATTGCGGATGTTTTTTGAGGTCTCCCCATAAACATTCTACACCACGTATGCCGTTCATCCTATTTGATTCCACCACGTAAACAATGCACAGGTAAGCTCACATTGATACATATCACAGATCATTTTCCGGTTTCACAGACAGACGATAAAGGCGCTAATTCTTAAGCCTTTTGCACAATGCCAAGTAACAGGCAATAAAAATAAAAATAGACCAATCACAATAGATTATTCTTGTAATAGTCGATTGTGATTGGTCTATTTTTATTCTTATCGCTTGTTGCCTGGCATTGTGCAAGGGGCCTTACTTCCTGATCTGAATATTTGGCGCTAAATATGAGTTTTAAATGTCTAAAAGTTTCAAATGTCGTATCACTCATTAATTAGTCTTGCGCGATTTCTACTTAGAGGGGAATTTTGTAGAATTGTAAATGATTCAGTCATGGTCCACAAGTTAAATGCTTTTTATTGTTATCTATTCTACAAGTGCACACATTGTCAATGTTTGCTGTTCGGCATATACACAAGAATTTTTTTTTCATTATAATCTCATGAAAACATAATAGCAAATACACGTGTACAAGGCATATATCAAGCCTCTACAGTTTCTACATACAATTGTCTCAATGTGCAAGTTCTTATCCTGCAAAGAAAATAGGTGTATTAGGGAACAATTAATCTTAATTCTTATTTAAAGTACAAATGAAAAGTTTTTTTTTTTCTTTTACATGAATAAATAGAAGTAATTTGTTGAATTTGTAAATTAATCTTTGCCTTCGATAATCAACGATCTGACTTCACACAGAATGTCTTTTTCTGTGGATTCCTTTATTCACCTACGTCTCGTAGGACATTCAATATTACAGCTAAAAATGTGTTAATACATAACGCAGGTTCAATAAGAAACTTGCGTTGAATCTTACATCGTGTTCATTGAACGTACATTAAACAGAGTTCAAATTCAATGTTGTGCTCCCAGATGTAGTTTTTTGTTTTCTTTTTTATTAATGATAACATCAAGCAAACGATAAATTTGCTCAATTTGACGAAATAAAAAATCTTTCATGGGGATACGTACTCAAACACAACCTAACTGTATTCTTATTCTAAAGCGTCCTAAAGCGTCTTTCAGAATACACACATTTCGTGATCCGCCGTGTGTTAGACCCGTGTGTATTCCGTAAGATAGTATCACAGACTATTGTTTACGCAGTAAAAAAAACACTCGCTAAAAATATTAGCTTAGGATCGCTGTAATGTCGATGCTATCCCCAAAACGTTCACGAGAGAAACGAAAATCGTCAGAATGAGATACAATTATTTACATGATCGGACAATGAGAATTGTCTGTATAATTTACGCCGTGGATCGCACCCACAGCGAATGCAAGATTTGCGCAGCATTTGTTTTTTGTGCCTAATTTTTCGTCTACGTCAGGTGGTTTATGTACGCACGGAGGGAGAGAGCATGTCATGCGGTTTCGTAGATATAGCATATACTCCATATAATACTGAACGTTCTCTTATACTGAACTGGCTCTTGAAATACTTTAATTCTGTATAGCTTGTAACAACCTATTAAAGCATCTAAAATTATAACACTAACACAAACGCGATTATACAAATACACAAACTCGCTACTGAGCTCTATCGTGTTACACGTGTAAATCAACTATCACATTCCACATATTCACGGATTTATAACTCATATATAATTAACTCTTTGTATCGAGAGTTAGATTCTCAACTGTTCTATTTGTATTGTTCTCTAATGTCGTCAAAATAATTATATTATTTCCGTGTTATTTCGAAGAATACATACATCTCGAAGAAACTAACAAGCATAATAGTTATATTCGTCTTTGTTCTGGTAACGATGTACGTTTCAAACGCATTTTTATCTCTCTTACTATATATAACTTTGTTATATATATATTTTTTTTTACTAAACTATATTTAAATAATCTCTGTATTTACATAATTGACTACGAAGCTTCATTCTTCGGCTTCCTGTACAAATAAACCGTCTCAATTGCATTTCAAGCGATTCGTATGTTTAATATAAAAATTTACTTACGCGTATATCAATTAAGAAGAAAAAAGATTTCAAAAGAAATTCTTTCCTCTCTCTCTTAGAAACAAGAGAATTTTGTGGTGCGTAAGAATACGAGGCATCAATTGGATTAAAGGAGAAAAAATATTCACATCTCGTTATTTTGTAAAATTCGAATCAGTAGCATTTAACAGGCTAATTTCATGAAGTTGCTATCACAAACATTGTAAAAATACGCCAAGAAATTTCAGCGGATATATAGTAAAATTGATATAGACGCTGTCGAGAAAATAGCGCTGACAGCCCTGACATAATCTCCTAGCAATAAAAAATCGCGCAACATTCGTTAGATCGTCAATTCAATTAATCACAAGTTAATATTGACCATATTGTACTTGGCGTCGTAACGCGTAAAAATTGCATCTATTCCTGCGGCAAGTAGTTTCGTATGTTTCACATCGATATAACGCTACACTCGAGTGAGGTGTGAAAATATGAAATAGGTGCAGTGTGAGATCGAGTCTCATAAGAATCCCCTACAAAATTCGATCGAAACTGTTCGCTACTCTCTACATGATGCTCCCGTCATATTAAATCACGCGCGATCTACGTAGTAAAACTATAATACAATCTCTCAATGCTTTATTCCTCCTTCTCGTTCAAGAGCGCGCGATAACATTTGCGTTGCTGTCGAATGCAAGATTCGAAATTTTCTCGGGAATACACACAATGCGTCAGTAAGCGCCGAATTGATATTTGAGATTGGATCGCGAGAAGAAAGCTGGTCGTTGGAATGATAATATGTTTATAAAGCGATGAGTCTTGATTGACAGGTGGCCCATTTCTCTTGAAGTTTGTGGCGTTCCTCCATGTGATGTTCCGAGAGGTTTCGCAACAGTCCCACGTTGCCTGATTTGAGCTTTCTTGGATCCAAGTTAGCTCCTAACGTTTGAACACCTTTAGCGAACTTCGAGAACGGCGATAGAATGTCCTTAGCTGTCGACGCCACCGGACTGGTGACGCTTGTAATATTCTCTTTGATGGACTTTAAGGCGGATTCGCTCTGTGACGAAGTGATGTTTAACGTCAGATCCTGCTCGGACGCTGATCTCTTCTTCTCGTCCAATCTACTGTCCGTCTGTAGGGTGACGCTCTTGATACCGATTGACAGTTTGTTGTCCATCTCTCCCGTCGAATGACTGATGTTCCTGGAGAACGTCAAGGTCGACGGTGGTAATATCCGTTCTCTGTCCTCGCATAGGCTTTCTCCCACGTCGTACACTGTGATCTCAGGCGTAGTCGCAGCAGTCTTCTGTGGTGAGGCGCTGAGAGTACTGGTGCCGGATCCGATTTGCGGTATCAAGAGCAACGCATCGATCGCCATATCCGGCTTTGAGTCGAGATTCATGTCGTTATGCCTCATCGTGGACAGATTTGTATTTCCATTGCCATCGCAAACCTCACCGTCCATGACATTATTCTTCACGCCCATGATAATACCGATAGACGGGGTGTAAGCTTCCATCAGATGCTTGTCGTGACTGAAGTTCATCGACTTCTTCACGTGAATATGCGTCATTTCGATATTTTCGTCATCGTCGCTACTGCTACTGTCGCTCTTCAGCTTAACATTACCCGAGATATCTCTGTCACCTACGGTAAAGATTGGCTTCGACATTTTTTCCGCTCTCTTGCCGCCTATGCTCTTGGCCAGATCGATCGGTTTCTTCGCGCTAAAACTCTGACTCAGTTTGTTCAACTTGCTAAACTGTTCTGACATATTGCTCAAAGCTTTTGTGCCTGAAAGAGAGAGGGAGAGATACTGATGTTTACACAAAATTTTTAGGTTTCGCAAATAACGGGGATGACTTAAAAACGAACCTGCTGTTTTTAAGGCGAGCAATTGCGTCTCAGACACGTTTCGCGTTAGTTCTGGCAACGATGAAATATCCAACAAGCCGGTAGAGCCTTTAACATTCACCAGTTTACTCTTTCTCTTATCTAACGCGACATTCATGGCCACAGGAACCTTCGGCAAGCCTGCTATTTCCATGGCCACGGAAATAGCTTCGCAAATTGCTTTCAGAGATTCTGAAGAAATTCAAAGATATAGCAAATCGAGAGGTCGATATAACATAATATCGCGACAAAGAATGCATTCTCACCTATGCTCTCCTCTTCGGTTTTAATTACTACCGCCATGTTATTGAAAAATCTTAGATTTGTACTGCGGAACATATGGAAGTAACCGTACTCGCCGTTCACCTTGTAATTGATTCTGATACAGTGATAATGCTTGTTCTTGAAAAACGAGACTGTGTTCTCAGGTTGACCGAATTCAACCAGAACGATGTCATTCAACTGGACTCTCTGATAATTCGTAACTTTGTCGATTTGATCGTCATAATCCGCTATGTAATAACTGTCTCGGGTTAATATCAAGATCGTATCCATCTCTGTTTCCGTTGGATCGCCGGTACTATGAAACAATTCAATTGAAAAACAAATTCAAACATAATTACTAAACATAGACACATAAACATCTATTGCGGCGAATGTTCCACTCCTTATGCATACGTACACAGGATCGGCATCGATCACTCCCCAACTGCCCAGAATAATTTCCGGATCGGGTATCAGCAATTTTTTGCAGTCTTCGATCAGCAGTTTCACGTGAATCGCAGTAGCTGCATTATCCTCTTCCTCGGTGCGCTCTTGAAACACTTCCTCGCTCACCGAATTTCCCAACATCATATCAATTGTCGCTTGTCTATAGACATCCTTAAAGCGATTTAAGTAATATCTGCAAAGACGTTAAGTTTGTACTAAGAGTTGAAAAAAGATTCTAGGCTAAAAGCAGTATTGAGAAAGATCAGAAGTGTGTTCGGCAGATTGTGATCACTATGTATAAGAAATTGTTTAAACGGGAGGAAAGCAGCATCTTTTTTTATGTTTATTCTTCAATTTAAATAATTATAGCAATGAAGCAAAATTGTATTTTCAACGAAACAGGGGAAAAAATATAAGGTCAAGCATGCAAAAGAATTTTGATAGTATAACAGAAATAACTCATCATGCTGACAATAGCATAGTTTTTTTTACGCCACACGATTCAATGCATAATTGAATTAATTTCTGAAGATACATTCTCTCTCTTTCTCTTCCTCTCTCTCTCTCTCTCTCTCTCTCTCTCTCTCTCTATCGTTTTCTTTTCAATAATGAAACGCAGAGCAAGCAACGAACCTTGCCAAATCATATAGGGCAGTGATATAAAGGAAGTCAGGATGAGTAGCAAGTTGAAGTTGTATATTTGGTGGTTTCATAGGTATAAGTTCGAGACAGCAATTATCAAGGATATCTAAATAGTGTGACCAATCGTTGTTCAGTCGATCAACGTCGATTGGATTCCCTAGCAGCGTATCTATCGCCGCCTGACGTAAGTCGTCCGTAAAGTGTTGCTGATAATATCTAAAGGAAAATGAAAGGGCAATTTCAGGGTCCTATAGAATCAACGTGTGTGAATAAGAATATCTAATCTCCGGGGTGTTATTTTCGAGGCGCGATAAACTGTGTTGCTTTTGTTCGTGTCGTGTGAAGGTGTTGTAAACCAAGACAAAAAAATTAAGCGAGTACGAAATGTATACAAAAGGATGAAAGGCACACCTGTTCGCAGAATTCATGCCGTCCTTCATCAATCCGGTAAACTTTCTCTCCCCGGTACGCGTATAATCTCCCTGTAATATAACAGTAGGCTTTGTGAACATTATTCGAAGTAAAATTGGTTGGTCGCTCAACACGATGGTCTTCGAGATGCGATGGTACAGACCTTCAAAGCGTTTGTCCCCGCATACTGCTTGCTAATAATATCCCCATTATTAGCCCAAAGCAACTGAAAAGTCTGTCTTATGTTTGCAGGCAGAATTCCGTCGGGTGGTATTAGTCCTAATTTCGAGAACTGCATTTCCATAACAGCTTTACCCAGAGCGGTTTGCACCACGTTTGTTCTATCTAAGCAATCGATGCAATTCACACGGAATATGCCCTTTTGCATGCATATCGTACCTTGTTTATCGCGCCAGCAGTAACCCATATCTGCCAGCACTGTAGCCAATGCATTAACCAGAATAGACACATTTTCGAAATGCATTCCTCGACTGTGTTAGGCACAAAATTGTTCGAGATACAAAGGTAATTCATGACGATAAATACATGGAACGAGAAGCATGAGGATACAACATTACAACCTGCATCAATACTTACCAGTATTCGTGGAAGTCGAAAGTGGTGTACGTTATGTCCGGGTGATTATAATTAAACACATGATTGCTGTAAGCTTCCCAAATTATTTTTTCTTTGCCGGATTGTTCGACCAAATTGACAATACAAACTGGCCCATATAATGTCAGCTCTTCATTGAAATGCTTTTCAAACGCTACCTGCGTTTCAGCTTCATCTGTGTAACATTCATTATATCAGACCATGAAGCTCTGAAGAATTCTTAAGACCTGACAAATACATCCTTGTACCTTTATCAATTCGTGGTGGAGGTTTGTACTTGTATCCGGGCTGCGACCAATACACTGGCACGCTTCCTCGTACTTGCACGAAAGATACTTGATGATCGTGATACCAAACTAGTTGCTCGGTCTCAACATAATTCGCACATTGGCCATTATCGTCTACTCCGCGTCTCTTATACCTGTATAATGATATATGTTGAGTTTAACATTGACAAAATTGGACTCATGATTGTGAGGAAACAACCATCAAAGATCTCGCTAGTAAAGATTACCTGGTTCCAGCACGGAACCTGCTTCTCCTTGATATGATTGCCAAGTTAAATGTCTCTTGCTGGGGCTGTTCGTCGAAACCCACTTCGACTATACACTTTTCTATTTGAACATATCCTTGAATGATTGGTAATATCCAGCAATTTGCCTTATCTGTCTGCAAAGTAAAAAAGTAGCTTGGATAAATGGATAGTACATATTACATAAAACACAAACGACATATGCTCATTGATTATTGTTATCATAGTTGGCTTCAGATGACAATATATCAATGAGTGAACAAATAAAAATAGATTGTTTTTCTCTTTACAATAAATTTTGCACATTCTATCACGTGCAATTATAATATATAATATAATAGTGCTAACTGTAGATGCAAACATAATTCATAAAAATTGCTAACATTTAAACTGATGATGTCATGTAACATATGTTTATTCCAGAAGAATCTATCATCAACACGTTGCCATAATGGCTTGTTACAGTCGCCTTGGTCCTGTTGGGATTCTGCCATACATTGCTGTTGCAAGCTGTTGGTGATGTCACCAGTTCGGCAGAAGAAGAAAGAGTCAGTTTCAGTAAATATCTTGCTTAACTCTTCCAATATTCTCTTTTCGAATCTTTCTTTATCTTTTACAATGCTTCGTTTTATCACTGTCGACTTCACCTATAGATAGTTTGTAAGTTATATGTCGTAATTATGCAATAATCAAATAGGATGGTATTGTCAATAATTGTCTTTACTTGAGATGTAGCTAATGCAGCAGCTTGTTGTGTGGTGTTCTTTATGGTATTTGTAGCATTCTTGATTGTGCCCCAAGTTTTTGCCAGGGCTGCTTTCTGTGGCACGTCAAACAATCCACCAGCTCCTTTTTTCTTCAACACATATTGGTGTTTCTTACAAGGCAACAGGCCGATATCAGTATTTTCCGTACCGATATGTAAAAACGCGATAGATTTAATCTTGTAGACAACATGACCACCATGTAACTCTCCCGCTGGTGTGACATCCTTTATAAGCATCAAGCGGGGCTCCAATACTGACGCTTGTTCGATCTTGCCTACTATTCCGTAAAACATTCCTAGGCATTCTAGATCCTTCGGTGTGGCCCATTCCCAATCTACAAAAGATCCGTTATTATCTGTAAGATGGAAGTAGTAAATGTCTTGTCATATTAAATCCCAGCACAATATTCGCTCTCATGTCGAACATCAAGAGTCGTATATCGGAAAATGTCATCTGTACATGTCTGTAGAACCGTGTTGCATGACTGTCATTCGCTTAGAGTTGACTCACGCCCGAAAGAGTTTCACAATGTCGAGATCGCTTTTGACAGCGACGCGCTTCGTATGACGCTCGTGTGTCAAACGCGATCGCACGCACATCTCACCTGATTTCGCGGAGAATTCGCCGGTGTACTTATCGCACCAGAGGCTGTACCTCTCCTTCACGAAGATAAAATGAGTATCAGTGCGGAACAGCTCCATTCTTTCGCTTTCCTGCGCTTTGACAGCCGTCAAACGGCATGTGCGACGTTTCCGCGCGGAGACAAAATATCCGCCTACCACCGAACGCTCGCCATGTTGCTCGCCGCGCTCTCACTCCGCTGTCTTTGTTTCCCGATGTGGGAGGCGATGACGACAACGAACGGCCGCTCATACGAAGCGCGAATCAATTGTATTATTCCTCAATGAGCGTGACAATGAAGCAGCCGGTCGTTCGATATTTCGAGATTGTCTCACGATTACGGAGTTGCTCTTGACCTGGTTGGTACTGTGTGAATAATTAAGGCGGGATCTCCTGCCTGACTTTTTTTACGTGTTAGTAAACAATTATAATATATCTAACGCAATATTTTTAGACGCGAAGAATCATGTGAGATCTTCCATAGACGCGGGTATTTCATGAACGAGAATATTTATGTCCATAATATTGCGAGAGATGCAAGGATACTTTGTCTATAATTACTCACTCAATTATTAGATAACGTTGGAGAATACGTACACTTGGAGAAAGACCAGAGTTGGGAAGTGACGCGTTACTGCACAAAAATAATTTTCCCAACCTTGAGAAAAGCATAACTGCTCGTTTATAGACTTATATCTAAGAAATCTCAAAGAGAACATAAATTTCAAGATTAAAAATCGAATTTTTGAATAAGTGAATCTTTATTACAATCACCATGCGGGTGAGGGGATACATTCTTTACATATACAATTTTACACTTTTCCATTCGAGATACATATCTAAAACTTTTCCGAAAAATCGAAGAGGCAATATTTCATATTAAAAAGTTTATAAATTTCCTTTGGACCAATAAGGTCCACCAATGATTGCGTATCTAATGCGTAAAATAGCTAAACGCTGCAGCTTGCGCATAATCAGTGCAGAGAGCGTATTATATCTTAATGGCTGGAATATACCGCATGAAACCTGCATAGAATGCGAGCACATAGGTGTAAAGAATTAAACCGTTTTTACGTCAGGCATCGCGTGAGACTCTGCCCACATTCGTGCTCGCGAACACGCACACAATACAGAGAGTAACATGCGGAAAAATCCTGCACGCACGACGCCGAACACGCAAACCGACATAATAGCATTGATAACCAATGCAATTAAATTACTAATTTTGTTTTTCTAAACATACATATTTCTAGATATCAACGTAAAATCACTCTGATAGATGTGTATTGCTCTGACATGTTCTCGCTTCTTTGAATATGTACGATTAAAAAATTTTAATAATTCAATTGCGCGACACGTTAAAGCTATTATATCAGTCTGTGAACATAAAGTAATGTCATATTAGTGATATTCTTAACGATTACATTGCGTAACGTCATGCGCAGATTTTTTTTAATGACTCTTACAATATGTAGTATAATATAGTATAGTAGTATGATACAACCGATAAATAGTTGACAAATACAAAGAGGCATGTGAAAATATTCGTGTATTCTCATTGAGTCAACATCGTGCATTGTAATCTGGAAATCTTCTTGCAATAACAAGAGACTGGTCTCGATTAAGGTAATCTAATCTCTTCTTATCCTCAGGATGTGTGAGACAGTCTTGTGGCTTTATTTTCCTCGCCTATGATTTCAAAGTGGCCAACAAATGCATCCTTCCGTTATGTACAGTCTTCGAAGTGCTTTGTATTCCTTTCGTCGATCAACATCTTTATCTGCTCTTGCTGCAAGATCTCAGGAAGAAAATCTAGTTTCATCAATAATCTGCGACAATTTTACCACATGATCTTTTACTCGTCGTCGTTAGTATCGTTTTTCTTGACCTTGTATTCTTCCCACTTCCTATGATTGAGAGTCTGAAAGTCGTCGACTTTAGCTATCAGTTCTAGATATTTTGACAACTTCACCAACTCGACATCTTTGACTCTAGTGATGTGTGCGTGCTTGAAAGGTCTTATTCTCAATCCTGATTGTGGATTCATAATGAAGTTCCTTCTAATATCGTCGAACATTATCGTATTCTTCGCAGAGTATTGCTTGTATTTGCCCCAGATAATGCCCAAAGGCTTCACCCCGACGACACCGTACTTCGGTGTGTGCACGGTGATCATGGCGAGGACATCTAAATGAAAGGCTATCTTATAGTTGGGATGATTCGAGACTCCCAACAACTTCATTTTCTCATTGATCCACCTCATACTGGTTGCCGACCAAATGACGATGTCGTAATATTTGTAAGCGCGCGTTAAGAACTCGTGAAGATACGGACGCATCAGTTCCGCTCCACTCTCTGCCACTGACTTGTGATCAAACAAAGTGTAATCTATATCCAGTACAAGCAGCTTCTTACCTTCCCGCAGTGGATTCAACTCTGTGATCATATAACGTTCGATTCGTATCTGAATTTTGCGCAAATTTATCTCAGCTTTTTCAATCTCCACTTCTTCCTCCTCTATATCTAGATCATTTATCACATCAGGTACATTCTCCGGTGCTTGACTAGCTTCTGCAATATCTTCCTCACGTGAGCCCATCAACATTACTTTGTAGCCAGGTTTCAAGTCTAATTTGCCAATGATGTCATCATCCTGGGCTGCTTTACCTAATAAAGGAAAAATAATTATAAAATCCAAAAATCTTATAGGGACAAATCTAAACTATGAACTAAGATCTTTATCAATTTTCTTTCAGTATGTATACCAGTCAAGATATAATGAACAAAATAATTATTCGATAAAATTGTAAATAAGATTATTGAATTTGAAATACCGTATACAAAAAAGTCATTTTCACAATTATGAATAATACTTTTAAGCAAATATCATAAATGACAACAATATGTAAGAAAAATGTAAGTGAAATCTAACATAGTGATTAATGCAATAGCATATATTCGGCTATTTCACAGTGATATACTTAAAAATGCACTTCATTAAAATATTGCATCGATATTTGTTTGTGAAGCAATTCATCTATCAAAGATAAAACATAACCTTTAGATTTGAGATTTAACAGCCTCTGACGCTCAGGACGAACACCCGTCTCCTTGTATATATATTCTTTCAGCGTAAGAACAGTATCTTCTTCCTGAAGATCGAGGATATCGTATTCTTTTCCGCTCCATCTCACCACAATCCTATGTTTACATTCCATTCTCGCGTTTCCTCTCACGTCAATAGAACTAGGTGCATGTGCATCACAAGCCCGAGAGGAGACGCGCACGCGACACATGCACTACATTATCGACGGCATACATTCGATTTGAAAAATCATTTGCATAAGGGAATGTCGATAAAACAATAAAAGAATTTTATTTTTTATGTAATATTCGCCGGAAGACAAAAATCCTCCGAGGTGAAAATATTGCAGCATAGGGCCCACCAGCAGAGCTCTACAAATATATTTATAAATAATATTGTTTAATAACAATATTACCCAAGATCAACAGGTATGGACAATGTACTTTATCATAAAAAAAATAAAATAGTATATTAAATATTATATAATTTTATTTCAGGAGTATCCGCTTGAAGAATATAGAATATTTATTTTATAAAAACCGAACTCCGAGTTACGCAAATTCAATATTGTAAAATCCGCGAGTAGATATTGTTGCACCTGATTTATTGAGGATTTTACAACATGTAGAATCTGGGAGCAGACATTACTACATCTGACCTAAAACATTAAAAAACGCGGGAAAACGTTAAAAAACGCATTAAAAATAGCTTTTGGGAGAGCGTGAGCAACAGCTATATCAGAGTGCAATAAAGTAACATTTCAAGGATTATTTAGCGATTTACAATTGATATGATTTTTAAAGGTAGCTTACATTGATGAGGAGTGCGAAGTATATATAAAATAAATATATTATATAGAAGTTTAGATTTCATAATCACGGCAATAATCTGTTGTAACAGCTTTATTATGAGAATACATAAAATAATACATCTTAATCCCAATCATCAATCTTAATTTATACCAAAGGTATAAAAGAACTATCAAAACGCGTACGAAGTTTATCGCAAAAAAATACTTGCAAAATATAATTAATATCTCGTTCATGCTGCTACGAAAAATAGTCTGTAGTGAAGATTACTCGAATCTGATTCTCCTCAGACAATATTATAGCGTCTTAAAATCCCTAAGACATATTAAAATATTATTAGAAAGACATCTTTATAGCTTGAAAGAATATACAGCACGTTCAATTGTAAATAATTATATGCTTGCAAGTTTGATTTTCTTACGCTTCTTATGTAATATATATATATATGTGTAAACTTTATTTATAAGACTTCAGTATTATTGCTTCGCGTGGCGTAGGAGTTGCGTTTTTCTCTCCACGGCGCAAAGGAGGCTCCTGGTATGTCCTCGCAAGATATTATAGGATTGTCATGACCAATAGAACGCATAATTTCCATTTGGGCGTGCGTGATACCGTCGGAAGTGTCGCATATCAACTTCGCCAACGAACTCTTCCGCAGCTCCTCAAGCTGATCTGCAATTTTGATGAGTGCAATTCATCTGTTCGTTTTTCTTTTATTACGTCTTTTAAATCAAATTTCATTGGAAGGAATTTAAAGAGAAAGTTTTTTCATTGAACCATCGATTCGTGTTTCGAACTACATCGAAAGAAAACTATTTAAACGGTTCTGAAATCAATTATACGTAGTGAATAAATATACATGAAAATAAGTGAAAATAAGTATTCACTGTACCTTCAGTGAAAGCATAAGGCTGCTCAGCAAACTCATACCAATAACGATCGCCTTTTTGTAGATGCACGAACTGATCGATGATCAAGCACGCAAACGTGGGTCCGACCAGACTGCCCGACTCCGGCATTTCCGCCAACGCACCTGTATATAGATCTACATCGTCGACGGACTCATACAGAATTGATATCTGCTGCAGAGCCTGTCGATCCAAGTAGCGTTCGAGATCATCGAATGACTGTGCCTTTCCCAGGCCGCAGTATTCCCGCCACATAATATATCCCGGTAATCCATGATCTCGTCCTCGTTGGATGTTCAACGAGACCAGATCAAGGCCGCAAGCCACCGTGGAGTTGCCCACGGGGTCTTCGAAGAGGTGACTGGTCAACTGCGAGGTAACATGCGTGGAGTATCTCTGAATATAGTTGTTCGTCGCAGAGGTCACCGAACGCCTGACACCGTCTTCGGAATAGAGGATGTACGGGTTGAAGAGCATTCTGTGCAGCTCCATATAGGACGACATGCCCTTCTCGACATCCGTCATCCTCATCAATCCCGGTAGCAGGGTATGAGCGAAACGAAAAGCCGCGGCCGCGAAGTGATTGGCTATCGTTGGATTGTTGCTCGGCTCATCCGGGTCATCCGTTCTCTTTCTGTAGCCCGAACTCAAGGACTTCAAATCACGTTCGTTCATCTTGCTGTCACCCAAGACAATGGGAAGGAACTCGCGATAGGTGATGTGTTGCAGTTGAGCGCCGACAATACGCCGTGCTTCTTGGTAGAGCTTCTCATCGCTCCAAGTGGGATTCATCGCGGCCAAGTGCCCGACGACAAGATTGTGCTGTCGGGCCCAGAGAAGGTGCATTGTCGTCAAATGCAGGTTCTCATTCGCCCTGGCGTCACCTGCGGCGAAGCAATAACGACCGCGACGTCGCTCGGATTCTCGGTTGCACCCGTCGTTGGGATTCCTGCTCGGCGGCAGCAGAGTCCTGTTGTCGGATGTCAGCTGCATTCTTAAGCGTCCTCCGGTGAATTCGCGCAGATCACGGGCAGTAGCCGCATCAGAACCGTAAATCGCCGACCCGTCGATGAATGCGCTGACCTGGACGCAATAAAATATTAAGTATGTGCTATATATATAATGCGTATAATGCATCAAGAATGAAGAAAAATATACGTATCCAGGTAGCATAAACTTTTAGAAGATGTCTTAAAGATGTTTGGAAAAGAGTAAATACCAAATATCTTTTAGAACTTTGTGTCTCTTCTGGTTGATTTCACTAGGAGAAAAATATTTAAGAAATAAAAAATATTCTATTCTAATGTAACTAATAAAACATGTGATTAATAATAAAATATTGTGATAATAAAATGTGATAATAAAAAAAGTGATAATAAAATATTTAATGTATTAAAACACATTTACTTTATACTAATGCACATTTTTGCACTGAGGAGACATTCTTTTCAAGTGATAAAATTTACATTTTCTTAAAACTGTAGCTCTTCATAAAATCAATCATTTTTTCTATCCAAGTAAAAGAATTTAGATTTAAGTAAATATGTTATTAATACCCTCCGAATAAATATTTTTTATTAAATATTCTTTCTCTCAGTTACGTTCTGTAAGTATGTTCCGCATTACTTGATTGAGCTGCTCCCTAGGGCCGAGTTTACACTGCGGAGCTGGCGCTGATCTCACGAAGTCCATGCATTTCCTACCGGTGAGATCGTGCACAGGATCGCCGGTGCCTATTTGTACCGGGAAACATTCGGGGTGTCGTTTCGACGGAGGACAACATGCTATGGAACTTCCGTTAACACCTTGACTCAATGCAGTGGCGGTGATGTCGTGGTCCAAGAACTGGCCGAACACAGCTAACATCACCGTGAAGGATGGATTACTGCTAGGTGAGGGTCCATGTACCTTTAGGCTGACTTCCCTGGCGGATGGCAACTCTTTACCAGAGCGTGCCCTTCGAGGCGATTCGATTCCGTCGGCGTAATCAGCCGGCAAGACTCTTCTGAAGGGTGTCATGCTAGAGCCCCATTGACGCGGCCGGTTGCACGTACCGTCAATGGTTCTGTATTTACCGATTCTACAAGTGCGGCCGGAATATCGTTCGCACACGCTCCTCGGTACCCAGCCGCTGTCGAAGAAGGCGTTGATCGCCGATGGTTCATCGCGAGTAGATCTTCAATAGAAATACATTCGTGAATCTATTGAAAGTTATTTTTCCCTATACGGAGAAAGAAGATTGGTTGACTTAACGCGACGATAAACGAAGTAAACGCATATTAGTTGAAGGAAACGAATTTCTGGCTCCTAGAACCAAATTTGGTTTATAAGAGCTTGCAAGAACCATAAGAACCATCTTTTTTTCTTCATATAAAAGTAATGAAGATAAGTGAAGATAAGAATATATTGTTCATCGTTCGTGATAGATTGACACGAGATTAATTCAGTCACCTCATACTCTCAATCTTCCTCGTCGCCGCGATTTCACCCACCGCTGCTAAGGCAAGGGTGCTAACGTTGCGACATGTGTTTACAGCATAGCGGTGTCTGGATTCCGGCGACGGAGACGGTAATGGTGACTGCGCCGCAATCTTATCCGCGAACACACGCTCTCTCATCGCCTGCTCACCAGCCTGCAATCCTTGCGTGTATTCTTGGCGACTGAGACTTTTCATCGAGGTGTCCTCGCCAGGTACCAGGACAGGTTCAATCGTTGCGCTACTCGTGCTGCTGAAAGACGCGTGCGAGGTAGAGCCCGGTGCGAACCCTAATCTCAAGATACTTCTCACATTGCCGGGAGACGTCGCATTGTCGATCGCCGGTTCAGTGGAATTGCTGTGACTCATGGAGTAACTAATGGACACTACCAGAGCCATGGTAAAGACCACTCTGTAAGATCGCGGGTAGGTTCAGTTATTCGGTAAGTCAAGTTTTCAAAGCTGACAAGTCATTTGGCAGCTTTGGAAATGTGTTACGGTATCTTCATTATTTATTTATTTATTTTTTTAAATTTTATTGTCTTCTACTTTTCCCTTCCTTTCTTTTTTAAACGAATTCGCTAACAAAAATAATGAAGCTTTATTTTCCTGACTTTGCCGCACGATAGACACACAGACTTACATCAGGATGCCGCAGACACAGCATTGGAACTGTCGGAGGCGTGCTCGTCGATTCCTCAAGACGCTGGCGAATTCGACGTAATCGGGCGAATCCATACGCCTTGTCAAAGGCGTCCTCTCAGTAACACCACGCATTTTTGTCACACAGAAGTGGAGATGCAAAAAGTACGTACACCACGGTACACAGATATTCTTGTCTCTGGCGATTCAGGCAAGTGAAACTGCGGCAGTACTCCTCATTCTCTCTCACTCTCTCGATAATTCAATCCGGCCTTACGTTATATGATTCATACGAGAGATCAATAAAGTACTCGAGCCTTTCCACATTTGTCACAGACTGTTAATTGCTGTCTCGATTATAATACACCACTTTCAGACGTTACTTTCCCTTAAAGGAAGTTCTTCGCTGAAAATATGATAAGATTCGAAAATAACTTTTGTACGCAAGAAGTTTTTAATTAAAGGGATCTCTATATAGTTCGTATTGCTTACAGAATCTTAGATAAACACTTAAACACGGCACTTTTACTTAGATGTACTTTTTCGTCTTCGATGCGTTAAATATGTTTAACTTTTCTATTCATGTATAAAGCGTGTATAAAGCGGGAAGAATAAACCATGTCTTCAGCCCTTGGGCATACTGACGTTGTGGATTACGCTTGTTCGCACACTCTCATAGGCCACCTAACCGGTTATATAAGGTGAATCGAGAATCGACAGCCAAGAATGAAACATGAGTTGCTCGGAAGAATTTTATTTTGCGGTGACAACACGGAGGTAAAGCGCGCCACAGATCGCGAATCTGCGCCGCTGGTGACTCGTAAAAATCATATAGTACATTATCCAGCGCGCACGAAAATGCGTCACTCGTGAATGAAACACTTCCTGATAAAACAAGGTGTCAATTGGAATAGTTAATAATTTAATATATGATTTATATATATAAGAGTTATAGTTTAAAATCACACACAGGTATCTCCCAAGCGATTTAATATAAAATTAATTGTTAATTATGCTTGTTATATATATATTGTATTATATGTGTGTTATATGTTTAGCAGGCACTTGTTGTCACATCAGAGAATAAGATTTTGTATTGTTTGATTGTCTGCGACATTAATTGCTAAGACGTTGTAGCGTGAATGATGAACGCCAACGTTTGACTACCGGGGTTGACGGTCGGTGCATAGTCATTGCGTTGATTTTGTCGCCACATCTTATAGCTAAGTAACGCGATATGTCATTGGATCGCGAAAGGGCTTCCGTCTGTTTGCCGGGCTTCTCGAGAACGTAAATCTACATTGACAACGAAAAGTCGTTTCGTGCGCGGACATTTTTGTTTGATTCTCAGCTACATTTGTATTTGTCGTAGCTCCAATTATCAGATCGATTTATTCTCGTTAATCAATAGTAATAATAATAATTTAATTAGTGATACAATAGCAGTAATTTAAATGATAGTATTGATAATGATTTATATAACTTAAAGTACAAAGGATTTTAGTTTATTTTAAAGTTGCTCATTCGAGAAAAAAATGCAACGATCAAATGTCCGACTGGCGGTTCATCGTTCATTTATTTTTTTTTATTCCGTACAACAGAAGTTGTATCGTTTAGAAGCGCGCAACTCAAGCCACTGTTCTTGATTTGGAACGTACATTTCAGCAGGCATACGTTCTAGACCTGGAGATTCCGGCGACCCTCGTTCGTTCGTCCTACGAGCTGAAAATAATATATCATTTGCCAATTGTTAACAGGATTCCTCTTCGTTGGAAATTAAAAACATTCTCGCGTCAGAAAGTATATTTCTCACGAGTTTCACGCACCCAATCGTTTGTGCATAGCGATCGCTTCACCCGGATGCCTCAAAAGAAGCCGGCCGACACCCTCGCAACGGCGCAAGACCTCGTTCTTCAGCAAGTGATTTCTGATGTTCTGCGATATGATCGAACACTCAGTGACCCATGTCGATACGTACGCAAAATCTGTCAACAGCTGCAGCGCACCGTACTCGCTGGGGATTTGTTTCAAGGTGCGATAAAATAACAAATTCTCTTATTAAATTATTACGATCAAATAAAATAACGCCGTTTCCTCCTATGTATACTTTTATTCTTGTTATATATATATATATTTTACTAAAGTTTAATATTTTTATTTGTAAGATCTTTGATCTTTATTAACCTTTAAAAGTGAAAAATTCAGTTCCACAGAATTGAATTTTATAGAATTTTATAGAATTCTATAGAATAATATAAAGAATCAATTCTATACTTTGTAAGTATTTTTAATCGAAATGTCGAGCAAACGTAAAGCTTACCTGAACTTAATGCGATGCAGGTAAATGTAATCGAGCCACGCTTCGCACATTATTCGCAGAATCATATTCGACGTTTCATGATCCTCTGTCACCTCCAACACCGGCAGTAACACCTTTTCTACAACGTGCGTCTTTATGTACATGAGCAATGCCTTCAAAGAGTTTGGCATAGTAATTTTCAATGTTATCAAGATATAATAGCAAGAATCTTGTACCGAAGTATGTCTCCACGTAAAGACTGGCTGCCACTGGAGCCACGCTGCTACTCCTCCTCCAGTAATCCGATCGTGGGAAACACATATGCAGATTCGCAAGGCTGACCACACGGCAGATCTTAGCGAGCGTATCGATGCATTGAGCTGAGCAGATCTACGAGGTGAGAAAAACGAAAAGAAAAATTCTCAGCAAATTAAAACGAAGCAATGTTTCTCTCTTTCTGAACACGCGTGATATTATACACCTGTAGCAATTCAACATTCGCCTTGACTTCAGAAACGATCTTCGCCCTCATCTTTGTGCACACGTACACTTGGACACTGATGGAATCTGTGGACTCCAACGCGGTCGTATGATCAGCGAGCTGAAACCAGCCGAGCACGAGTTAAAACGTGTCTTCGATACGGAGGAACGCATTACGAGAAACAAATTGAGATATACGAAGAAAAATACCTTGAGATAAGATAGCTCTTCGAGGCAATTTGCTACGTCACCCTTCACCAGGAGAAAGAACACGTCCAGGTCCCAAGTGTGCGCTACGGTCTTAGTTTCTTGAATGGCCCACAACCTTGCAGTATGTACCGAGTGGTCCATCCTATGTAGTACAACAATCTGCTCCGACAACGGCAGTTCTACCAAGGGCGCTCCTACTACCCATTCGCCGCCTACCTCGCATTCGTTGCTGAGAGTGACCAGCAGCTGAAATAATTCGACGAACATCTGACCCGTGTCGGTTCCCTGTAAGTAGAGAGGCGTTAACTGCGCGCTCGATTGATCGTGTCCCGTTTGAAAATTTTTTTCACGCAACCTCTGTGGTCGACGGTCTCGAATGGCACTCGAAAGCCGAGGTGTAGGCTAATCTAAACTGCTGGTCCCAAGCGGTGATGGTTGTGTGGTAACCGAGCGCGTCGCACAAGTTCTGCAGCGCCGGTCTGACTGTGGATGGAACTGAAATTCGGAAAACGCAATCCCAAGGAAAAATGAGTAAACACGAATTTTCTTTCTATATGGTCATACATAATTATGTACGAGGGTAGTCCCAGAAGTACCTGACCTAACAAAGAAAACACAACAAATTTGAGAAAAAATATCTTTATTGCTCCTTTATTGTCTTTATAGTCTCCTTTTAGCTCAATACACTTTTCAATAGCTTCGATACTCTTTATAGTTTATAGTGGGAATCGTCGAGCACCTCAAAATAGCCATCAAGCCACCTTTCAGTCCATTGTTTTGACTGTTCCTTCGTCTCAGGTGTGAAGTGATGGACCTATGTTTCATCCATGGTTATGAATCGACGCAAAAACTCGACTTTATTGTTGCGAAACTTCGCCAAACACTCGATTGAAACATCCTCACGACGCTGTTTTTGTTTCAATCGCGGCACCCATCTTGCGCACAGCTTTCTCATGTTCAAATTTTCAGTCAATATGCGATGTACAGCATTTTTTGAAATGCCTACCATGTCTGCTAACTCGCGCACTTTCAGTCGACGGTCATCCAATACCATTTTGTGGATTTTCTTCATCATTTCTGGCGTGGTCACTTCATTTGGTCGACCACTGCAATGTTCGTCTTGGCAGCTCGTACAACCTCGTTTAAACTCTGCCACCCAATATTTTACTGTTGTAAACGAAGGAGCAGACTCACCCAGAGTAGAATCTAGCTCCGATTTGATATTGGTTGGACTGAGGTCTTTCAAATGAAAGTATTGTATCACAACGATGACCAATTTTTTCCATGTTTACAAATTCCACTGAGAGCATTCACTATTGATGGCTGCCAAACAAATACTAAACAATTTAGCATCGTCAGACTTCAAACTTGAGCTTTATAAGTTGGTTGGTACTTTCTACCATAGTCATTCTTTTCAAACAACAACCGCTATCTAGTCAGGTCAGGTACTTCTGAGACTACCCTCGTACGTTCATATCAAAAGAAATACTGTTGTACAAATGCAATTGCAGCATATTTGCGGCAGCAATACTTTCGCGAATGAGAAGTATCTTTACTTTCATTTCCCTGAATGAACTGCCGTAACCAATCCTTCAGATGCTGCGCGCCGTGGCTGTGATGGGTCGCGAGAGCTTCTCGGGACCACCATAATATTACATGATCTAAAATACCGGACAAGGCTCCCCATGCAACCTCCTGATAATAGTTCTTCACTTTCTTTATTGCGCTGCTTCTCAACCTCGTCTCACCTGAAAAAAAATTTGCGTTGAACTACTTCACCATTATTTGTTTTATACAAGACTTTATCGACATGTTAATTGTTATATTAATATTTATTCTAAATAAGATATAGAACGCTAGAAGAAAGTGTAATCCTTGAATTTGTCTAGAAATTTGCTACCTTTGCTAGTTTTCAAAGCATCCACGCCAAGTAATTGTGGTGAAACCTCCTGTACGACATTTAAAAGTCTGAGGATCTGCTCATTTTGCGTGTTCACAAGCGTCTGCACACTCTCGATATTGGATATTTCCACTTCGGACGTAGATGTAGCGCTCGCGATTGGCGGAGTTAGGTGCCTCGTAAGAGCGCTGTAATTTTACAGACAGGACAAATGCGAATACTTGATTAGATATTGATCTTATCTTGGTTGTAATATTTATTATTTGTATTTGTATTTATTATTTATTGTTTATATTCATTAACATGACCCAATGTGTAACTGTGGTTTAAAATGATAATGCTGATAACGCAATCATAGCCATGGCCATCGTAGCCATAGACAGACCGGTAAATCTCAATGCTGGAATTTTCCGAAACATCAACGTCGTTTGTCGCAGACGTAGACTCAGTTTTCTCACGAGGCTCGTAGTTCGCCAAAAGACAATCGATGAGCTCATGACAGGATTCCTCCGCTCTGTTCTTCGCTAATATCTAAAATTAAATACATCTAATACAAATTCGATAATTCGTTACAACTTTCTTGTGTTATTAAACGCTGCTGAAATGCGGCAATTCTAATTATCTCCGTTAGGGAAACAAATCGATACTAAATTGCCGAGAGTTAAGAACAATGAACGACACTCACCTGCAGTACTTTGGTCACGGAGATTTTCTTCAATGGCTCCAGCATGTACGGGCAGTCATTGTAGAAGACATTGACAGACGAATTCAATACGTTCCGATCAATATCGAGTATGCTATTATAAACATTTACCAATCTGTAATTCTCACAATATTTAATTATTCATCTCAACTGTATCGTGAAAAAGAGAACTGCTTCAATATCAATAATAACTGCGAGTAATGCGTATTAGCAGTTTCACCTGAACACTGTTCGAATAATCTCTTCGTTTTTGCAATCAACGATATCAATGATTAAATTACGGGTGAACTTCGCGACCACGTTGAGTTTGCGTTTCAGCACCATCGATAGATGATTCATCTTGTATCTATATATCGGATGGGTGCCCAAGTCTCCCGGGCTGCTCGTTGATTTGTAACTCTCCATTAATTCCTCCAAGCTGTCTATCGCTTCTTCGAATACCTGTAAAGCGCACAAAGTAGCAACTGCAATCATTACAAACGCGTTCTCGATGTATTTTGTTTCATATAAGCTGTTTTCGATTCTTTTTAGCGCATTCTCTGTCGTTTTTTACCGACGGTAAGATCTACAGCGTATCTTTACATGTACATAGACGCAATGGAAAGATGCTGTTTGTTGCTTTTTGTTTATTTTTAATAATAAATGTATCTCGCTAAGTTGAATATTTTCATTTCAGACCTCCAGATCGCAAGCCCGAATATCCGCAAAGTCCTCGATGACTAAAGCTATGCAACCAGCGAGCTTTCCCATTTTCTCGTCCAGAAGAGAGGCGTCTACAAGCCATTTGTCGAGAGCACCGCCGGAAAGCGGCAGCCACTTTGCGATATTCGCTCTGTAATTGGTATCCATATGTCGGCACGGTATTATTAATTATACTTCGGCTTCTCCAGCCAGGCATTTACAAGAATATTTTCTGTGGTCAATCTTGCAATATATATTGTTTCGCGACGAGATTACTGTTCTTTGAAAGCTCCTTGAGAATTCTTTGAGAGCTTCGCGCGTCCTTACATCTATTTAATTTTATTTTCGGCGTTCTCTGTTCCGAATAGTTCGCGTTTTGCCAGAGAACGTTAACGTTACACATATCACTCTCGCGGAATCACGTTAGGCAGTGGAAATTGATTGTAGATTAATTGACCGTGTAAAAATGCGGTCGTGCACTGGTCGTAGAAAAGCGCTATGAAACTGTCGTACACTGCTCGATCATGTAGACGAAGAATTAAAACACCGATGCCGTTTCAAAAAGACACCTTCGTCCGTCGTTCGCGCGACATTCTGCATCTGTTTTAGAAGCACCGCTACCGCTGCTCTGCCACTTTGATCGGAATGGCAAGTACCGCGGTACGCGTTTTCTGTTGCCACGGATACGTCTGACGCATAGTAGTTGAATGGATTATGTATATAACGCGAAGGGTATAACGGTGGCCAGCGCGCGTCGAATTGACTAGCGCGAAAAGCGAAGAGCGAACAAAATGCGAATTCGACGTAATTTCATTATGTTGAGGGGGAAAAAAAAAGTGAAATTCCAATCTCCCTGAAACTGGCAATTGCACAACGGCGGTTACCCTGGGCGATGAGGATAAATTACTGTCGTGTTTTTTCCTAGGGCAGCTCATGGCCGGCATCCAAATTTACCGTGTCTAAATTGAAAATTTCATAAAAATTCCAATTCGACAACCCATCAAAATTTCCATTGTGCAACATCAGGAGAGAAACATTTGGAAACGTCAAAATGGTACGGAGAAGTAAAATCACGTTCTCCAGGCGAGCCTGAGCAGCGAAAGACGAAGACGCATCTCAACGTAGCTCGTAGTCGAATTTTGGCAGCTGAAATACACTAATGCGCTCGTTGCTTTACAGCGTGAATGTATATCGATGCACGTAGGCCAAGCGGGTGTCCAGATGGGTAATTCCTGCTGGGAGCTGTATTGCCTGGAACATGGAATCCAGCCGGATGGCACGATGCCGTCCGACAAAGCTTCCGGTAGCAATAATTGCTTCAATACCTTCTTCAACGAGACGAGTTCCGGCAAAATGGTCCCGCGAGCTGTAATGGTCGATCTTGAGCCGACAGTCGTGGGTGAGTCATAATAATATCAATGAAGATACGAAAATTTAGGGTGATTTAGAAATAATAATATATATCGTATTATATATTATAATTGTAATATGATTGGATAAATTTGAATTTTTGAGTATATACTATAATCTATATTATATTCAAATATCATTATTGAATATATATTGTAATCTATCATAAATATAAGTAAATAAATAGTTTAATAGTTAGTAAATTTATTTTTGCAATATTATGTTCATAGACGAAGTACGAACTGGAGTGTACAAACAATTGTATCATCCTGAGCAACTAATCACCGGCAAAGAGGACGCCGCGAATAATTATGCTCGCGGCCACTATTCCATCGGAAGCGAGGTCATCGAGTCGGTGATGGACAGAGTGCGCAGATTGACCGATCAGTGCACTGGCCTGCAAGGCTTCTTCGTCTTCCACTCGTTCGGAGGTGGCACTGGCTCGGGTTTTACGTCTTTGCTCATGGAAAAGTTATCCGACGATTACGGTAGGAAGAGTAAATTGGAATTCGTCATATATCCGGCACCGCAAGTATGTTTGGGAAAATTATATTTATTTTCACATTTATAAATATTTTCTAAAGAGCTTCTAAAAGACATAATCTTTTTTAAATATCTCTTTTGTCTTTTCCGTCCACTTTATAGAAAATAAATTGAGATATAGTGAGAGAAAGAAACTATCGTTTTAGGTATTTTCGTTTTCATTTGCAGAGTGAGTTCAATGAAATTATATACTTTTAGGTGTCTACCGCCGTGGTGGAGCCTTACAACGCGGTACTAACGACCCACACGACTATCAGCCATTCTGATTGCGCCTTCATGGTGGACAACGAGGCAATCTATGATATTTGTCGACGGAAACTCGGCATTGAACGACCTTTGTATGCGAACCTGAATCGGCTGATCAGTCAAGTGGTATCCTCCATCACCGCGTCTCTGAGATTCGACGGAGCTCTGAACGTCGACCTGACCGAGTTCCAGACGAACCTCGTGCCCTACCCCCGCATACACTTTCCTTTGGCAACCTACGCTCCGGTAGTATCCGTCGACAAGGCCTACCACGAGGGCATGTCGGTCGCGGAGATCACGTCCGAATGTTTCGAGCCTTCCAACCAGATGGTCAAGTGTGATCCGCGCGAAGGCAAATACATGGCTTGTTGTCTTTTATACCGTGGCGACGTCGTGCCTAAGGATGTCAACGCCGCGATCGCGGCCATGAAGGGCAAAAGCTGCATCCGCTTCGTCGATTGGTGTCCCACAGGTTTCAAGGTCGGGATCAACTACCAGCCGCCTACGGCGGTACCAGGCGGTGATCTCGCGAAGGTATCTGTTCAACTTGAATACTTGTATGAAAAAAATAGTTTACCAAGAAATCTATTCACCAAGAAAAAGATAGTTTACCAAGAAATCTATCAACGTAATTAGATTTTCCATTGTCTAGGAAGAATAGAAGCAAAGTAGAAAACTTCGCAGGAACAGAAAGATGCCCGTAAAAGGCTTTTAATCAGTAAATTGTTTTTCGTTATTTCAGTAATCAAGTTTCAATACAGCTAAGTATCAGACAATTTTTTTCGAAGTATCAGAGATATATTTTGTTTCTATTTAGTTACACAAATCGAGATCTTTATTTCTTTTTTCAAATTTTTATCTCATCGATTGATTCTAATCTAAATAAATTGTCGTACGACTAGAATTTAGGGAACATTTTATTCCAAAAAAAGTCATGAAAATAGGTTTTCACTATACACCGTGTACTTTTTTTTTCTTTTACGTAGGTATATCTGTGCGTTTGTGTAATTCTATTTTGACGATTGGTATTTGAATCAGTAGATGCGCATTTTAAGTTACACATATTTCAGTTTTACAATTAAAATTTTCAGTTTAATGTATAACATAGTTCATAACGTTTATTCATTCGTAACATATTGATATTTATATTCGCAGGTCCAGCGTGCTGTTTCCATGTTGTCTAACACAACCGCTATAGAGGAAGCGTGGGCCAAACTCAATCACAAGTTCGACCTGATGTACAATAAACGTGCTTTTGTCCACTGGTATGTGGGCGAAGGTATGGAGGAACTCGAATTCGCGGAGGCGCGCGAGGATCTAGCCGCACTCGAGAGGGATTACGAAGAAGTCGCCTTAGAATCGCCATCCACACCGAACGTACCGCTGGAATATTGACTGAGATGCGCGTCTTTTCGTAGAATCTCCAATAGGCCGACATATACTTTCGCTGCCCGTCAGGCGAAAATTATACAAAGAGAAAAAGTCTTATATACATCACTTATTTAAATTTCGTGTGGAAAAATATTTAATGTTTATTTTTTTTTCCTATAATTGTTACCATACTCATTTTTGTAGAAAGGTGTTTTTCTTTTGTATGAGAGTCTTTGTAGCAGATACAAAAATACATCAATTGATACAACCGCATCTACAATGAATGTTTGATTCGACGCGAAAGAGAAGCGTACATATGTAGGAAGAACGCGAACACTCGTCTCTCGTATCGAAAATTTTACCGGATCACTTATGATCACTTTACTGGATTAAAATAACATATATTTGTATAACATATACAATATTCATCTTTTTGTTATCTTTTTAACGCTGTTGACCTCTATAAAAGGATATATCAACAAAGTTCTCTTTATATCTATGTATATCGGATTTGATTGCACTTGGAGCACAATAATAATAGCAATTACACATGGAGAGAATTATGTTAATGTTTAAGAAAGAAAACTTTATATATTACTCGCAATGATAACAAAGCTACCACGAGCAGCTGTTCATTTACAGAAGCATTATACGAAGATCTTAAACCTAAAACTCTAGGCATAATAAAATTTTAATAATCGATAGCAATAATAAAATTGCTGCTGCATTGAGGGAATAAAGTAAATATATAGTATGATCTCTCATACGAAGTTTAATATCTTCTAATAATCAAAAGATGTGTTTCTCGTATACTGATCATTTCAGTTTGTTCACCGAGTACCGATTGTTCATCCCAATGCCGTATCGATGCATCCAGTATGTTAATAGAATATTCAAATAATATTACAATCAAATTTTTTACACCTTCGAATGTAACACAATGCCATCTTCTCGCGTATTCACTTAACATTACTTCAACACTACATAGTAGTCTTCGAGACGAAATAAAATAAGTAGCATATTATTTAAATAATTTCTAAATAGCATAAAATAAGTCTTTATATCTTAATAATCCTACATGACTCATTTCTTAATTAAAACAGGCTCAATGATAATTTGGCTGGAAGTGTAATAATACGAATATAATTCTATACGATTCTGTAACATAATCAGTTTGCGGAATATAGAAATTAAAGAATTTCCATGATAAAATTATACATATACATGAATATATGAACGATAAATTCTTCCCTCGGTCTATTAAACTAAAAGCGACGGTATTGGCTTTTTTCCAGGCCATGCCTCTTTGGCGTACTTCTTCTTCTTCGGCTCCATCACTCGTGGCTCCGTTGTACCTGGTATTTCCTGCACGTGCGGTACCTCTGTCTGTATCTGATTCGGAGTCATCTCCACTTCGGGTGCTGGATTGGGCAATGCAATGCCTAATCGTGACGTCAATGAAGTAAGAGCTGTGGAGAAGGGATTAGTTGACATAGAAGACGGCGTAAACTGCTCCGGAGGCAGGTCGTGATAGAGCTGAGGAGTAGTAGATGTCGGCTGCATATGTTTCAAAGGATTGTGATCTTCTGATAATGATATAAGGCCGCCTTCCATACGCATTCTCTGCAAGGAAATATATACAATTTTTTCAGATCATGCTATTTTTCGATAAAAATATACAACTTTTCGTAATTTTATAAGTCTATAAAATTAATTCATCCATTATATAAGAAAATGGAACATGCGAATGATACATACTTTGCTAGGAACAACTGTCGTTTGTACGAGGTTACGAAACCTTCCAACTGATGGATCAACGTCTTCAGGATTAATGACTTCTTCGTCGTCGTTGAAGGTAATACCCTTTTTCTTACGCTTTCGTGTCGGTTTGTGCATCTCGTCGTCTGTTATACCAAGCATAGAAATCCGTCGATTGTGAGCCGTGTTAAATTCGGTTAGATTCTAAACATTATAGTTTAACCGATTATTTATAATATCGGGAAATTCCAAAGTTTTAGTTTCTAATGATTAAATTTTTTTAATTATTTATACATACATCCAACTCAGTTTCTGTTTCTGGTAGACCCAATAAGCCACCAGCATCAATGTCTTCAGATAGCTTCTCCAGTTCTTCAATAATAGGCCTAGCTCCGGTTTGAGGTCTTTCTCTTATTATGTAATATCGAGTGGATGCACCAAAATGAAATGTACTGTCAATTGGTAACTGTGTTGGCTTGTGGGCTTCCAAGCGTAAATTACCAATAAAGGTTCCATGTGCTAAAAAATAATCATAAAATGTCACATAATACATATAATAAAAATTTATTTTAAAATGTTGTTTTGTCTTAAAAGTTATTGAAATTATTAACAAAACACTATATAAAATATAATTTTAAACTGATGTTAATAAAATATATGTATAGATTAATATAATAAACTTTAATATGTAATGATACAATAATAAGTAGAATTTCTTTTTGGTTCAATCACATATAATATATCCATATACACATTTGTGCATCTTGATATGTTAATTATTCAACAAAATAATAAAGATATATAAAACACAACTTTTAGTTTTACAATCATGATATATATATGTATTAACACAATGGGAACTAAAAAGTGACTTGTACCATTAAATATCAAAGTTACTATACCAATCTATATACTTACTGCTGCCTAGGTCAACCAGAAACGCTCGATTGAGATGTTTGTGGTAAACAAGAGCTGCATGAACACGAGAGCAGGATGCATGATCAATACAAAAGTCATTCAGCTGTTGATTACGACCAAATAGATAACACTTTTTTTCATCCACCATGAGTTTCTGCAAAGTATATTCGTACAAAGTGTCTCAGTTCATCAATGAGGGGCATGATAGCTTTAAAGAAGTGACATATTACTAGAACTACAATCAATATATGTCATTACCTGTATTAGTTTATCACTCTTGAGTACATCCAGATGTAACCCAACTGGTGGCTTCCCAGCCCTGGAAAGGATATAACGTAGTATCCAAAAGGTTTATGTTGTACAGCAATAATAAGCATAGGAATGATTGCGTAAATAATAATACGTCAAAACCACTATCGTCGAGAATCTACCTAGTGAACATACCAATTCGGGACCTCGTAGTGGTTAGCCATTGTTGTTCACTTCTGCAGGTAATATTTTTATTCAATTTATTTTTCAACAATGACACAACAATCCATGTATACACACATTCGATCATACGAATGAAAACATATTCTGAACCGTTAAAACGTTACAATAAAGTACACGCCAAAATACTAACAAGCAACACTAAGAGCAGAGAGAAGAATGAGAGCGGCCACCGGCCGTATTTCGGGGGATACGGCTAGGCACATTTTAGATACGCCATCTGACCAAAATGCGCCTAAACTACGTCCGCTAAGCGCACTTTCACGGTGATAAAAGTAAAATGCACCTAGGTTCGTGTCCGTACTACTTCCATGCAATGGATAGTAGATTAGAAAAAGACAGACGACAGACAATCGTTCTGTCTTTGTCTCACTACTGAGCGGCGCGCGGCAGTAAACACGAGGCGAGGTAGCGGCGATCTTATCACTAAGCGAACATCTCTCCGCTTTTCTTTCATCTTTCACGCTCCAGAGACATCAAAAGACGCGGTAGCGTCTCGTGTCAAGGGAACGTGCGAAGCGAGGAATTATTTTTCACGCACGCGAGGTAGCACATGGGAGACTAGACGAGCGTCGACATATCTGTTTCTTTCCCGCTCGTCTAGCTTATTGACTGCGTGAGCCGCGAGATTTTTCTCGCTACTCCTATACCTCCTACCTCCTATACTCCTACCTCGCTCTTTCTCTCTCTCTCTCTCGCTCGTTCTTTCTCTCGCGCACTTGCTCGCTCTTCCTCTCTTCTCGTGTTCTTACGGCTTGGTTAAATATATTAATTACATGACAATATATATATATAAATAAATGACACATATATAATGTATATGTATATAAAGAATATTTAGTATTAATGCACAAATAAAGAAGAGAGAATTATAATGAGAGACGAAAAGTTAATAGAAATCCACTCTTAGCCAATATATACATCTTTTAAAAATGATTTGTTATTAAAGTATATGACAGAATAATTTATTTATGCTAATAAATTTAAATTAAAAATTAAATGAAATGTTATTTGTTTTGTAAAAGATATTCCATTGTTACATTTTTCTTTTCGTAGCAAAAATAAATTTAGTCTAGTAAAAGAAGAAATTAGTTTTATTATCATATTTCAATTATTATTATTTTTATTTAATTTTACTTTATTATTTAATTTTACGAATAGATAACGTGCATATTGTTGCTCAACGGAAACCGCGAGAAAATGGTGATCTCCGCCAAAAAATAAATGCAAACTTTTTAATAATATAATAATTTTTTTACGTGTGTTTGTTTTTATAGTATAACCTGTTGAATTTTAATAATTATTAATTTAGCATGTTATAGTATAAAAAATATATTTTAATATAAAAATTAATGTAATATTAATTGTTTGCATTTGCAAGAAATATGGATAGAACAGGATAGGTTGCAATGATACATAGGAAGAAAAAAGATCATCGTCGATATCTCCTAAACGGTTAGAGATACAGACATCGGACTGGTACCAAATTAAAGCCCATTCAAAACCCTACATTTTTGACTACATGGACGACTCTCTACTCCCAGTAGAAGCGGAGATATCGACGGAGAAAGGTTGCAAAACTTTAACCTTCGATATCTCCTAAACGGTTAGAGATACAGGCTTCGGACAGGTACCAAATTAAAGCCCTTTCAAAACCCTATATTTTGGACTACATGGACGACTCCCTACTCCCAGTAGAAGCGGAGATATCGACGGATGAAGACTGGATATCGACGGAGAAAGGATGCAAAACTTTATCCTTCGATATCTCCTAAACGGTTAGAGATACAGGCTTCGGACAGGTACCAAATTAAAGCCCTTTCAAAACCCTACATTTTGCACTACATGGACGACTCTCTACTCCCAGTAGAAGCGGAGATATCGACGGAGAAAGGTTGCAAAACTTTAACCTTCGATATCTCCTAAACGGTTAGAGATACAGGCTTCGGACAGGTACCAAATTAAAGCCCTTTCAAAACCCTACATTTTGGACTACATGGACGACCCTCTACTCCCAGTAGAAGCGGAGATATCGACGGATGAAGGATGGATATCGACGGAGAAAGATTAGAAAACTTTAACCTTCGATATCTCCTAAACGGTTAGAGATACAGGCTTCGGACAGGTACCAAATTAAAGCCCTTTCAAAACCCTACATTTTGCACTACATGGACGACTCTCTACTCCCAGTAGAAGCGCAGATATCGACGGAGAAAAGTTGGAAAACTTTAACCTTCGATATCTCCTAAACGGTTAGAGATACAGGCTTCGGACAGGTACCAAATTAAAGCCCTTTCAAAACCCTACATTTTGGACTACATGGACGACCCTCTACTCCCAGTTGAAGCGGAGATATCGACGGATGAAGGATGGATATCGATGGAGAAAGGTTGGAAAACTTTAACCTTCGATATCTCCTAAACGGTTAGAGATACAGGCTTCGGACAGGTACCAAATTAAAGCCCTTTCAAAACCCTACATTTTGCACTACATGGACGACTCTCTACTCCCAGTAGAAGCGGAGATATCGACGGAGAAAGGTTGGAAAACTTTAACCTTCGATATCTCCTAAACGAATAGAGATACAGGCTTCGGACAGGTACCAAATTAAAGCCCTTTCAAAACCCTACATTTTGGACTACATGGACGACCCTCTACTCCCAGTAGAAGCGGAGATATCGACGGATGAAGGATGGATATCGACGGAGAAAGGTTGGAAAACTTTATCCTTCGATATCTCCTAAACGGTTAGAGATACAGGCTTCGGACAGGTACCAAATTAAAGCCCTTTCAAAACCCTACATTTTGGACTACATGGACGACCCTCTACTCCCAGTAGAAGCGGAGATATCGACGGATGAAGACTGGATATCGACGGAGAAAGGTTGGAAAACTTTAACCTTCGATATCTCCTAAACGGTTAGAGATACAGGCTTCGGACAGGTACCAAATTAAAGCCCTTTCAAAACCCTACATTTTGCACTACATGGACGACTCTCTACTCCCAGTAGAAGCGGAGATATCGACGGAGAAAGGTTGGAAAACTATAACCTTCGATATCTCCTAAACGGTTAGAGATACAGGCTTCGGACAGGTACCAAATTAAAGCCCTTTCAAAACCCTGCATTTTGGACTACATGGACGACTCTCTACTCCCAGTAGAAGCGGAGATATCGACGGAGAAAGGTTGGAAAACTTTAACCTTCGATATCGCCTAAACGAATAGAGATACAGGCTTCGGACAGGTACCAAATTAAGGCCCTTTCAAAACCCTACATTTTGGACTACATGGACGACTCCCTACTCCCAGTAGAAGCGGAGATATCGACGGATGAAGACTGGATATCGACGGAGAAAGGTTGGAAAACTTTAACCTTCGATATCTCCTAAACGGTTAGAGATACAGGCTTCGGACAGGTACCAAATTAAAGCCCTTTCAAAACCCTACATTTTGCACTACATGGACGACTCTCTACTCCCAGTAGAAGCGGAGATATCGACGGAGAAAGGTTGGAAAACTTTAACCTTCGATATCTCCTAAACGGATAGAGATACAGGCTTCGGACAGGTACCAAATTAAAGCCCTTTCAAAACCCTACATTTTGGACTACATGGACGACCCTCTACTCCCAGTAGAAGCGGAGATATCGACGGATGAAGACTGGATATCGACGGAGAAAGGTTGGAAAACTTTAACCTTCGATATCTCCTAAACGGTTAGAGATACAGGCTTCGGACAGGTACCAAATTAAAGCCCTTTCAAAACCCTACATTTTGCACTACATGGACGACTCTCTACTCCCAGTAGAAGCGGAGATATCGACGGAGAAAGGTTGGAAAACTTTAACCTTCGATATCTCCTAAACGGTTAGAGATACAGGCATCGGACAGGTACCAAATTAAAGCCCTTTCAAAACCCTACATTTTGGACTACATGGACGACCCTCTACTCCAAGTAGAAGCGGAGATATCGACGGATGAAGGATGGATATCGACGGAGAAAGGTTGGAAAACTTTAACTTTCGATATCTCCTAAACGGTTAGAGATACAGGCTTCGGACAGGTACCAAATTAAAGCCCTTTCAGAACCCTACATTTTGCACTACATGGACGACTCTCTACTCCCAGTAGAAGCGGAGATATCGACGGAGAAAGGTTGGAAAACTTTAACCTTCGATATCTCCTAAACGGTTAGAGATACAGGCTTCGGACAGGTACCAAACTAAAGCCCTTTCAAAACCCTACATTTTGGACTACATGGACGACTCTCTACTCCCAGTAGAAGCGGAGATATCGACGGATGAAGACTGGATATCGACGGAGAAAGGTTGGAAAACTTTAACCTTCGATATCTCCTAAACGGTTAGAGATATAGGCTTCGGACAGGTACCAAATTAAAGCCCTTTCAAAACCCTACATTTTGCACTACATGGACGACTCTCTACTCCCAGTAGAAGCGGAGATATCGACGGAGAAATGTTGGAAAACTTAACCTTCGATATCTCCTAAACGGTTAGAGATACAGGCTTCGGACAGGTACCAAATTAAAGCCCTTTCAAAACCCTACATTTTGGACTACATGGACGACCCTCTACTCCCCGTAGAAGCGGAGATATCGACGGATGAAGGATGGATATCGACGGAGAAAGGTTGGAAAACTTTAACCTTCGATATCTCCTAAACGGTTAGAGATACAGGCTTCGGACAGGTACCAAATTAAAGCCCTTTCAAAACCCTACATTTTGCACTACATGGACGACTCTCTACTCCCAGTAGAAGCGGAGATATCGACGGAGAAAGGTTGGAAAACTTTAACCTTCGATATCTCCTAAACGGTTAGAGATACAGGCTTCGGACAGGTACCAAATTAAAGCCCTTTCAAAACCCTACATTTTGGACTACATGGACGACTCTCTACTCCCAGTAGAAGCGGAGATATCGACAGATGAAGACTGGATATCGACGGAGAAAGGTTGGAAAACTTTAACCTTCGATATCTCCTAAACGGTTAGAGATACAGGCTTCGGACAGGTACCAAATTAAAGCCCTTTCAAAACCCTACATTTTGGTCTACATGGACGACTCCCTACTCCCAGTAGAAGCGGAGATATCGACGGATGAAGACTGGATATCGACGGAGAAAGGTTGGAAAACTATAACCTTCGATATCTCCTAAACGGTTAGAGATACAGGCTTCGGACAGGTACCAAATTAAAGCCCATTCAAAACCCTACATTTTGCACTACATGGACGACTCTCTACTCCCAGTAGAAGCGGAGATATCGACGGAGAAAGGTTGGAAAACTTTAACCTTCGATATCTCCTAAACGGTTAGAGATACAGGCTTCGGACAGGTACCAAATTAAAGCCCTTTCAAAACCCTACATTTTGGACTATATGGACGACACTCTACTCCCAGTAGAAGCGGAGATATCGACGGAGGAAAGCCGGATATCGACGGAGAAAGCCTGGGAAACTTTAAACTTCGATATCTCCTAAACGGTTAGAGATACAGACATGGTTCTGGCACCAAATTAAAGTCCTCTCAAAACCCTACATTTTGCCGTAAGTGGCGACTCTCTACTCTCAGTAGAAGCGGAGATGTCGACGCAGAAAGGTTGGAAAACTTTAACCTTCGATATCTCCTAAACGGTTAGAGATACAGGCCTGGTTCTGGCACCAAATTAAAGTCCTTTCAAAACCCTACATTTTCGACTACATGGACGACTCTCTACTCCCAGTAGAAGCGGAGATATCGACGGAGGAAGGCTGGATAGCGACGGAGAAAGGCTGGAAAACTTTAAACTTCGATATCTCCTAAACGGTTAGAGATACAGGTCTGGTTCTAGCACCAAATTAAAGTCCTCTCAAAACCCTACATTTTGCCGTAAGTGGCGACTCTCTACTCCCAGTAGAAGCGGAGATATCAACGCAGAAAGGTTGGAAAACTTTAACCTTCGATATCTCCTAAACGGTTACAGATACAGGCCTGGTTCTGGCACCAAATTAAAGTCCTTTCAAAACCCTACATTTTCGACTACATGGACGACTCTCTACTCCCAGTAGAAGCGGAGATATCGGCGGAGGAAAGCTGGATATCGACGGAGAAAGGCTGAAAAACATTAACCTTCGATATTTCCTAAACGGTTAGAGATACAGGCCTCGGTCTGGCACCAAATTAAAGTCCTCTGAAGACCCTACATTTTCGACTACATGGACGACTCTCTACTCCCAGTGGAAGCGGAGATATCGACGGAGGAAGGCTGGATATCGACGGAGAATGGCTGGAAAACTTTAACCTTCGATATCTCCTAAACGGTTAGAGATACAGGCCTGTTTCTGGCACCAAAATAAAGTCCAAAATAAAGAGTTTAGTCGAAATCGATTGCTATTGATCATCTCGTTGGATTCACGCCGAGAGTGAGACGTCAGTTTCGGCCGTGTGTCGGGAAGCACAATGTCGGCAACGTTGCGAATCAGAACGAGATGGAGCGAACAGATTCCCTCTCTTTCTCTCTTTCGCTTGGCTAAGTAAGACTTACGTTTAAGCGAATGTTCTCTTGAAACTGAAAACATTAATAATAATAATAATGATAATTATATTTCTATTTATCTTTCTTTCTATACTATCTAACTATCTATCTATCTATTTCTCTATATCTATCTATCCATCTATCTATTTATCTATCCATCTATCCATCTATCTGTCTATTTATCCATCTATCTTTTTTCTTCCTATGTATCACTGCAACCTATCCTGTTCTATCCATATTTCTTGCAAATGCAAACAATTAATATTACATTAATTTTTATATTAAAATATATTTTTTATACTATAACATGCTGAATTAATAATTAATAAAATTCAACAGGTTATACTATAAAAACAAACACTTACGTAAAAAAATTATTATATTATTAAAAAGTTTGCATTTATTTTTTTACGGAGATCACCATTTTCTCGCGGTTTCCGTTGAGCAACAATATGCACGTTATCTATTCGTAAAATTAAATAATAAGGTAAAATTAAATAAAAGAAAATAATAATTTTTGAAATATGATAATAAAACTAATTTCTTCTTTTACTAGACTAAATTTATTTTTGCTACGAAAAGAAAAATGTAACAATGGAATATCTTTTACAAAACAAATAACATTTCATTTAATTTTTAATTTAAATTTATTAGCATAAATAAATTATTCTGTCATATACTTTAATAACAAATCATTTTTAAAAGATGTATATATTGGCTAAGAGTGGATTTCTATTAACTTTTCGCCTCTCATTATAATTCTCTCTTCTTTATTTGTGCATTAATACTAAATATTCTTTATATACATATACACTATATGTGTGTCATTTATTTATATATATACATATATATATATATTCTCATGTAATTAATATATTTAATCAAGCCATTAGAACACGAGAAGAGAGGAAGAGCGAGCAAGTGCGCGAGAGAGAGAAAGAACGAGCGAGAGAGAGAGAGAAAGAGCGAGGTATAGGAGTAGCGAGAAAAATCTGGCGGCTCACGCAGCCAATAAGTTAGACGAGCGGGAAAGAAACAAATAATATGTCGACGCTCGTCTAGTCTCCAATGTGCTACCTCGCGTGCGTGAAAAATAATTCCTCGCTTCGCACTTTCCCTTGACACGAGACGCTACCGCGTCTTTTGATGTCTCTGGAGCGTGAAAGATGAAAGAAAAGCGGAGAGATGTTCGCTTAGCGATAAGATCACCGCTACCTCGCCTCGTGTTTACTGCCGCGCGCCGCTCAGTAGTGAGACAAAGACGGAACGATTGTCTGTCGTCTGTCTTTTTCTAATCTACTATCCATTGCATGGAAGTAGTATGGACACGAACCTAGGCGCATTTTACTTTTACCGCGAAAGTGCGCTTAGCGGACGTAGTTTAGGCGCATTTTGGTCAGATGGCGCATCTAAAATGCGCTTAGCCGTATCCCCCGAAATACGGCCGGTGGCCGCTCTCATTCTATTCTCTTCTAAGAGGAAAACTTTACAGGTCGGAAAATCTGTACGCAAAAATTCCCCAAGTAACTATTCTAGGAAATTTGAAGCCAATCTGGGGGCTGTATTCCGTACTCGCGTACCGATAGTTATCGGTATCGTTAGAGGCATTGTGCAGGTTTTTCATATAACAAAAAAGCTGCGCAATACTTCTACGATATACAAAAGCTGCACAACGATAACGAAAGTGTCGTTAACTCCAATAACAAGTTACAGAATCGCACTGCAGGGGCTGTATTCCGTACTCGCGTACCGATAGTTGTCGGTGTCGTCAGTAGTATTGCGCAGCTTTCTTGTTATATGAAAAACCTGCGCAATGCCGCTAACGACACCGACAACTGTCGATATGCAGGTACGGAATACAGCCCCAGTGGTGCGATTCTGTAACTCGTTATTGGAGTTAACGACAGTTTCGTTATTGTTGCGCAGCTTTTCTACGGTATACAGAAGCTGCGCAACAATAACGAAACTGTCGTTAACTTCAATAACGAGTTACAGAATCGCGGTACAGTGCTGCAATTCTGTAACTCGTTATTGGAGTTAACGACACTTTCGTTATCGCAGCTTTCGTTGCGCAGCTTTTGTATACCGTAGAAAAGCTGCGCAACGATAACGAAAGTGTCGTTAACTCCAATAACGAGTTACAGAATTGCACCACAGTACCGCGATTCTGTAACTCGTTATTGGAGTTAACGACACTTTCGTTATCGTTGCGCAGCTTTTGTATACCGTAGAAAAGCTGCGCAACAATAACGAAACTGTCGTTAACTCCAATAACGAGTTACAGAATCGCACCACTGGGCCTTAATTCTGTACACGCTTACCGACAACTATCAATGTCGTTAACTGTATTGAGCAGCTTTTGTATATCGTAGAAAACCTGCGCAACTCCGTTAACGATATCGATAGTTGTCGGTAAGCGTGTACAGAATTGAGGCCCTGTGGTGCGATTCTGTAACTCGTTATTGGAGTTAACGACACTTTCGTTATCATTGCGCAGCTTTTGTATACCGTAGAAAAGCTGCGCAACAATAACGAAACTGTCGTTAACTCCAATAACAAGTTACAGAATCGCACCACAGGTACTTATTATGGAACTCGTCGGAATCGATTCCGATCGAATTTATTCCGTTATTTCCTAAATTTCTATTGTCTTTTCTAGGGGAAACGGAATTATTCCGATCGAAATCGATTCCCCATTATTCCATCTGTTAACATCCATACTCATTTCAAGCTATGTCTCATATTCCGGCCACGATATTCCTATGAGGGCGCCAGTGCCCAGCGAGATTTCTCTGGTACGCTTAATCTCGTAAGACTAACAATCTTTATAGTATCTCGTCAGTGGTTATGTCAAGAAAGAGGAAAATTGATCGAAAGTTTAATCGGATAACAGCATTGATTAATCGAGGAAATTATCGAAAACGATCGAAAAATTGTCAATTTTCCAATTAATCGTTAAAATTATTTTCCCCTGATGCAGTTTGGAGCAGAAATGAAGTGCAAATTTCTCGTTAACCTGTGCAATCAACTGTCAGTAGATTCCGCATATTACTCTTTGAAAATTTAGAGAAAGTTCTTTGGAGCTTGCCGCAGCTTATTGTAGTTCAATACGGTGTCATTTTCAGATCCTAGTCCACAATTGTAATGAACAGTGAGTGAAGTCGAGTGTGATAGAAATATTACTCCGGATCCCGAGCGGAGGTTAAGCGTGCATAGCTGATGTATTCATCTGGAACGAGTTGAAATTGATAAATTCGCGAAGCGCGACGAAGATGTCGTACAAGGTTGGCCAGCGCGTCGAGGTGCCGGTAAAGGAATGTCAAGGCGTGATAGCCTACGTCGGTTATCCGCTTTTTGCATCCGGCAAGTGGATCGGAGTGATACTCGACGAGCCAAAGGGCAAGAACAATGGTACTGTGAAAGGCAAGATGTACTTCAATGTAAGTAATATACTCGATGAGTCGCTTGTTTTTTTCCGGGTTGTATATACTAATGAAGAACAATATATATTTTATGTCGTCGCCGTAGTGCACAGAAAATTATGGAATGTTCGCGCGTCAAACGCAGCTTATCTTGCTGGATGAAGCTGGTAATAGAACAGAGCCTGTCAGCCCATCATCAGCAGGCAGCAGTGCCACAACACCTGATGACAGTGGTCCTGCGAGAGCCAGAAGTCGCCTAAATAGGTAGGTTTTTGCAAATACAATATAAAGTTTCTTATACAATCGAGGAATTTTGTTTGAATCTAAAAAATAAGCCTTTACATGCATTATGATTTTTCTGCAGTACAAATAGTTTCTATAATGCAAGTATGCACATGTAAATGAAATATAAATGCTACTAGAATACATTATTTTATAATATTGGGGTTTAAAGTATCTAAGTATTTTTTTCATAAAATTAAATATCAGTAGAATTAAGTAAAAATTAAGCAGTATCCCATTTATGTGCGCTAAGAACAATAACATCTGTTCATTGTTGAATTTGCTCAGTAGAATATATATAATCTATATAAAATAATTGTTCTATGTAAAATAATTATTCCATAATCTTTTCACGCTAGCATTAGTACACGTCGAAGGAATGAGCCTACAGCGTAAGTTTTGTTAGATTGTACAATAATGTTGAGCATTAAGAAAGAAATATTTCTATTTTATACAACATTTTATTTCGTGCTAAGCATCTCGAGTATTCCACATATAAGCAAGTAAATAGGCGAGTATATAATTAATCAATCCTTAAAATGTATTATATGCTGCTCATAAAAGTGTACGGAGAAAAACATCTCCTGCGAACATTACTCGTCAGCAATCTGACAAACTTTCTGGGTAAGATTACGTGTAAACCGAATCGTGGCAAGTGGATATGTCAGCAATGTATAATTTTTTTTTTCATTGCTACTGCTTTCATAGATATCTTGATAAGGATTACTATCTTCTATCAAAGTATCACTTGTTTGTCACTGAGCATCTAAACTATTTTGCAGCTTTCAAGCACAAATTATCGCCAATATGCCTTACATACAGCTTTTAAATATATGTATTTTTATTTTGTGATAAGTAATTGGTAATATATAATCTTCCGATTACTTTATTATTATTATGTAAAAATGTATGTGTCGTCGAGTACCAAACGCTATTAGACTTATTTGCTGGCGTAATTTTTTGTAATTTTATAGATCTTTATTTTAAACTTTTTTGTTTGATCTGCGAAAATACGTAAAATATACGCAATATAAATTTGAGTTTCTATCATGATTTCTTGCAGTCGACCTAGCAGCAGATACGTACAAGGTGTGTAGTAAATCGCATGGTGCGACCGATGAAGAAGTGGTTCCACATCTATTCCATTGCGATTTACTTTGCACTCTTGATACATTCTGTACGAAGATATCGTTACAAGATTGTGTATTATTTTACAGTTCTCGATTATCTTTGACCGGGAGTAGAACGTTATTAAGTGCCCCAAGCACAGAAAGCCTCTCCGGATCACAGCATGAACGTAGAGACGGCGGCGAGTCGTTAATTCCAGCCCCAACTTCCACAAAACGCGCTTCATTTATCGAGGTAAGGCATCACGTCGCGCGTCAGCTGTAACGATAACAAGTAAGGTTTTAAAATAGAATGAGATTACTTTTCCATTACACAATACGAGCAAAGTCTATCTAGAAATTAACTTTATATAAAAAAGTGTGGTGTATATTTATATACATAATTCCTACGGTCGAATTAGCTATCTATCATCCATTTTCATGGTATACTCTTGTTGTTTTTGACTAACAAGAACGCAGGTTTCTGACATTTGGAAATCTCTAGGTTTTTCCGATTATATTTGTATGTTACTTATGTTCATGTGCGAGGAATCCTATTCTGTGACTCTCGGTGATGATGTCAAATGCAGTTTTGCACGTGTGCATTTCTCGTCGTGAGCGGAAAGTGTGCTTTGGAAATACGAAGTAGAATTAACGATGCGAGCTATAAGAGAGGCACGAAACGGGAGACAAAAAAAAGAGAAACAAAGAGAGAAACTTTTCGCGAGAACAAGTGAGAGGACCTCGTTGGCACAGAATGATTCATATGGGAATGCACGTACGTGTTTCAGAAGTCCCCTAGCACGAGCTCGCCTCCCGGCAAAAAGCCAAAGGCCCAAGATGATCACAATAATGTAATTAATACTCATTAATTGTAATATCTCAATTTTTTAATATCACCTCTCTCTGATCTCGTTCTTTCTCATACTAGCTGTTTGTCGATCATTTAAGCATCGTAACACATAACTCTCTCGCAACCGAATAATATAGCGTCATTGTGCACCTTCTGACGGGTACGCTCGTCTTTAGTGGGATTACACGGACTTGGTTACATTTTTATTCTCCGCCACACATCTCTCCATCTCGTTACGTTCAACATCGGCTTCATTAACTGAGTTCTTCCATAATGCTTCGATAGAGCTAATGATTTTTACGAGTGGGAAAGGGCCGAATTCAGCGCGTCGTGCCGCCTTTCAATTAGGAACTGAGTTGTCCTCCTCCTCTCCCCCCGCGTTTGCGTTGCAAGGATAATAACAGTAATGTTAGCGCGAGCGAGTCCTGTTTTCCTTCTTTTTCTTAACAGCATCATGGTGCATACACGGAGATGTAACTTCCGCTTTTTGACCGGTAACTTTCCTGGAGTTACACTTGTATATTAATGCAAGAGTTAGTCCACCTGGATGTGGAACGGGAATGCAAAGTGACACGTGTGTGCGAATCGTTTTAGAGAACCTGATAGTTGAAATAGTTTTGACGCTCCGATTCTCTAGTATATCCTACGTAAATGTATCATTGTAACATGACTCAACTCATCAACTGTGGCTCTTCCTGTACTCGTTAGTACTAATAGAGTGTAATTCGGTGTAGCTTGTGTTGGTGTTTGCTGTCACAAAACTAATCCCATTAATCACCGTCAAAAAGACAGACTAATTCTCTGCTCGACTGTAAATACAAGAGACTACGTACATTATTATTGTAAAAGCCACATTGTAATCCTCATCTATAGGAAATCTATGGGGTGTTTTTTTCATTGCCGCAAGTCGAGAGTAATTATCTCCTTTATCTTTGTTTGCGCCATCCATATGTACCACGTTTCAGTTACACCGTGTGCGTGTATATGAGTTTTTCAACGAGTCTCAAGTTGGCACAGGTACGCAGATTCAGAGGACCTTGCAGAGAAACTGTTTGGCGATGTTGCGATTCTTTCGTGCGATAATAAAAAGAACACCCGGCTGTACGAAGCGCAAGAGTGTCTCATTTTGCCTCTTTCTATAATTCAGACAGGTTTTGTAGAAACGCTGAAGCCGCAGTTCGTACCCGGCCAAGTGATGGCAGGTTCGACGGCGGCTGCGAATCTGGTGGAGGAGAAGTTGTCGCACTTGCAACTCGCGCAAGAGAATGATAACTTGAAATCTCAGGTAAATCGGAGCTCTCACTTCGACAGATGTATCTTTCTCGATCAGTCCTGCCGTTTTATCGTACAGACTGTTCGGAATTTTGTACATGCATACAACATGCAACGTTCTAGGTACACGATCTTACCGAGAAAGTAGAAACGCTGCGTGTGAAACGAATGCAAGACAAGGAACGGATGAAAGACTTCGAGAAGACGAAGCTTCAAATAGAGCAACTTCTCGAGTTCAAGGCTAAAGTCATGGAAAGTCAAGTGAGTGATTTATCGATTGATTAATCAAATACTCCAGATACTCATTCTAAGTTCTGTTACAATATACATAATACATTTTTTATCTTCTATTATTGTTTTTTTTTTCCTTTTTCCTCTCTGCTTCTCTCGTATTTTTTTTCTTTTCTTTTTATTTAGATTATATTTAGTATATTTTATCGAAAGAATGAGTGAATGGATGAACATTCTTTTTTAATTCGCGACGACAAAGATACCTCGACTTTCACGTTCATCATTTGTATCATCAAAGGCAAGTCTTCAGAGAGACCTTCAACGAGCCCGACAAGAAGCCCGAGATGCACATGTGGCGAGAGAGCAGTTCCAGGAAGAAATGGCCGACCTCGCAGAGACTGTGGAAATGGCTACGCTAGATAAAGAAATGGCGGAAGAAAAGGCCGAGACGCTTCAGATCGAGCTGGAGCAACTCAAAGATAAACTCGAAGAGCAAACGTTGGACCTAGAGATACTACGCACAGAGATGTCTGAGAGGGTATAATATCCATATATATTTCGGCTTTACTTTAATAGCGACACAATGGCAACATGCACATGCGAATGAGTTGATCGTTTCTGCGTTTCTGCGAATAAAGGCGGCCGGTGGTGGATCGACCACGGGAACTTCGAGCTACGAGATAAAGCAGCTGGAACAACAGAACAGCAGGCTGCGCGAGACGCTCGTGAGGATGCGCGACCTGTCAGCTCACGAGAAGCACGAGTTCCAGAAACTGCAGAAGGACATGGATCAGAAGAAGTCCGAGATCTTGGAATTGGGTCGCACAAAGGAGAAGCTATCGGCGCGCGTCGAGGAAATGGAACATCAGATCGCGGATCTGCAGGAACAGGTACGATTTGTAGCATTCGCGCTTGCGACTGTACGCGGATGCTTGTGCATCTAATGTGTTTCTCGTAGGTCGACGCGGCATTGGGAGCTGAAGAAATGGTCGAGATGCTGGGTGAGAAGAAAATGGCATTGGAGGAGAAAGTGGCCGAGCTGGAGGAAGCTGTCGCGGACTTGGAAGCTCTTCAGGTAACATTTTTAATTCTACCTGGAAAGCAGCGTTACCTCTTCACATTGCAAAACACCAAGGTTTGGTGATAATTAGTTAATTAATTCGAGTAACTTTTGTAGCTTAACCAAATTTAACCAAGTCACAGGTCCTTAATTTCAAACTTAACTCAGACAAATGATACTTTAACTTACGTATTGAGTTATTAACTTAATCCATTTTCAGGACATGTCCGACCAATTGGCGGAGTCGTCCAAGGAGTTGGAGCTGGAGCTACGCGAAGAGTTGGATCTCGCTCTCGGCGCGGCACGCGATGCTCAACGGCACCGGGACGCCGCGTTGGAGACGCTCGCGGACCGTGAGCTAACCATCGCCAAATTTCGCGAACTTACGCATCAGTTGCAGGAGCAATGTTTGCAGTTGCAGCAACGAGTGCAGTCGACGGAGTCCACGAAGACCAACGTTCGAGGTAGAGCAAAGTGTTCCGAATCGAGATCGAGAGACGCGGAACAATTGCGCTCCAGGACTGTCTACGCCGATCCTCACGCTCTCACTTGTTGGTGTTTCAGGCGCGGACCAACAGCTGGCAGAGATACTGGACTTCCAAAAGACGTTCGCCGAGACCCGGGCGCAAACCAAGGCCGTGGATCTCGAGTTGCGCCGGTTGGACGCGGAGGAAGCACGGAATCACGTGTGTTACCTGCTGTCCTTCATGCCGCCTGCGTTCTTGGCTCGCGGCAGCGACCACGACGCGATACTGATGCTCCTGCTGATACCGAGAATGACGCAGAAAACGGAGATACTGATCTCACAAGTGCGGGAGAAGTACAGGTCGATCGAGAAGATAGATCGGTAATTGCGCTTTGCTCCGTCACTTCTGCACCGATTCCGCGTATGAATTTTTCGCGTAATGCCTCGTCTTTCATGCTTTATCAGGGCTTCGGTAATAAGAGGTCACTCGGTGGCGCAGTACACATTCAGGTCACGTCTGTGCTCGCACATGTACGCCCTGCAGACGGCGTTGAGCTGTTTCGAGTCGGTCCTGAACTCGTGCAGCCCGGAGATGCTGCTTAAAGCGGGCAACGCTTACCCGGAAATGGCGGCGCAAGAGAAATCTTTGGATTCGTTGATCGAGCTGGCCAAGAGGGACCAGTTGGATGAGAACTTGCCGATGGAAGTGATTGAAAAGTGTTGCACGTACTTCGCCACGATGTTTTCCGTGCTCTTCGGCGAAAGCACGGCCGTCAATCAGGCGCGTCTGATCGTCAATGGGACGAGAACCTTGGGCAGCACGTGCGACGCCATCTCCACCGACGCTACGGCGATCAAAGCGCTAATACAGGGCGAGGGTGGCGATATCGGTGAGTATAATTATAATATTTAATCAATTAAATCTCATTCATATTTTAACATCATCGCGACGCGTTCTTATGTCTTGAACAAAAGGTCTGCTGTGTCAACACGTTGAAACGACATGCGAGGTGATTCAACAGCACCTGAAATCAGCTAGAAGGCGAGTACCACGCGATCATGCTGGTCCGGCGTTCTCCGTAGGCGCCAATTTGGGATTAGATAAAGACTGCAACGAGCAATTCTCAACGTCGTATCAGCACGCCGTGAAAATCATGAAGACGCTTCAAAATCTGTTGAAGAGCGCCCTGCAAGCTATCACCGAAAATGGCGGTAAGTGTGTTTTTGGTATTTTCTTCTTGAAAATTCAATTTGTTGGGACGTTCCCGATATTTTTAACGAATCCGACTGCTCTTAGACCTAGATACCGGACTGGCAGCTGATAAGCTGAAAGAGATGGCTGCGACATCCAGCGAAAAGGTATACGATACCGAAGATTTAGGACCTGTGGCTACCATCAAAGCGAGCTTAACAGTGATACAACAATTGGCGGCGAATCTGGCGCAGAAGATGGCCGAGTGTGAGAATGAGTTAGCTATAAGTGGACAAACGCAGAACCAGCAGCAATCTTTGGAGGGTGAGCAGGTGACGCCAATCTTGATCAGAGCAAACACGGCGAGAAAGGAGTCGGAAGAAACTAAAATACTCAGCAGGTGCGTACATCTTATTTTTTACTTTTTTTCCTTTAGGAAAAAAGTAAAAAATATAAGTTATCTATATTGCCTTACCTCCATGTACATGTACATTCTGATTTATGTGTTACATGTACACCTAACTTCAATGAGCTGACGTCTCATCTAGTTGTCTAGAGTGCTCTTTTTTGTGTATTTTTATAATATTGCGCTCACTCTCGCACTCGCACTTGCATTCAGGTAAATGAAAACACTCGCGTAAAAATAACATACTATTTACAGCGCAGCTCGCTCAAGCTTTAAACAAGAATAATTCTCTGATCTACAATTCTCGCGTCTATCTACGATGACAGTTTGCCGGAGAGTCTCTGTCAGCTGTTGTTGTTTTCTTCTTATCGATTTTCCGTCGTCCAGACAATCTTTGTTCAGTTGTCAAAATCAGCATCAGATGCCTAAGGCTCACGGATAACGGGCGCTACCACAAACCTTGTGGCTCGGGCACAACACTGCTCCCCCTCTTCGAAAAATTGTCGTCCCGACAATTCTCTTAGGCAAGGTCATCCTCTTCCTTGACTCCAGAGATCTTCATGACTCATGTCCTACCCTGAGCTGCTGCTATAGATTACCGGATTCCATGAATTTCTGATCTGAATCAAGGATTCTGAGGATCTTGACTCTTCGCCTTCAAAACATCATCACTATCTTCGTCCTCTAGGAGGTGATCAGTCTCCAGGACCTTTCTAAAACGATCCGCTTGTTGTTCCGCTTCTTCGTCCGTTTCCTCCTTGGCTCCTCTTCGGACAAGGAGGGGAGACTACCGTGGACCCAATGTTCTTTTATAGAACACCCCGAGTCCCTGCCTCGGCATTCGCCCAAAGCCCCACGGAAAAACTACGATCAAAAACCGTGGGGGAGGCAGCCTTCTCTCTTTTCTTTTTCCCGGATGTGGTCTTCCGAAACCGTTCTCCAAAATTAAACCTTAAAGTAAAGAAAATGAACGCAAGATTTTGTTCTAAATAATTTTACCATTAAAAATTTACAGGTCTCTGATATCTTCCCTATTCCTGTATCTCACTAAAAGAAGCTAACCTATCTGCGTGTACTACTTTATTCCTGCTCTTACTCGATTTCCTAATACAATAAACTACTTCATTTAACCGTTTTACTATTTCATAAGGTTCTTCCCAATTACTTTGTAACTTTGGAGCTTTCCCAATTTTCCTTTGTGGATTGAAAACCCAAACTTTCTGACCTTCTTCAAATGAACATTTCCTAGCTCCCTGATCATACCACCTTTTAATCTTTTCAGAATTTAGAGTCATTTTCTGCCTAACACTTTGATAAACTTCATCTAATTTTCCTTTTAAATCAGAAACATAATCTCTAAAGTTTGTGACACAATCTTTCGGAGGAGTTCCACGAAGTAAATCTAAAGGTAACCTTAAATCTCTTCCGAAATTCAATTCTGCCGGAGTCATTCCCGTTGTTTCATGTTTTGCGGATCTAAATGCTAAAAGAAATAATGGAATCCAGTTATCCCAATTTTTCTGATTTTCATCAACAAACTTGGACAAATACTGAAGAATCGTTTGATGTTGACGTTCGACTTGCTCATCAGATTGAGGATGAAGAGCTGTAGTCCCTGTCTTTCTAATTCCTAACATTTCTGAAAGTTCCTTAAATAACTGTGATTCAAAATTCCTTCCCTGATCAGTGTGAAAGGCACACCGTATCTCGAAATTACCTGACTGACGAATACTTCAGCTATGGTGTTCGCCCTGATATTTTTCAAAGGAAAAGCTTGAACCCATTTTGTAAAACAAACAACTGTAACTAGAAGATACTTATTTCCTGAAGAAGTTATTGGCAGCGGACCAAGTATATCCATCTGAAGTCGTTCAAAAGGAGTTCCAATATTGAAAATCTGAAGAGATTTTCCTTTATCTGAAGGCCCCTTTTTGGTTACATAAATCCTACAAGTTCTACACCAATCTTCAACATCCTTTTTACATGTTGCCCAATAAAAACGTTTTCGAATTTTCCCTAAAGTTTTATTAATACCAAAATGTCCTCCAGAAGGAGCGTCATGTGCTTCTTCCAAAATTCGTTTAACTTCCGAACGTGGAACAATAACTTGAAGAATATTTCCTTTGAGATTGGGTGCTTGCCATTTTCTATGAAGAATTCCATTCTCAACAATTGAAGTGTCCTAGTAAGATAAATAGATTTTTGAAGAAATATCTTCATTCGCCATCTCCTCCCGAGTAGGGCGTCTATCGGATTCTTTTGCCAGAAGAATTGCTGAAATGCTTGGATCATTAAGCTGTTCCTTCCGCCAATTCTGATTAAAATTTTCACTAAAACTTATTCGTGCAACTGATTCACATTCCTGATTTTTAACTTTCACTTCTATCCTGGAAAAATACTTACAATTTTCTCCTGAACAAGGTCGTCTAGACAAACCGTCTGCATTCTTATGTAGCTTCCCCTTTCGATGAAGAATTCTCTTCGAGTCATATAATAATTCCTTTCCGTTTTACTCAAAACACGGCTAAAATAAGCGATCACCTTTTCTACTCCTTCTTGAACTTGAGAAAGTATTGCACCAATACCATGATTCGAAGCATCGGTGTCTAAAATGAAATCTTCTTCCTTTGGAAAAGACAGAACCGGTGAAGATGTCAGAACATTCTTCAGGATATTAAAAGCTTCCTGACATTGAGAAGTCCAATGAAATCTTGTTCGTTCTTCAGTTAATCCGTAGAGAGGTTTTGCAATTGAAGAAAATCCTTTGACGAACTTCCTGTAAATGAAAACACTCGCGTAAAAATAACAAGCTTTACTATTTACAGCGCAGCTCACTCAAGCTTTAAACAAGAATAATTCTCTAATCTACAATTCTCGCGTCTGTCTACATGACAGATGACAGCTTGCCGGAGACTCTCTGTCAGCTATTGTTGTTTTCTTTTTATCGATTTTCCGTTGTCCAGACAATCTTTGTTCAGTTGTCAAAATCAGCATCAGATGCCTAAGGCTCACGGACAACGGACGCTGCCGCAAACCTTATGGCTCGGACACACCAATATTCTTCCTATGTCAATAAAGTTTATTATTATTATTAAGTGTTTGTTAAAAAATTGTGATGCTGATTTTTTAATGTTAGGAAACTTGAGGCGCGGGACAGTGATATTCGTGAGGCTAGATTAGCTCTGCGAGAGAAGCAAGAGGAGTTGTCCGAGATGACGTTACGGAAGGAGTTGGCCGAGAAGCGTTTCATTACACAACAACACGAGCACGAGATGAACGTCGAACAACTGAAGAGAAAATTGGAAGAAGCGCAAAACCAATTGAAACGGAAGGTATTTTTCTCTCCGCTTTCTTTCGACCTTACGCCTGTCTGTCGGCGAGATTCTCAAATATCGCGTTTCTCTCTCTCGGTAACAGGAGAAAGAATTCGAAGAAACAATGGACCATCTCCAGACCGATATTGACAGTCTGGAGACAGAGAGGGGACAATTGAAGGAGAAGCTTAAATCGATCGGCAAGAAAACGTTGTCGACATCCGGCACGGACAATATCACAGGCAGCAATTCGTTAACGAGCACCATGGACAACAAGTATTATATGCAAGAGATTAACGCTCTCAGGGAAGCCTTGAGCAACGAGCATCTGCAGAAGAAGAAGATAATGTGCGACGTTCTGCGTCAGAAGCTGGATAGCCTAGAGCCGTTGTCGTCATCAGCGAGTCTCAAGTCCTTGGATTTGACGATTCAAGATTTGCGGAAGAAAACTACAGATCTCGTTAAAGTAAGTTATTGATTGATGTTTCACATTAATTATTATTATTATTGATTGTCATTGCACCAAGACAAGTAACGTCTGACACAAATATTCGATTATATTTTCAGGATGTTCAGAAAACCTTGGTATATCCGACAGTTCCTGACTTGAGGCGCAAAGTGCCTGAAACGTCTTATCACTACTTATTGGAGCGGCGAAGAAATATCATGCAGCTGAAAGAGCGAGCCGACGAATTGGCGGTAAGTATAAATAGAGTGAAATCCGTTTAATATTATAAACGCTTCAAAGTATCCAAATAAACCAGACTAATTGGTCCATTCGTCGCTTTGAAGCATTTGTAATATTAAACGAAAACTATCCTTGATATTATCAGATATTCAATCGGATGTTCAAAATAATATTCTTTTCCCTGCTTTTATTCTTCAGGCTCAAGTCCGTCGTGAGGCTATCAAACGCACACCCGGTGGACGAGCGGAGGCGAATTTCGCCGTGTATCCGAATCGCGAGATGGCGGCGGCGATGCAAGAATGCAAGTTACTCGCCGCCGAGATAAAGATCCCTTACAATGGCCCGGAACGATCGTTCTCTGTTAATGTAGGCACGCAAGAACTTAGGAAAATTCACACTTTGCTGTACTATTAAAAAAGGAGAAAATTTGCCGCGCGTTGCTTGGTTATTTATTTCTTGTGACAAGGTATGAGAAGCAAACGTTAAGATATACTCTGTACACACAAGACTAACTTTTTTTCTAATAGCTCCTTTATTGATAGCAATATTATCTGCAATGTTGCCGTACTCTGTCAACGCTCTATTAGAGAAAGAAAAAGAACAAAAACAGATTAAATGAGTTATTACATGTATAATGTTACGGATATTTTTTAACGTTAACTTTAAGCTTTTGTACGGAGAAAATTTGCGTTATATCCTTGTATTCGACGAGTGAGGTACAGGGCGATATTTAGTAATTCGTAATTTGCACTCGTGCAATATTTATTTATTTCCGATGGGGCTACAGCGCGATGACCGGCGCATCGCGGCTGGGAGGCTTTCCAGCGTTCTCTCTCTCTCTCTCTCTCTCTCTCTCTCTCTCTCTCTCTCTCTCTCTCTCTCTCTCTCTCTTTCTCTCTCTCTCTCTCTCTCTCTCGTTACGTTTATATAAACGCAATTGTCATTGTAGTATTAACAATTCAGAAGAGAAATCGTGTGCCTCTGCGGCTTTTCTGTATTATATGTCCTTAAGAGTTGTCAAATATACGATCTAAAAATATTTACATAATCGTTTTTTATGTATATACACCTTAGACGGTGATTGGTATCACAATATAGAAAGTACGTGGTCTTCCGGAGAGCAGGTACGGCCACCTACCTTTGACCAATCGTCAATACACTTTCAGCATTGCCGTCATACATGTACATATGTATATATATATATATATATATATATATATATGTATGTATATACATATATACATACACACACATATGTATATATGCGTCTTGGTCGCGTAATTAACATTTAATGAAACAGAAATTATATAGTACAATATTCTAGACTTCTTTTATTAGTAGAGATAAAAGGAGAGCAGTAAACCGTTGATGTATTTCCTCAGTATTCATGAAATAACGTATGCCTTAATTACTGTCACAATTTTATTATACATACAGATATGCGTATGTGCGATATGTATATACACATACACTTTGAGATTTCTCATATATAGTATACATATATGTGTATATACATACACATACACACAGCAGATAGTATTAAGTGCATATATCGTTAGTTGTTTATTAACTTACTTGTTCATTCATTCACTTTCACAACACGGTAATGCGCTTACTCTCTTACACTTTCATTTATCCTCTTTAATAATAATAATAATAATAATAATTAACCACGCATTCAATCGAGGATGGTTAGTTATATCTTTTCGTTACGGTCTCGAGTGTCCGTCAGGTGGGTGGGTGTGTGAGTGTAAGTGTGTGTGACCCGTTTCCTCATAGTATACAAGCTTTGAGATTTCCGGAGTCGAGTTTATTTTCGCAATCATACATCGCAATTCGTATTAAGGCTGACCGGACGACTGGTAGTACCTTCCACATTACGCACTAATATTACTTGTTAAAGATGTGTAATTATAACTTCTTCTTCTTTTTGGAACTAATGCTCGCAGAATATGGACGTGAAGTTTAGTAGGTAGGATGAATAATATAACTAAATCTTAAACGCGAGATAGAGAGAGAAACGTGTTCCCTAAAATCGTCGATATCAATAAGTATATTCAGACTGTCGAAATGACTTTTTTTTTCAGTGTTGTGTGTTGCATGTGTATGTAGGTATGTACGTGTACAAAAAGAACACTTGATCATGAAATATGAAATCGTACGCGTACATAAAATATCAAATTCAATGTTGAAGCAACAGCACGTGTGAAACAGCTACACAGTCTCAGCTATTAAAACTATATACGGAAGAATTGTTCAGCTAGACCGAGTTACAGGAGTACTTTTTGAACGAGCTATCTCTTTCTTTCTGTCTCTCTTTCTTCATTCACGTCTCTCTTGGCGAAAGTAAGCCTGTAACTAGTTCGCACCAATCAATCAAAATTCTCTCTTTTTTTTTTCCTTTAGAGATACAATTTTATTTCTAAAATCGAGTAAACTTATTCACAGACAGAAAGAGAGTAAATCGAGGGATATCCTTATGATAGAATCGTTAAGCATTTGTTCGTTTCTCCATGGAGTTACTCGCTCCGTTACTCGATACAGTACGATAGTAGTAGATACTTAAAAATTAGATGGTTGCCTTAACATTACGGTATCTTTAAACGTTACTTGTCAATATTATATATATCGGGGAGACATCATCGTTTATACATGTAAAAAAAAGTTATTCAATTCGAACGCGTCAAAGATACGTAGAGTATCTTTGATGCTATCGACATATCACCCTGATAAGAAAAATATTAACATTTTCTCAACACTCCACGTACGCTAGTATGCTCACACTATACACTGAAGACAAAACAAAATTTAGGAAGCAAAATGTCAGTTCGCTTTACGATAGTGCTCATACTCTCTCTCTCTCTCTCTCTCTCTCTCTCTCTCTCTTTCTCTCTCTCTCTCTCTCTCTCTCTCTCTCTTTTTCACAAGACACTCACGTATTTTCTCGCGCACGTATCGCGTGCGTTTCCGTTTGTAGAGTATAGATATAAAATTTTACAGGATTACCACAAGAATGGTCTGAAAATGTCCTCTCTTTCTCTCCATGAAAATTATATAGCAAACTTTCGACTCGATCTATTTGTATCAGAGGTCAACCGCGTGCATTCGTTTACAAAGATCTTTTCAGGACATCAAAATCTTTATTTTTCCCTTTCAATGAATAACGGTAAATTAAATATATAGTAACAAAATAAAGAACATGCCACTTTCTGGCTAGCTAATCTCTCTCGCATTCCAAATCCAGAATTCAATCAACCGAAACTCTAAGAGAGAATATCAATATTACACAAAATATCTCGTGTATAACACTGCAATTACGTGATACACGTCTTCCCATGTCGCATTATAAGAATGTTATATTTGTAATCACATAACTATATGCTCTCTCGTTTTCTCTTTCTCTCCGTCTCATTTTTTCGCTCTTACTATTTTTCTTTCTTCCCCTTTCTCTCTGCGAAATTAGACCCCTGACTGATACGATTCTTCGAATGAATAATTTGTAAGAAGTTCGGTACCTCTCGTATAAAACACTTCAGTGATCGCAATCAAGGTTGTTGCTACGATCTGGAGTTATAGTCTTAGCGTGCTCCTGGAACAAAGTAATTTTGAAATTATATAACATAATCATTTCATTTGTTGAATTTTTCTACAGATAACACATAATGATAGTGCAAGTTTCATTCTTTGTTAATATCACTTGTCTATTGCACCATATGACGGTGTGTGATGCATAAACATACCTTTTTTTTTTCATAAAATTTCGCATATTGATAATTCTATTTTAGATAATTTTTATGATCAATAAAGTTATATTATATACAAATAAAATCAGGGACGAATGAAGTATTTGATGTCGCCGTCTAATTTCATCAATAAAATAATAATTAACAATGTGAGTATATTAAACTTTTTAAGTTTTGTACATAAAGTGAAAGAGATATTCTCAATGTAAATTTAGAATCTACTAAGTATCTATCTTGATAATCGTCCCCCCTTTAACAATATATCTCAAAGGAATTTCAAATTATATATAAACTACATAGAACAAAAATGCATTTATTGATGTATAAACAAAAATTTAGTAACAAAAAGTTTTAACATTTAGAGATTTCTGTCATTTTATATGACGGAGCGTCAATTAATTCCTGGTTAAATGTTAATCGAGGCGAAGCATACTTGTATCTTCATAAATGTTAGTCCTTATTATTAGTAAAGATGCAAAGAGAATCAGTCCACAAAATTTTGCGAGGTATCGGTTCATTGGAATGGGAGATAAGAAACATTTTTTTGTTATAAGGACTCCAATTATTGCTTCTTGGTGGATTGGTTTGTGCCAATTGATACGTTATTGAGTTTCGTGGAGGACTCCAGCCATTTTTTGAACTTGAAATTCGCTATTAAGAATGATAATGATTGTTGTAATTGCATGTAAAAAAATGACATGAGATATGTATGGATTCCTAGTGGAATCTACAAACTATGTGCACATTCTACAAAAAAAGATCGATTCCAGAAATTTTGGTTGCACCTGATTGAGCGTTGGCCTGAGTAGGTGCCTGACCTTGGCTTTGTCCTTGCCCTTGAGCACCTTGAGCACCTTGAGAGGGACCTGGTCCAGCTGTTGCTACTCCACCGCTGAGAGTACTGTTCCCTACTTTTTGTTTCAACATCGTCCAATCGAATGTATAATCGTATTGATGGTTCAATGTACGGAAAAGTATGCGGAAAAGTTGACGTAAATACATATAATCTGGGCTCTCTTCGAAGCGTAAACCTCGCGTATAATTCAAATACATTGCGAACTCGGCGGGAAATCCCTGAAAAGAAAAAAAAAATGTAACAGACCTTGTTACGGATAAGAGTGTCAAACACAGAAATGCACGTAATATATAAAATCCATTGACATACCTTGCATAAAACTTCCACTGGCGTAGACATTTTCTTCTCACTAATTTTTTCATACTTCTGCTTCTTTGTTGCTGCCTTGAGACCTTGCCAGGGCAATGATCCTCGATTAAAGTACATGAGGACGTAACCAAGTGATTCCATGTCATCACGACGGCTCTGTTCAATTCCAAGGTGAGCATTGATAGAAGCATACCTTGCAGTGCCAGTTAAATTTTTATCTTCACGGTATATTATATGCAGTCTTGTACGACTATCTCTATATTTCTTAGCCAATCCAAAATCAATTAGGAATAGCTGAAATCGATTAGGAATAAAGATTTTTTAGAGTTTACAGAATCATATAAAATTAAATTTTCATATGTTACCAGAAAGTAATCAGAATAAAATATTCACCTTATTACAATGCCGCCCAATACCCATTAAAAAATTATCTGGTTTTATGTCTCTGTGAATGAAATGTTTGCAGTGAACATATTCAATCCTGCCGATCATCTGATCTGCTAACATTAAGACTGTTTTAATTGTAAACCTTCTTGAACAAAATGTGAAAAGATCTTCCAAAGAAGGTCCAAGAAGATCCATAACAAGAACATTATATTCACGTTCTTGGCCATACCTGAAAATATAGTAAGTCTTATGAAATTTTTGATTCATATAAATTTTAACTGATAATTTATTTTACACGTGAATTCTATTACAATGGAAATTGTATAGACAATATATCTGAATGAATTATATGAAGGATAAGAATTAAATAGTGTAATTACCAGCGTATATGCGGTATTCCTATACCACCATGTAATATTTTATACAGCTTTGACTCATATAAAAGCTGAGGATGTCGAGCTCTCATGTTCTCTAACTTTACTGCAACTTCCTAAAATATAATGTTTATTGTCAACATTATTATGTCATATTTCGTGTTATTATGTCAGATGTGTTACTAGATGTTTATCTAGCTTAAGAATCATAAAAGATGAAGCAAATGAAACTAATGAAATAACAATTATTTGGTTATTTCTATTTATCAAGTGTCTTAATCTCTATTGAAGATAGTGTTTCGGCTGTACAATTGACAGCAAATAAAAAAATGAAAGTAAAACATAAAGATAAGGTTTCATAACCAGTTCCTGACATTCAGAAGTATTGTTATCAGTACATTCACATGAAACAAGCATTGATTCAATGATAATGTTTACTGATTAATGCAAACTCTGCATAATACTGCTCTCAAAGTTGTCTCTCTTATCACACAGAAAGAATGACAAGTTGCTTCAGCAAAATTCTAAACTACATATGGGTCATATTTGAATTCTGCTCAAACTGGATTAAGCAGTCATGATTGACTTCATTAAAGAGACAAACAAGCGGTGGAAGAAGCAAAACGACCATTGTTATATCACCATACTGCCTATTAGATTTAATTCAATTTTCTTTCTCTGTGAGACTATAACCTAGTAAGATACAGACAACCTATGAGATTATCCAATCTTGATGAATGCATTCGAGCTTCAAGCTATGACACGCGGTGGTAATTCGAACGCGAATCGTTTCGTAGCAAACAACTCTCGCTGTATTTTCGCGGCGTACGCCGATAATTATTATTATGACGAACGTAAGCTTATATTTATCTCGACCGCGTCGCAACACATACGTCACTCGTGATACGCGCGTATAACTCTCCGAATTTCCACGAAGCTAAAACATTTCATGATAATTCGCAATGTGCACGCTCGTTACGGTGGCGAGCGAGCAAGCGTGCTGTTCGCATCATCGAGGGCGCGTTTCACAACGGGAGTTCGCCGTCCACGACGGCGGGCAAAAATTCGTTGCTCCACCGACGGCGGTCGACATATCGGCAATGATGACAAATTCGCCTTGCAAACATTCGCGATCAGGCCCCGTCTCATAGCAGTGTCGCGTCGTCGTCGTCGTCGTCGTTGTCGTTGTTGCTATGTTCATAAAAGAGTAATACCGATCGCATGGAGGACGACGACGACGACGACGAGCTAACGATATCGTAACGAGACGCAATGAGGAACGTGAAAGAGGCAGTCGAGCTGGCAGCAGCAGTAGTCCATGCTAACTATCGAGAATTTCTCCTTCTCTCTCTCTCTCTCTCTCTCTCTCTCTCTCTCTCTCTCTCTCTCTCTCTCTCTCTCTTTCTCTCTCCCATACCTCGCCATTGGAGATGTTGATGCCGAGGTAAATGTCGCCGAACGAGCCCGAGCCGATTTTCCTCATCAGCCTGTACTTGCCACCCACAATAAACTCATTCTTTGCTATTGACATCGCTAACGACGCCATGTCACTACTCTCTCGGTGTGCCTTCTCTCTCCTCTTCCTCCTTCTCACTGTCTGGCTCTACCCTCGCACTGCGTCCCCTATACGGCGGTGTAGTTTTGCACCTACTCGCTCGCTGTCTCTCCCTCTCTCTCTCTCTCTCGCTTCCACTTGTACCGCGATCTCTCACTTTCTTTCTCTTTCGTTCTCCCTTGTTCCCTCGATCTCTTCCGTTCCGTTTCTCTCGCGCGCGCAGGTCGACTCAATCGAGACACGGACCGACCGGGGCGTATCAGCACACTTCGCGGGCCAAATTTTGACGGTTAAGGTCGCCTATGTCGGGATGCTCGATGTTACGACCGTGATATCGCGCGCTGCACACCGCGTCGGGAGCGAGGAATCACTGACAGTGGCACAACCGACGGGCGCACCGACAGCGCGCCGACATTTTCCCTTTCGCTGCGGACACGAGAGCGACTGACTGTTCCGGAAGCGATGCGTCACGAGCGATGGCAGAGACACACGGCCCGTTGCCGCTCAATGGAGCTACTCGTGCTCGTGCGCCAGTTACGGCCCATGGGATCGCAGCGGCGATCCGATAATCCGTCTGTGCTGCTTCACGTTTCCGCGATCGCGTCGTACTCGATCGGGCTGGCTCGCCTCGTCTCGTCTCGTTCCTCGCGTTTCGTCCCGAGCTGCTTGAAGTCGCTCGCTTGAGACTGAGGTACTTCGCGGGCGTTTTAAACGCGTAGGCCGCCGAGCGGCGCCACGAGCGCGCCTCCGTGTCTGATGCATCGGCGAGAAATAACGGGAATTTTCCGAGTGTCGCAACCGCTATGATTTACTCGAGTATTTCAGAATTCGGCCCCGTCCCTGCTCGCAATTCTGCCGGCCTCGACGGTCGCGGACGGGTAAGTGCAAATTCTAGGTTCGCGCTGACACTTTCGGAGCTCCCGGGCAGCGCGTTATTCCATTGGCTGTTGTATTTAATATCTGATCGCCGACGAAACGCAGGTATACAATAATTGTTCGTCTAGACGAGAAGAGAGGATCGCTCCGCGACGAGCGCGGATCGTTCGCCCGAATGAAGCGAATTGACGCTCGCGATCGCGAATCCGGAACTCGAAGCGGTCGATGTGGGTCAAAGGTGCCATCGGACATTCTCCCTCCCTCTCTTTCTCCCCCTTCTCTCTCTCTCTCTCTCTCTCACGGATACGACGCTGATGTACCGGGACCTCGTGCCACTTATTCATATCTTTATAGTTCGACCATTGTTCGTGCGCGGCCAGCAGCCGCGCACTCGTTGGCTAACGAGCGTCTGTTGTGCCGAATGGATCGTAATGACGACGACTTGACACACTGTGACGAGCAGCGGAGAAACTTGCGCGTTTGTTCGCACTGGAGAGGTTTGAAACGCCAACAATGACATCTGGTTGCGCCGGCGGACTTTTCGCACGCGTTCAGCATGGCGCCGTCTGCTGTGTGTCGGCACGTCCTTTCCTGATGTGAAGTTGTCGGTTTGTCGATCGTTTGTGCTCTTGAGTGAGCGTTGAAAATTCACGTCTGTATGATAGCGCATTTTGAGAGGACCGAACATCTTTGAAGGTAGAAGAAAAATAAGCGAGATCTTTATGGCGAGTGTTCTACTACGGAACATAGCGAGTGTGAGGTTAGGCAGGTATCTGAGAAACACCCGGATAATCGTAGAATCGAACGAGAGACACATAATGACGAGCCGAACGAGGCTGGAAAAAGTCCTGGAGGAGTTGCAGAAGAATCCCTATTATGACAAGTACGCCGGGAAGATCGCGAAGCTGCAGCAAACGAGTCCGGAGGAATTTCTGCAGCGCGTCGAGCAGCAGAAGAAAGTTCTCGAAAAGAAAGGTATGCGCAATTTCTACGATGTAGTTGTCCTAGTGTAGTTGTTATTAGATGTTTGGTCAGTCAAAAAGTTCGCTTCGATTGGCTTCGACATCATATGTGATACTGACGACGATATCGATGATCGATGTGACTACCAGAATTTTAGTAAATGGTCATAGACATGTGGATTAATTAATGGTCCACTGAATACGATCAAACCAAATTTAATGGAAAAGTCAAGTTCAACTTTTCGATTGACCCAATAGATAGAGTGTCAACCTAAGTTTCTCTTATTCCCGAGACATCCACTATGCGATTCTTCCTCAAGTGTGAATCTATCAACAGTGAGAAATATTTGAACGTTATTGTTAAAGAAAAACGCGAGAGGGCTGCGAAGTTCTACCAAACTGAAGCGAAGCCAGTTTTGGAGCCCGGTACGCGAACGAAGGGAGCTCAGTTAAGTAACATAATGAAAGTTGATATGATAAGAGACAAGTCGACGGAGGAAATAATGGAAATATGGAAAGAATATCACAAACAGAAGGACTGTATTTGCGGCACGATGACGTCCGAGCAGTACGACAAAATGTTCGCGCGCGGCAAACAATACTCCACGTTCCTCTTGCCGTTACCGCGAGAGCACGGCTATGAATTTATCATGTGCCAATTTTACGGTTCGGAGGTGCACATGACGCCGCTTCTTTGGTACCAGACGCACAAGGAGAACGCGCTCGAATGTCTCACTATGATACACTACACCGAATTGAGAGACGACAAGGGCATCGTGCTCATGCGCGGCGAATTCGATACAAAATTACTCAGCGTGCAGGAAGCCCAATGCCTAGCCAATGAATTGCAATTGTATTATTGTACCGACAACGAGCATAGACTGCAGTTGCTCGATATGTTCACCCACAAGCCGAACGAGTTCAAGCACATGGACCTGATAGCTCAGCTGGAAACGATATCTTTGGAGCCGAGTGCCGTCGAGAACGAGAAATGAAAAGTGTCGCGATGCCTCTTTGTTGTTGTGTATAATATATTGTACAGCTATATGTATAGAACCAGCAAAATAAATATATAAATATTTGAGACACTAAGAGTCTGTATATCATTCTATGCGCATTCACAAAGCTCATAAAAACCTGGCTAATTAGCCCAGTCACCGCAGATTTCGCACATCGTGGAAACTTACCGCTCGATACTATCGTTTGTTGCTTCACGAGGAATGCTTTCATGTCTGCTAAGTCGCGCTTGCATGGAGCGTAATATTGAAGTACATCGACCGTACACGTTTAATTGAATTAGACTGGATCTGTCTTTAATTAAGGAAAGCTTCTCTTGCGTGACGCATATTTTATCTTCTACGTGATAATGAGAGGAAAGACTTCATCACTGCTGTGATGATAATCAATGTTGTTGATTTGAATTTCAGTTGAGCACGTAATGAGCTCACGGTACGAGCCCTCGAAATCCTCGATATTTCCGTTCCTGTTCAGAAACATACGGCGGTCGACGTGGGGTCAAACAGTCAGGAGGCAATACGTCCGAGATCTGTCTCAGAATAAGTGTATCACCACGCCTATCTTTTACGTGAACGCTGGTATGCTATATTTTTCTTGTTTCTCTTTCCAAACTATCTCATTGTTTGTCTGATGATATTCGGGAATTGTGTTTTGTGTGCCAGGACCTCACATCGGGCATTTGTACAGTGCGGTTTTGGCGGATGCCATAGCTCGATACCATGCCATGCTGGGCCACAGAACATTCCTGATCACTGGCACCGACGAGCACGGCAACAAGATCAAAGCCGCCGCAGCCGCAGCCGGTCTACCGAATCTCGAGTACTGCACGAAAGTCTCGCAGCAGTTCAGGGAATTGTGCGATAGGTTTGAAGTGGATTACTCGCGTTTTATTAGAACCACAGAAAAGCAACACTGTGATGCGGTGCATCACTTTTGGGTTCTTAGAAATTTACCACTGATTATTCCGATCGCTAACGTACGCTCGTTCGTTCACGTTGGGAATCGCGCATTTTCAGAAACGCTTAGAAGAAAGGGGACATATCTATCTGGGAAAGTACGCGGGATGGTATTGCGTATCGGACGAGGCGTTCCTGTCCGACGCGGAGTTGGTAGAACAGAAAGACTCAACCGGTGAGACGATAAAAGTCTCCGCGGAGTCAGGGAATACGGTAGAATGGACGGAGGAGGAGAATTACAAGTTCCGACTTAGCGCGCTTCAAGATGATCTCAAGTACTGGCTCAAAGATGGTATGAGAAAGCGTTGGGTTTCGATTTGACAGGATTCTCTTCTCTTTTGCACGGCTGCAGATTGTAAATATTGGATCTCTTGCAGAGAACACAGTTCGGCCAGCGTTATACCACAAAATCTTGTCCGAATGGGTGGAGGAAGGCACATGTTTGCGAGATTTGAGTATTTCTAGAACGAGAAACAAGGTGCCGTGGGCGATGCTATCGCCGTGCAACGAGTCGCACTCGATTTACGTGTGGATGGACGCCTTGGTGAATTATTTAACGGCTTTGGGATATCCAAATGAGTCGTTTAAGGAGTTTTGGCCGCCCGCTGTACAGGTATGGCTTATGATTTTTGACTATGATTAAGTATTATGTATAAACTAAAGTGTAAAATTACTTTATTAGATTATTCTGTAAACTCAATATAAAAGAAATATTGATCGCGTGCAGGTAATCGGAAAAGACATACTGAAGTTCCACGGCGTCTATTGGCCGGCATTCTTAATAGCGGCGGGTCTTGAGCCTCCGAAGACGCTGCTCTGTCACGCTCACTGGATTGTCGATCACCAGAAAATGTCGAAATCGAAAGGAAACGTGATATCGCCGTTTGAAGCGGCGAATGATTACTCGGAAGACGGGCTGCGATATTTCATTCTGAGAGAGGCAGTGCCGCAAAACGACACGAGTAAGGATTGTATTTTACTCGATTCTATACACAGAGAAAAATATTCTATTGCGATCTGTAGACTTTTTTTTAAGTTAATGATTATCTTCAATAGAAAATTTTCTTGATAATAATCTTGAAATACGTTCGCCACAAATTTTTGAAAAGCTCATCATCACATTCTCAAAAAAAGAGAATTTATTCTCTTTGCGAGAATATTATAAAACTTACACTTTATGTACGAAAAAATTTCGTACGCAAATTTCATCAGATTTTTATTTGAATTTAATATTCTTAATTGAAGTCACTAAGTCACTAGGATTCAGAATATGTTTTGAGTAAGTGTGACTCTTATGATGAACGATAGATGTGTATTTTTCTGTGTGTACGTTTTCTGTGTACACCGTGTCTCTCTCGAGAAACTATGTGCACGCTTTTACGCTTTCTAGATTACAGTTCAACAAAAATCACGAACGTATTGAACTCCGAATTGGCTGATACACTGGGCAATTTGGTAAGTCGTTGCGCGGGCAAAACGGTCAATCCGTCGAGAGAGTTTCCCGATCCGGCAAAATATTGGAACGTGCTACAGTCTGAAGTAGCGAATGAAACGCGGGAGGCCCTGCAGTCCCTCGGTGAAAAAACACGCAAGAGCTACGAAGAGTACAATTTGCACCACGTCGTGGACGCGGTCATGAGTGCACTCCATTCCGCGAATAAAATGGTGGCGCATCACGAGCCGTGGCATCTGAGAAAACGGGTCGACGACACGGATTCGATGAGGGAACTCAAAGCTGTGATATCGCTCGCTTTGGAAAGTAGCAGAATAGCTGCCCTGATATTGCAGCCGATCGTACCGAGACTGAGCAGCAGTCTGCTCGATTTCCTAAATATCTCGAAGGAAAATCGTACGTGGGCGGACACCGCGCCCGAGTACTTCAACGGTAACGGTACGAAGAAGAAATGCATTGAGCGTAATAATATAATATTATTTAAGAAGATCAGAAATCAATAAAAAATATACTCAGAGTCGTTGCTTATTGTGAATTTATCGATCGTAGGATCGATCGTTCACCTTCGACGGAACGTAAGGTAGAAAGAATCGGTAGAAAAAGTCACAAAGAGAGAAAGAGAGAGAAAGATCTAATACTCCTATATATCTCGAAGTCTTACTCTAATATATTTACAGAGAACGGTCATTCGAATATATCATTAGTATACATCAACATTGCGCACGAGTCGTGCCGGCGAGAGAATTCCACGTTTGACTTTTCATTCATTCTTTCGTCCGCTCGCCCGTTCGTTCCTTTGATCGATCGATCGATCGATCGATCGATCGTTCGTTCGTTCGTTCGTTCGTTCGTTTGTTCGTTCGTTCGTTCGTTCGTTCGTTCGTTCGTTCGTTCGTTCGTTCGTTCGTTCATTCGCTCGCTCGCTCGTTCGTTCATTCGTTCGATCGATCGTTCCTACATTTTACGTGATACGCATTATTTTTGCATTATATAACGCATTCGTGGTGCACGCAATAATTCACATTCCCTCTGCGCGCCGGATCCTAATGCGCTCTGTGTATCGTAGATATAGATGTATCAAGGAAGCTCGACGGATCGTCTGCGAGCGCCAAATTGGCCCGCGACTACTTCCTTCCACTTGGATATGTCGTGATGCAGAATTGAGTATTTAGATTCGACGGGTGGCTCGACGACGATAATTGATTATCTCGCGTCGATGTCCGAATGCGACCGCGAAGTCGAGATCTCGCCGGGGTCTCCCGAACGAATTACCGCCCGTTTGCGAGAGATTCCTTACGCGTGCATCTCTCTTGTGTGTCGCGCGCCCCGTCAAATAGAAAAATAATTGAATGGTTATTTACAAGATGGGAAATGAATTTTTTTTTCCGTAGCCGCGGCACGTAGCCGCGCTGACCTATTGCTATTAAAATTTTCTTTTTTTTTTTCCCTTTATCTTATGACGCTCTGTGACAACAGACGTTACTATTTAGAAACGTATCATCTCGAGTAACATCCAGCTTTAACATCGTAGATCGACTATCGACATTGCTCCATTAGTTACGATTGCTTGACGAGATTAATATTCTAAGCGCTACGTTCGGATTTTCTTCTTCTATTAATCGACAAATCCCACAAATCTACGCCTGTCGTCGTATCTCTTAGAGAAAGAGAGAAAGTGAAAAAGAGCGGGAGAGAAGTAGAGAGGAGAGTAGAAAAAAGAAACGGGAAGACGCTACAATTTTGGGTGGATTATGTCTTCTGGATATGCCTCGAAAGTTAGGTACCGGTGATTGTCTTTGACGGCGATCTCCTCGCGAATTGTTGCGCTCACATGGTCGAACACCCTTTCACGATAAAAAAAAGAAAGGGAAGAGGAGAGAGGAAAGAAGGGAAGAGAGACTCTCCGATCGCACGTGCGCGAAAACTTTGCACAAACTTGCGTTATCGCGTACCGACCGATTCGTTCTAAAAAAGCGTCGCGTTTCCCGTGATCATTTTAATATCGACTCGTCGCAACTACCTCAAACCGTGAGGATCGCGTGATCGCGGAGGCGGAGAGACGCGAAGTGCCGAATTCTCTTGTTTCTCTCCTTTTTATCTCTTGGTTTCCTTCGCGGAATACTCGACGTAGTGTTTTCGTTTATTGCTGCCGCACTGACGAGATATTGCTCCTCCAGAATTAGACGTCGTAAAGACACGCGAGAGCGACGTTTCTCTAAGAAAATTCTCGCGAACTGAGTGTCGATGACAGCTAACTAGAACACCGATTGATATTACGTTGTAGTTGCGACGTAACTACCGTGCGTCTTGCTTGGAGGAGAGATAACGCGCTCGAGTATTTTATTTCGGCGCGCGCACGCGTCTCAGTTACATACATATATATATATATATACACAAGTTACACACACGAGCGAGACAATGCGTCGTCGTAACTGCAGTTGCGAGTTCTCCTTCGAGGCGGCCCGGGGTGCGGCGTTTATGATCCTGCGTTGAATGCGAATGCTAAAGTTCTCCACGCCGCGGGAGAGAACTCGTACTGTTGTTCGTACAAGCGATGTCCTATGCAGATTTTATGTACTGCGAAGAAAGAGTAAGGGGAGGGGAGGAAGGAAGAGGCAATCGCATAATGCAAGTTCGTACATACGGAAAAATACACACTGCACCCTTCAAGTTAATATTGGCCGCGTCCAGCAGAAAAAGCTGCTTACTCAGCGCTTAGTGATTATCGTTTCTGATTTATTCATTCCCCTGGATTTGTTAAAGATCTAAAAGAATACTCCAATCATAGATAATAATCACTGAGCGCTTAGTAAGCAGCTTTTTCTGCTGAACGCGGCCATTGCTTGCCTGAGACATCTCATAAATCTGTCACAAGCTCGTTATAAACATCCAATTTATCCGAGAAATTTACTCAAAAGTTTAGTACTTCCGTTGAGAATATTAAATTGAAATATAAATATTAAATTATGAAGCAAATCTTCATATTTTGCTTCTCATATTTAGAGCATAAATTTGATAATATTCCTGAAAAGGGAATAAAAAAATTCGGTGCATGGTAATTAGTATGTTTTAAGATTAAGATATGAGGAAAATATTATTCGTTGAAAATAAAACATTAAAAGGAGGGAGGTGTTTTTCTCTGTATATGCAACCTGCCTTATTGGAAGTCGTGTGAAAAATGTTGCATCGCAACGGTTGAGATGTATCAAATAACAGAACAACATTCGTGAACTTGTCTCGTTGAGACACGAAGAACGGAGAAAACTGATGAAATTATCATAAAACTTCGTTGGATTCGAATGCAAACGTTTCGCGATCGATGTGCACCTCGCGACATAGGACATCGTGGAAGATTAATTGCACGCGATGAAAGTCCCTCCTGGTGTAGCAAAAGCGAGAGTTCGAATTCACACTCGTCATGTTATCTACACTAAGAAGAGGAAGACAAGTGAGATCAATGAGACCTTGCTTGGACAAACAGAATTCTTTCAAGCGAACGATTGAACAAACGACACGGTTGCTGCAATTGGTTATCGATTGATTCGGCAATAGCGACGCAATGCACCCAATTATGGCAATGCAACGTTGTCGGTCATACATTTCATTCATGTATTTATCATAAGAAGAACAGTGCATTGAGAAAAAATATCAGCGACAAGAAATATTTACTCGGTGAGTACTAATGACATATTTAATCGTATTAATATGCATACTAACATGTATCATTAATACTCACCGAGAGAGTAAATATTTTTTTGTTTCTTAGATATTTTTCTCTCACTGTGAAGCAGATACATTCTGTGATTCCCTCGCTGTCACAACAAATACATAAACGAAACGCACGGTTAACCTGGCCCGGTGTGATTCCAACGTGTGATTCTTCGCTGAATTAAATCGTGCGATTTGTCAACGGACCCGATATTTCTCCGAACGCGGGCAAGCTCATGTTCGGTCGGTCCAACCGCTTCCTTTTCTTAGCTCTTTTAGACCTCGCGTCGTGTGTCGCGGGTTCCGCGCGATCGAGATGAGCTCGAGAGAGGAACTTTTGCGGGCAGGTAGGCGAGTGAAACGCGGGCGCAACCGCGACGACCGAGCCAACGGCGGAGGCAAGAGCGGCGAGTGAGATCTGGAAAGAAATCGTTTATTCAAAATCGAGAGGGAGGACGCTCGTTGAACTTGTCTTTCTTTTTTTCTTCTTCTTTATATGGCGCTGACGATAGTGTCGCGATGCCTTTGAGCCATGACGCCGACCTGGCAGCTGTCCGCGCTCGACCTTGGACTGATGTTGCACTCGACCATGGAGCCGTTGCGTTTCTGCACCACCACCGAGCGGAACTCGCCGCATTCGCTGGTCGACGGCTGATTACCCCTCGCGCGCGCTCCTTTCGTGAGGATCCTCTTGAACGCCTCCCGGAACTCAGTGTTGAAGATGCTGTAGATTATCGGGTTGAAGGCCGAGTTACTGTAGCCGAGCCACGTGAGAACCTGTCCAGCAAGAAGAAGAGACGGCTCTCTCAGTCGTTCGCGAGGATTATCGCGAGAATTTTTGCGCATGCGAGATGGATCAGGTGGAATTCGTGGAGTTTCGCCTGACCGAGTGGTCTCTGAGCTATGAGCGATTATTTAATCCTCCTCCATAGGTTGCGTCAACAACATTACCTCGATGATCGTATCTCGATCGATCATACCTGGAACGCTCGGAGAGGTATGCAGGTTTTGCAGTAGGCTGCGACAATGTTGACGCAGAAGAAGGGTACCCAACATATCAGGAACACACCCATGATTACGCCGACAGTGATCGCGGCCTTGTGGTCGGACACGTGGTAAGGACTAGTCGGCTTCGTCTTCGTTTGCGGCTTCGGTGGCTTACAGCGACTGCTCTTGGAGCGAAAACTCTTGGCCATGGAGGTGTCCGGCAGCTTCGTCACCGCTCGGATACTCCTTACGTGTTTCTGCGCGTAGCAATAGAGCCTGGAAGAGAGAGAGAGAGAGAGAGAGAGAGAGAGAGAGAGAGAGAGAGAGAGAGAGAGAGAGAAAGAGAGAGAGAGAGAACACGAACGAAAGAAGAAACGTTTCTCGAGGAGATGAAAGACGACATGACTCTCTTCTCTCACGGGGAAAAGATCTTTATTGAATAACAAACCATATCGTATAATTAGGATATATTTACAAAATTGATAAATTATAAAAATTTACAAATTGCTGATTATTTAATTGGTAACTGACAGTTTGTTCGGATTGATTCGGATCTTTAACTTTGCAATATGAAAATTTATGTCACACTATAAAATAAAGTTTCTCATATTAGCCCTAAGTATTTTATATAATAATATAGGTATATTTTAGTTAGGCAAGCTGACGTGATACTTTCTTAACGCGCGAATGTTGATATCTTCGAGAAAAATTCCCCGGGTGTGCATTTTGTTTTCAACAAGCGTCGTCAGCGCGCGGAGCGATTCACGACGATGTTGCGGATCACGAAAACAGAAAACGCCCATCGCAGATTCGTTCAGCGTCTCTGAAGCGCGGTTATCTCAAGCAAACCGTTTCTGCGCTACGTTATCGCGCGCACAACTTTCTTTTTATCTTCCGTCGTGAATCTTGAGTATTTCTACCAAAGTCGGTAGGTCGGTTCTAAAGTTCGCTTCCGAGTGATGTTTCGCAGAGTAACGCGCGAGGTAACGTTGCCACGACTCGCGGAAATCACGGATGAACGATCGTGATATCGCGATATCGCGAGCGGAAGTAAAACGTCAAAAATTAATGGCCCTCGCTTGGCTGAACCGCGAGCGATGTGCGAGAGCGCGCGTGCGGTCTTACCTGCAATAAATCCCCAACATCACGATGCAGGGCACGTAGAAAGATATGCAAGAGGACACCACCGCGTAAGTGGGTGTAATGTCTAGGGCACACGTAGGGTGCTCCTGTAAGAGTAAAAGACGTGTTAACGCGCGACGCGAGGATTGCGCAAACTGCTGTGGACGTGAATGGCGCGGCGGGGTAAAATGAGAAATGTCATCTATTTTTAATCACCCCGCTATATTCAAAAGCGCAACCCACGACAATTCACACGTGCCCATTACAGGGCGCGTCGATGAATTTCATTTTCGCCGTTACGACGAGCCGTTTGATGTTCGCAATTGTGAACTGTTAAGCCGGTGCTTCGAACATCTCGAGCGAACGGAGGAAATTCTGCCCGGGAAAGAGCACACATCCGATACTCTTGAAGCTGATGGCTCACTCCGGAATATTAAGAACAGAGCCATCCGTTGGCAAATATTATATGAAACGATGGGAAAATTCGACGTACCTCTATTCCGTCATTATAGAGCGCCGGTTGATCTGCCCTGTGAAGATCTAGGCTGATCGGTACGAAGGATATGAGTCCTGCTAAAAGCCACACGACGGCGATACCGCCGATAGCGACTCTTCTAGTCACCCAACGGCCGTACCTGCACGTTGAAAAATACGTACTGCATGAAAGTAAATGTTACTTTTGGCAACATTTGGTACTTGGTAATAAGTTATACATCCGGAAACTTATCATACAAATTCATCGCAAGCATTAAATTTACTCAAAATTCATTTTAAATCCTAGTAAGTTCAGTATTTAGCAATCAAGAATATTAAATTACAATAAAAATTTGAAAGAATATTGAAAGAAAAATGTTAAGAATATAAATTCTTAAATAAACTTTTCTAAGATTTGTGATTATATTTTAAGAGACCATCTTTCTCTCTCTCTCTCTCTCTCTCTCTCTCTCCCCCTCTCTCTCTCTCTCTCTCCCTCTCTCTCTCTCTCTCTCTTGCTCTTTCACCAAGAAAATATCTTTTATTGGAGACACCTATTGCTTAAGAGGAGAAAAGTGAATTAAACAATCGGTTTTCTTAATGATATATTGGTATTATTCTCTGCATAAAATCACAAAGGACATTGAAGTCGAGAAGGAAAAGAATCGCTTCATCTGCGGGAGGATTGGAACCTCTGTCTGGAGCTGTCTCCGAAAGCTGCGGAAATGTGAATCGTCGAATGCAAACAGAAAACTTTCCTTTTTTATCTACAATTCGCCCGAATCCCCTCGTTAATTCTCGCGTGAAGCGAAGCCACGTTTAAGACCGATCGCGGCTGTCAGCCTCACCTCACCTGAGGGGATCCTTAATGTGAATGTAACGGTCGAGGGAGATGGCGCATAGATTGAGGATAGAGGCAGTGCTGCACATAACATCGAAGGCGATCCAGATGTCGCAGAACCACAAGCCGAAGACCCAATAGCCGAGGAGGTCGTTGACCCCGGCGAAGGTCATTACCAGCCCACCGACGAAGAGATCGGCGACGGCGAGCGAGGCCAGGAAGAGGTTGCCGATCCTCCGTAGCCCGCGGTCGGTGTAGATCGCCAAGCAGACCAGGACGTTGCCAGCGACCGAGAAGAATATCAGGATCACCAGGAGGAATCCTGCGGCACCGAGAGCAGAGAGGGCCCGTCTAGCGGTGAATCGCACGCTACTCAACCGTACTGCGTGTCGCCCCTCGAAGCACGTACCCGAAGAAATCCGCTCGCGCATGTCGCCCGGATGACACACGACGATGAACGACGCACGATTGATCCCGCGCGATTCGTCCGCGGCGAATCGACGAATCACTCATGTCGAGAGACGCGGTATCATCCGGCAATGTGTCTCTCCGAATGCGCTGTCTCGCTCGCATTCGTCACAGATATGTATTCCCTGAGGAATTTTAGAAATTACTGGACATTCCCCAAATTCCCGCGTGCACGGCGATATTCTCTCTGCCTGCGTACAGGGCAGCCTCGGCGACCTGGAGCTCCGTTTTCCGAAATTCAAAAACGACCGCTCTGTGATTTCTCATAAAGATTACTGCAATTTATGTAACGATATATTTCATATATATATTTTTTTACGGACGTTGTGAATAATACTGAAAGAAATGGATAAACATTGTTGCGCTGTGCGCAGTGTATATTTTCTTTCTTTTTTTTTTAAACCTAGCGTTTCAATCTTCGTAACTTCAGAGACAGGTCGCGTTAATCGTCGGTAGTTGTAACATTAATGAGACGTTCGTTAGAGCGCGAGACAAGTCTCCTCGTCAAGTCTCTTGATAGTCTTCGGCAAGAGTTCTATGTGGGTTGCACCCCTTGGGGAGAGTATCGAAGACGGTCGTGTAACTTTTCACGCTCAGCGTTATGCTGTATATTTCCTTTTTGATATTTCGTATATTTCCTTTTTGATTTCCTACTGCCTTCCTTTTTCGGTTGCACATCGTGAGCGCGACTGCTGGAAAGGCGAAGTCTAACTGAATGCGGAAGAGAGTGAAATGAGTCGATCAATGTGAGACCGATAAATAAATTCCAATTCACACGCATATCCCCTTTAAAGAAGATATTCAGTAGGGTATATAATTTGCTCGGCGAGCCTTCATTCTCTTGATAACGCGAGCGCGCTTCACACACAATCCGGTGAAATTCGCAAGTCGAACTCGAGGAAGGTTCTCGCTATCTGGCCGCATTTCAGAAAAATCTTCATATTCCGCAATCTTTTTACGCACGCGACAGGTCTCTCGTCGTCTCTTCTCTCATCCAACTTTATGGGACGTCTCTTTCTCCGCGAGAGAAAGTGAAGATCTCAAATGGAGAGATTTATGCAAATTTCGACACGCGCGAGATAGATCAATAATTAATAGTGACTTTTCGCTATCTCTTTCGGCCTCCTCCGTTTGTTCTAATCGCCAGACTTCTCAAAGATACCGCTCTCCGTTATAAATCTTAAATGAGACATTCTTCGCGGACGTGCGGACACACACACACACACACACACACATGCACACACAACTTCCGCAATCTCCATGTTTCTGGTAATTTTATATCGCGAGCCCGCCATCGAGGGCATTCGAAGTCGATACCCCTGCGCGAAAGAGTGCCGGAGGCCAAAAATGTCGAACGGAAACTGCCAGACCATGACAGCGGAGAGCGTCGGCGGGACAGGAATTATGACACTCGCCCTCGGGACTCGCGTCCAATCATAATTTATTCGATTCTATCGGCGATATCGGACGGGCGGAGAATGAGAGGGGGAGAGGCGGGTTCTCAGGTGAGGGAAAACGGCGACCGGGAAATAAGGATAGGCAGACAGAGTAGGTGTCGGGAGGGATGGATAGTGCGAGGAGAAAAAAGTAAGAGAGAGAAAGAGGTGAGGGGAGAACGAGGAGGGAAGCGGACTGCCGCGGGTATGATTGGACGAGCTCGGATCGGAGTTTCCGAGAGAAGGCACTCTCGGGAGGCTGTCTTCGAGGGGCGACTTCGCGATCGATCAAATGGAAAGTTTAGCGAACCAACTAGGAGCACCGACAGCAGCGAGAAAGCGTCTTCAGGCAGATCTTCTTCCCCGTCTGTCAGGTTATTCTGCAGAAAGACAAAGAGAGAGACTTGCGTGAATGCGAGCGTGGCGCTTCGGCGCGGCGATGATTTATGCGGGGGCAAGGCGATACGAAGCGAAGCGGGGTTGCAGAGCGGGATGTCTATCGGGAAGAAGGGTATGCGGAAATGATTAGTTCAGCTGCGTCGTCGGTTGCTAGTGCGACGCTTCCGCGACGAGCAAACACGTCCGTCGCGTATGCTCGTCGCGGAAGAATTTGCAAATGGAAATGCAGGCAACACGGAACAAACATCTATCAAAGAGAGAGAGAGAGAGAGAGAGAGGGAAATAGCAGAAGAGAATAAAAGAGAAAAGAAAACATGGGCAACGTTTTGAAAACCATTATGAGGAACATCTAAGAAACGTGCTGATCCTTCCGACGTCCTCTGGACGTCCCTTCGCGTTTGATTACGGGAGATAACACGACACTTTCGTGCGCGTGTACTCGATCCGTGCAGATTCATGGTGAATTCGTGGTAAAATGCAGACGTACACACGGGATGCGGTTTACGGCCCCGTCGTCCTAGCTGTCGTTCTCCACGGAAGAAGAACCATCGTGGCTTTTATTATCCTCCGACCCGCTCCGTTCTCGCGTCGTCGCGAGAACGGAGCGCCTCGCGGTCGGCGAAGCGATTTTTCATCGCGGGACGCGGCTATCTTCGCGTACGTACGGACTATCTCCTCGCAATAAAGCTGCTTTAGCTCAGCTTTTTACGGCGGTAGGCCGCTCTATGATAATGATCTGCGCCAGGTATACCTGGCCAGGTATACACGCTGACTGTGCGTGTACCTGTGTGTGTATGTACGTGTATGTGTGAATGTTTGTGTGTGTGTGTGTGTGTGTGTAATTACGCCCGCTGCCATTTTATCGCGGGATTTATCCGTGGCTGTGCCGGCCGATGCGCGCGCTCGTATCTCGTTGATAAAGCCGAAGTATTACCTATTACCCGTCCCGACGATGATTCGACCGTGCGATATCATCGTGCACGTGGATATTCTAATAGCGTCAATTCCGGCTAGTCAGTTATCTCGGGCACTATTCGGGCATCCGAGTCTCTTGGCTGTTACTCGGGTATCTTGAATATTTTTCAAATTACCCGGATAGACCCGGTTATTCTTGTTATCATTTGTTCTTATACATTCTTCAAGTCGCGCTATGCATCAAAGTATTAAGATGGACAGAAAGTGAAGTATTAAGATGGACAGAAAGTGAAATGGCAGATTCGTGAAATCTTTACATCGTGACCTTTCTCCCTCTCTCTTTTTCTCTCTGTCAAACTAGAATATAAAATATGTGGAAAGTATATAGACGAGATTGATGAGAAGAATACATCGACGTCAAGAAAAACATGGTTCCATTGAAAGAATTTTTGTTTACTCTAGGTGTCTACAAGTTGCGTAAAAATATTCGTGTTACGTTGACAGTATTAGAATATTATTTAGAATTCTACATAAAGCAAAAGCGCAACGACAGAATATGTCAAACTAAGATATAGAACCCGGAGAACATACATCGACGTTCGCAAGAGAAACGCATCGAAAGAGAAACACTTGATTTGCTTCCCGGTCCCAAGACAGGATCTCTCTGACAAATTGTCTTCTGAAACAGAGCCGTGATGAGAAACAAAGCGGTACACCATCTGGAAACCAAATGGAACGCGACTTGAAGAACGGATAAGAACAAATGATAACAAGAATGTGAAAAAAGAATCGGAAAGAATTCCATCCTTTTTGACTGCGAAGAATTTTTCTTGACTACGAGGGTTCGGATAAAACTTGCTTCTGCGTACAGAAACACTCGAATTATACCGGCGGCATTAGAATATTCGTAAGCACGACGCCGACGACGGACGTCTACTGGTTCGGCCGTGTGTACGAGCATCCACGTGTGCGTGCGTGAGCGCGTTGTAATCGATAGTTATGCAGATCTCGCGGTTAAATACATAATACATGAGTCGAAAACAAATAAATTGCTATCGCGTGTTTGCGATATTTCGTTGTGCTTTACGAGCGGGGACGGGAGCGGATCAATCACTGCGTACTCGCGCGATCATAATCCACGCGACGCACCTCTCCGAGCACGTGGTCGGCGCATTGAGACTTCGCTGCGACGCGACTCTCGAAAGTAGAACGAACAGGCGAATGAACGAACGAACAAACGACTCGTTTATCGACTCACTGGATACGCGATGCATCGCGCATGACGCAGTTATTTTATATATTCCACACCCGTGGCTTATATTTATTATAATATTATGCTAAGCCGCAGCCCTTTGTTGCATTACAACAACACGAGGAACGCTTCATTCAAAATTTCGCTCGCATAACTTTGCATAAATAATTACGTCCATGCAAATTACGCGAACGGCGCGCTCGCGAAGTTAAGCAAGCGCATTTGTGATAAGCGCTTGCTTTTTTCCTCTCTTTTCTTCTTCTTTGCGCGGTGCATTTTCATGCTCGACACTTCGATCCGCAGCGCTTCAGACTACTGAAATTTCTACTTTCAGAAAACTGACGTTCCTGAATCCGATGACTGCCTCGTGCGCTTCATCATGCTTGTTTTCCGACTAATTGTTCTCAACCGCCGCAATTTCGCGGATATTTTTCTCAGATAAAAGGACATATTCGATGACTTGGAAAATCTCGTATTATTTTATGTTATATATTCGTTTCTCTGTTAGTAATTATAGCGTAATATAACGTTTTTATTGTTTTCGCAACAGAAGAGAATATCAATACGTAAAGCGAATCCCGCGCGTGCGATTAAATTGTTAAAAGTAAAAACGCTTATCTATATATAATCCTGTTGGAAATTATTTTCTTTGTGACGCATATATTTTAATTGGATGAGGTGCGCTGGTTAAATAAAAAAAAAAGAATAAAAAAAATACCGGAATATTCTGCATATAATAAAAACGCTCTCAATCGCTCTCAAAATATACGACACTCGGGAAGATAAATACATTTTGTAAAAGATACACGCGCCTGCGATTTAGATCGATCTATTCAGCATAAAATTTATAAGTCGGTTTGATATACGCAGAGAAGAGAAAGAGAGAGAGAGAGAGAGAGAAAAAAAGAGAGAGAGAGAGAGAGAGAGAGAATGGATTATTTCGACGAGAAAAAAAGAATTTCCGACGGGATATGAATATCTCGTTCCATTCTTTCGGGGGTAACGCATAATGCGTAGGCGGATCACGCCCTCTTAATAGGTATCTTTATGATGCTTCGCGCATTAAGCGTTTTAATAGCGAACGCTTTCGCCATGTATTACACACGTGCATTGCCGAGCGACGTAAAGTACGGTAACGGTGCGTGAATAAACCGAGGTAAAATGAAACGCATTAACGTTCCAAGCACGCGCGCACGCCTCGAAAAAAAACATAATATTTCTACGGTACGCGAGGAAACATGTGAGAGTAATTGATCTTCGACAGGTCGTTAT